TTCATGGATAGGCAGAACCAACATCATCAAAATGGCGATATTACCAAAAGTTCTCTATAGGTTTAATGCAATGCCAATCAAAATCCCAACGGCATTTCTTGTAGAAATAGAGAAAGCAATCATGAAATTCATATGGAAATATAAAAGACCCAGAATAGCAAAAACAATGCTAAGCAGGAAGTGTGAATCAGGCGGTATAGCGATACCAGACTTCAAACTATACTACAGAGCAATAGTAACAAAAACAGCATGGTACTGGTACCAAAACAGGTGGGTGGACCAATGGTACAGAATAGAGGACACAGAAACCAATCCACAAAACTACAACTATCTTATATTTGATAAAGGGGCTAAAAGCATGCAATGGAGGAAGGATAGCATCTTCAACAAATGGTGCTGGGAAAACTGGAAATCCATATGCAACAAAATGAAACTGAATCCCTTTCTCTCGCCATGCACAAAAGTGAATTCAAAATGGATCAAGGAGCTTGATATCAAATCAGAGACGCGCTGTCTGATAGAAGAAAAAGTTGGCTATTATCTACATTCGGTGGGGTCGGGCTCCAAATTCCTCAATAGGACACCCATAGCACAAAAGTTAATAACTAGAATCAACAAATGGGACTTACTCAAACTAAAAAGTTTTTTCTCAGCAAAAGAAACAATAAGAGAGGTAAATAGGGAGCCTACACCCTGGGAACAAATCTTCACTCCTCACACTTCAGATAGAGCCCTAATATCCAGAGTATACAAAGAACTCAAAAAATTAGACAATAAGAGAACAAACAACCCAATCAACAAATGGGCCAAGGACCTGAACAGACACTTCTCAGAGGAGGACATACAGTCAATCAACAAGTACATGAAAAAATGCTCACCATCTCTAGCAGTCAGAGAAATGCAAATCAAAACCACCCTAAGATACCATCTCACTCCAGTAAGATTGGCAGCCATTAGGAAGTCAAACAACAACAAGTGCTGGCCAGGATGTGGGGAAAAGGGTACACTTGTACATTGCTGGTGGGACTGCAAATTGGTGCAGCCAATTTGGAAAGCAATATGGAGATTTCTTGGAAAGCTGGGAATGGAGCCTCCATTTGACCCAGCTATTCCCCTTCTCGGTCTATTCCCTAAAGACCTAAAAAGAGCATGCTACAGGGACACTGCTACATCGATGTTCATAGCAGCACAGTTCACAATAGCAAGACTGTGGAACCAACCTAGATGCCCTTCAATAGATGAATGGATAAAAAAATGTGGCATTTATACACAATGGAGTATTACTCTGCATTAAAAAATGACAAAATCATAGAATTTGCAGGGAAATGATTGGCATTAGAGCAGATTATGCTAAGTGAAGCTAGCCAATCCCTAAAAAACAAATGCCAAATGTCTTCTTTGATATAATGAGAGTAACTAAGAACAGAGTAGGGACGAAGAACAGGAGAAGAAGATTAACATTTAACAGGGATGAGAGGTGGGAGGGAAAGGGAGAGAGAAGGGAAATTGCATGGAAATGGAAGGAGACCCTCAGGGTTATACAGTGGAGGGTGTAGAGATAGAGGAGGGGAGGGGATGGGAGAGGTGGGGAGGGGAGAGGGTGGAAGATGGGAAAGGCAGCGGAGCACAACAGACACTAGTATGGCAATTTGTAAATCAATGGATGTGTAACTGATGTGAATCTGCAATCTGTGTATGGGGTGAAGGTGGGAGTTCATAAACCACTTGAATCAAAGTGTGGAATATGATATGTCAAGAAATTTGTAATGTTTTGAACAACCCACAATAAAAAATTAAAAAAAAAAAAAACTCAGTGGGAAAATTTAAATATCAAGTTAGATATAGCTAAAAAGAAAATGAACTGCAAGAGAGATCTGAGGAAATTAACTAGAAAATAGCAAAGATTAAGAGTAACAGAGAAATAGAGGCTAGAATGAGGTCTAATAGGAGTTTCAGAAAGGATTCAGAGAGGTGAGAAAGTGGCAGTTTAGAAAAGATGAACATCAAGAAATTTTAGAAATTCTAGATTTGAATTTTAAATTTTAGAAATTTAGATTTGAAACACAAATCTTTTAAATTCCAGAAATATAGCAACTCATAAACAGAGCCACTGCAGAACAATAAAGATAGAATGAAGATCTTAAAATGTGCTGGAGAGAAAAGACATTAAAGAAGAACAAATAGTTGATTATAGACTTGTCAATTGTAGTAATGAATATAATAGAATGAGACATTCCATTATCCTTAGTGGGGAAAATATCACCATGCACCTTGAATCCTGTGCCCAGCTTAATTATTATGAAATCAATGTCAAACAAAGATAGGTTAATACACTATTGATGACAGACATTCTAAAGGATATAATTCGGGATAAAAAAATTTAAACTTATAAGAAAGGAATGCATTGAAGATACACCTATTTATGATATAGCACTCAAGTCTCTTATATTCTTTTGACCATTATTTTACTAAAGTTGTTACAGATTAACCAAGAAGGATTGCTAAAGGTCCATGGAAATACTGATGTAGATAGACTTTTAAAAAATTTTAATTTAATTAGTTATACATGACAGTAGAATGCATTTATGCACTTTGATATATCATACATAGATGGGATACAAATTCATTTTTCTGAGTGTACATGTTGCAGAATCAAATTGGTCATGTAGTCACATATATACATATAGTAACAATGTCTGTTTCATTCTGTTATCTTTCCTATCCCCACATCCTCTCCCCTCCCATTACTTCCCTTTACCTAATCTAAGGTAACTCCCTGGTGCCCCTTTTCCCACCACCTTACTGTGAAGTAGCATCCGCATATTAGAGAAATTATTTGGCCTTTGGTTTTGTGGGATTGGCTTATTTCGCTTAGCATGATATTTTCCAACTCTAACCATTTACTGGAAAAATGCCATAATTTCACTCTTTAAAGCTGAGTAATGTTCCATTGAATATATATACTACATTTTCTTCATCCATTCATCTATTGAGGGACACCTAGGTTGGTTCTATAGTCTAACTATTGTGAATTGAGCTGCTATAAACATTGACGTGGCTGTGTCATTATAGTATGCTGATTTTAAGTCCTTTGGGTATAAACCAAGGAGTGGGATAGCTGGGTCAAATGGGGTTTCATTCCCAGTTCTAAGGAATCTCCATACTGCTCTCCATAGTGGTTGCAACAATTTGCAATCCCACCAGCAATGTATGAGTGTACCTTTTTCACCACATCTTCACCAATATTTATTCTTGCCTATATTCTTCATGATTGCTATTCTGACAGGAGTGAGATGAAATCTTAGAGTAGTTTTGATTTGCATTTCTCTAATGGCTAGAGATGTTAAACACTTTTTCATATATTTGTTGATCAATTGTATTTCTTCTCAATTGTATTTCACTGAAGCGTCTGTTCAGTTCCTTAGCCCATTTATTGATTGGGGTTTTTGTTTGTTTGTTTGTTTGTTTTTGGTGTTAAGTTTTTTTGAGTTCTTTATATATCCTAGAGATTAATGCTTTATCAGAGGTGCGGCATAAAAGGAAGTAGAAAAACTGTAGAATCTAAAATGATTATCTGTGTATGCATATGTGTGCTTGAAAAGTTATGCATATGTAATGATTGAAAGCAGGAGCCAAAGTCCTGCTTTTTGCCAGGTATGGTGGTACATGACCATAATCACTCTATTTGGAAGGCTGAGGAACACAAGTTTGAGGTACCTGGGCAACTTGGGGAGACCCTATGGCAGAGTTCAAAAAATAAATGAAAGGTCTGAGTAGGGGCCTGTCAACAGCAAGTGAGTCAAGAAATTGTGGTATATATACCCAATAGAGTTTTACTTAACCATCAAGAAAAATGAAATTGTGACATTTGCCAATAAATGGATGGAACTAGAGACTATCATGCTGAGTAAAATAAGCTAAATCTAGAAAAGCAAAGATCGAATATTTTCTCTCATTATGTAGAAGCTAGTGCAAAATAAGGATGAAAAGTGGGGAGAAGATCCCATGAAAATGAAAGGGAGATCAGTGAAGTAAAAGAAGGGGATCAAGAGGAAGGGAAGAAGGACAGGAAAAGTGGGAACTCTGGAATGAAATTTACCAAATTATTCAATGTATATGAATATACCCCAGTGAATTCCACCTTTATGTATATCTATAAGGCACCAATTTAAAAAACAAACAAACAAACAATAAATAGAAGGAAGACCAGTAATAGAGACAGGGAGTGGGGAAGGGAGGAAGGGAAATTGGAAGTATTCAGGATTGATGTGGAACAAGGTATTTTCCACACATGTAGTAATATGTCAGAACGAACCACATTACATTAATATGTATACTTATAATGCACTATTAAAAACATTTTAACATAAAATAAAGATCTAGAATGTAACTCATTGGTAGAGTTCTTACCTAGCAGGCCTGAGGCCCTGGATTCTGTCCCCAGTACTACATACAACAAATACTGTCCTGCTTTTTTTTTGTTAGCACTTTACAGTATTTTACAGCCAGTAGAATAGTTGATATTAATAACTACCTTGAAAGGTAAGAAATGGCTTAATTATGTTTTGGAAATCAGAAGTACTTAAATTTGTTTAGGAGTATTTACACAAGTCTTAAAAGAATTTTGGTATCTGGAGGGGGAAATGCTACATTTACATTGAAAACTGCTGATGTGGAATACCTTGTAAATTAAAAATTACAAAGCCTCTTTTTGATTAAGTCTCTTTCTTAGTTTCTGGAAGTCATTTTTTCCTGATAGGAATTAGGCCAGATGTCTCAGATACATTTATTTGTAAAAGTGCCCTTAATATTATTGTGTTTTAGAGCTGATATTTATCTGACATTATTGTTTATCTTATAATGATAATTATGTATATTGATAACCTTTGATATCTTATTACTTGAAAGTGTAGGACTATGTAAATAGTTAGGATTTTCCAAGTGAGTGATATAATGCAGTGACTAGTGGTATTAATGAAATATTCATTGTATTTTTACAGCCAGTATCTTGAAAATTATCTCTGGATGAATTATTCTCCTGAGGTATCTAGCAAGGCCTATTTAATGTCCATCTGCTGTATGGTGAATGAGAAATTCAGAGAAAATGTTCCTGCATGGGAGGTAACATTTAAATTACTTCATGGCTTTTATACTTTGTCCACTTAAACTGTTACAAAGTAGCAGAACTTTTTACAGACATTAAATGTGATTTTAGAGCAGCACTTTACCCAATAGTAAACTACTATTAAGAAAAAGAGTAGACATGTGAAAGATAATATCAGGCTTTTTTTTTTTATTACAACACTTCTAATGTACTGTGAACACTACTAATTTATACTTAAAATTATAAATTAAAAGTTATTTATATTTGAAAAATATAAATATGGAGTTAATTTTCTGCTTTGCTAGAACTGGAAAATAACATAAATTATAGAGACATCAGAAGCTGGGAAAAAGTTATATATTAATAAGTACAATTAGACAATGTTCAAAAGTCAAGACAGTTAGCTTTTTTTTTATTTTTGAGTTTTCTATTTAATATTTTCAAACTGCTGTTAACCACAGGTAACTAGAACCTAGAAAATGAATTTGTGAATATTGGGAGACCATGGTACAGATTCAGAGGATATAGAAGATTTAGAAAGTAGAATTGATCTGATTTGATAATTAGTTAAAGTAGCATTAGGAAAGGGGATTATTTTCAATAATTTGCCAAACTTGGGCAACTGAATATAATAGATGATGGTGTCATTCCCAAGATAGGAAAATGTGTTGAGGAATACTTTGGAGGGAATAACACTGTGCAGTTGAGTTTAGGGCATTGAGTTTGAATTGCCTTTGTATTATCTAGATGAATATTGTAATAACTAGATGAAATTGCCTGGTAGAGAGAGGAATCTAAAGATGTAGCATTATGGAGAGAAATCTGTACTAAAGATGTATATTTACAATCATTAATATATCATAAAGTAATGTGAGATGGGGACTAAGAATGGGAACATTGCTGTTTAAGTAACAAAAGAAGAGAACCCTTCAGTACAGTGAAAAGGAATTGATGCTTGGGTTCAGTGGACTTGGCAGCCATGATAGTATCAAGGGAGTGGTATTTATTGATGGAAGTTTGGTTTAGAGAAGTTAATGGAAACTAGTGTTGGAGCACACATTTGGAGCACTTGCCTATTACAGTAAGTAGAAGGGGAAGTAGATCAAAGAGATTTGAATATATTTACATGTTAAGAAAGAAAAGCATATTATAAAGCAGGAGAAACTGCCCCTGAGATTAATTACAGTGTGAAAATTAATTTTTGCTAAAGGTGTAGTTTCCTTTGTTCAAATCAAAGGAATTAAAAATACTGCAGATTCTTAATAAGAAAACAAACTTAAGCTAAATACAAGCATAGTTTGCACAAGAAAAACTAAAAGAATTAGGGCTGGGGATGTGGCTCAAGCGGTAGCGCGCTCGCCTGGCATGAGTGCGGCTCGGGTTCGATCCTTAGCACCACATACAAACAAAGATGTTGTGTCCGCTGAAAACTAAAAAATAAATATTAAAAAAATTCTCTCTCTCTCTCTCTCTCTCTCTCTCTCTCTCTCTCTTTAAAAAAAAAAACTAAAAGAATTAATGACATTATCTTACTAGCTAACAATTTCTGTAAGTTTCTCCTGTCAGAAACCTGTATTTGAATTGCTATCATTAATTATAAGTAAGCATGTAATGCCTCTTTACCCATATTTAAATAATCTTTTTATTTTGATTTTGTTAAGAGATTCCTAAAAAACTACTGTGTTGCTTTAAGGAACAAAAATGCATGAATAAGCCAGTTCAAAGTGTATTTATTCTTCTTATTTTTATTTTCAGACTTTTAAGAAGAAGCCAGACCACTTCCCATTCTTCTTTAAGTGCATCTTGAAAGCGGCATTAGCTGAAAATGATGGTGAATTTTCACTCCATGAACAGACAGTCCTATTGCTTTTTCTTGATCATTGCTTCAATAGTTTGGTAATTTTACTTAATGTTTTAGGGAAGGTTTCATATTTTCTTGTTCTTCTAGATTGAGTTTAGATGTGATTATCTTTGTGGCCATCTTTTCACACAAAAATGTGGGGAATAAAAATAATGCTAAAAGCTTGATTTAAATCACATCAATAAAATAATTTTATAAATTTTGTTCACTTTTTAGTAGTTTATACTTAATCCTTTATTTTTTATTATTGTTCACATTTTTAGTAGTTTGTACTTGATCCTTCCTTTATTTATTATGCAGACTTTAAGAAAAATGATAATGAGAGCTGAAAATTCAAAGGGAGAACACAAAAATTAGAAACAGCGGAGTCTGACTAGTATGAACTTTTTTTTTGTTTTTGGTACCAGGGATTAAATTTAGGGGTACTCAACCACTGAGTCACATCCCTAGCCCTGTTTTGTATTTTTATTTAGACGGGGTCTCGCTGAGTTGCTTAACACCTCACTATTGCTGAGGCTGTCTTTGAACTCGCAAGCCTCCTGTAAGCCTCCTGAGTAAGCTGCTGGGATTACAGGCATACGCCACTACACCCAGCTAACCAGTATGAACTTTGATGAAATCTGTGCCACAAACTGCATGCTAAAAAGTTTCAGTACTTTTTAGTCTTTATGCTCAGGCTGGCTCATCAGCAAGAGGGTTGTATTTTGAGTTGACTGTTGAAAGACAATACTGGATGGTCTTTGGAAATGTGTGTGATAACTTTCATCCTTTACAAGATTATCTTCTAAAAAATAAAATATTTCATTTGATCTTCCCTTCTGTGGTTATCCAAAGGCATATCCACATTTAATTATTTATTTATTTTTAAAATGTATTCATTCTAATTACATATATATATGACAGCAGAATGCATTTTGATTCATTGTACACAATTGCAGCACAAATTTTCATTTCTCTGGTTGTATGCAATGTAACATTGCACCGTATGTGCAGTCATATGTGTACCTAGAGTAATGATGTCCATCTCAATCCACCATCTTTCCTGTCCCCATACCCCCTCCGCTCTCCTACTTCCCTTTTGTCCAATCACAGTTTCTCCATTTTCCCATCCCCCTGCCACCATTGTGAATCAGCATCCACTTATCAGAGAGAACATTTGGCCTTTGGATTTTGGGGATTGGCTTACTTCACTTAGCATGATAATATTCTCCAATTCTGTCCATTTACCTGCAAATGCCATAATTTTATTCTCTTTTATCGCTGAGTTATATTCTATTGTGTAGATATACATTTTATTTGTCCATTCATCTATTAAAGGGTATCTAGGTTGGTTCCACGGTTTGGCTATTGTGAATTGAGCAGCTATAAACATTGATGTGGCTGTGTTACTATAGTATGCTGATTTTAGGTGCTTTAGGTATAGACCAAGGAGTGGGATAGCTGGATCAAATGGTGGTTCCATTCCAAGTTTTCTAAGGAATCTCCACACTGCTTTCCAGATAGGTTGCACCAATTTGCAGTCCCACCAGCAACATATGAGTGTGCCTTTTCTCCCACATCCTCACCAACACTTACTGTTTGTATTCTTGATAACTGCCATTCTGACTAGCATGAGATTAAATCTTAGAGTAGTTTTGATTTGCATTTCTCTAATTGCTAGAGATATTGAACATTTTTTTCATATATTTGTTGATTGATTATGTATCTTCTTATGAGAAGTGGTATATCCACTTCTCATATTTATTTAAACATAAATGTTTTTGTATTGGTAATGCACTTAGAGCCTTTCAGGAGAATGCATAGAATTCTTTCTTATCCAGAAGATTGGATGTTGATTGATGGATGATTATTGCTGGTTTCTATGTATTGCTTCACTCTGATCTTGTAAAGGCATATAGAAAAGAATGATGGTACCCCCAATAGATACCAATTTCGCCTCTTTAATGTTAATTAAACAGAGCAAATAGAAATATAAGTAGACATAATTTTTTATGAGAAATTAAACAAGAACAAGGTTTAGTTAGCAGTAGTTTGGTGCTGGTATTAAGCCAATTTATAATGAAAATGTTTTTTCAGTATGCTGTGAACTTTCTTTATTTGAAGCAGTTACATTTGTTCTATAAAATAACTGAATCCTGAGTAAGCTAATAATGAACCCTGGCTCCTAGAGGAAAAGTAGGGTTAGGTTCCTGCAAGTCTCTGGTTGCAGCATTTTTTTTTTCAAACTATCGGTGCCTAACCTTATTTTATATGTGTGTGTCTGTTAAAGACATCTTATTAATACATATTTTTGATTCAGTAACTTTATTCCTGAGTGAGTTATCCCTCAGGTCATTCCTGAATGGGCTTATCTAGCAAACATGGAGAAAGTACAAAGAAAATGCCTTATTGAACATTAGAAGCACTTCAGTTTTGTTCTTGGAGATTCATTTTAAACACTGAAATCACCAATGAAAAGCCCAATAACTCCCCAAAAGTAGCACTAAATAGATTGCGAAAAGGATACTTGTTTGTAGTATGAGAAGTGCAATTCAAATAGGGTCATCTCAGCCTTAGCTAGGTATGTACATATCAGGTAACTCAAAATTTTTGAAGCTCTGTGCTATTGATTTGGGATTTATAAATTTTTGTGAGTAGGTGAATTTGAAGATATGAAATCAGTTAATAATGAAAACTGTTGTTCAGAGTATTAAACTTTTTAAAATATTAAAATATCACTAATTTACAAGTATTGGTGCCATGTTTTCCCCGCAGGACTTAAAAAGCCATAACACTCCCTGTATAAAGATTCAGTTGAAAATGCTAGAATGCTTATAGACTTTTTGCTTCATACCTTTAATAGGAAGTAGACTTGATACGGAGTCAAGTACAGCAGCTTATCTCCCTCCCAATGTGGATGGGCTTACAGCCTGTAAGTATCTAATTTCAGAATATTATGCATATATATGTTGTAAGTGAAGATGTGATAGATTGTGTACCTTTAGTATGGATATAAAAGTGTCAGCTAAAAATCCCTTTTCCTGCTTAGAAGTTACCATGCATTAACTTATGATATATGTAGTTTTTATAATTTTAAAGTTTTAATGTGTATCCTAATACATGTTTCACCTAATTTTGATATTGTAATATAAGTTTAGTATCAATAGAGCTTATAGAGAAGGAAATTATCCCTTTATTGAGCTTATAGAAAAAGGGATAATTTTAGCAATATATGGTTATTATCCTTATTATATTTTTTTGGCTAAGACTATATGCAAACTTGAATTTTTATTGTTTCCATGATTAAAATGTACATATAGTTAAAGAAGAAGGTCTGGATCATGTGTAATATTAATGACTTTCATTTTTTTTTTTTTACCAAATCTTTATTGTGTATATGTGCATGTATAAAATTTACATATTTTAGGGAGTAAAGTTTAAACTGTGAAATTTCAGTGTGACCCTTTATTCTTAATTGTATTTCCTACACATGATTATTTCTGTATACACTCACATGTGTGTACTCATTCACTGTAGCAGTTAATGGAATAAAAATATAAGGCACATATGACTAATTTAAGCTTATGTTAAAAAGTGGTGAATGCCATAATAGAAAATTTACTGATGGCATTTCTATTTTTACTTTTGGTAGTTGCTTTATGTTCATTGTTTGAGACTCATATTTTTCAGTCATCTGTGATTATGCTCACAAGTGTTAATATTGATATTTTTCAGACTGAATTGAGACAAAAAAGTTTATCATTGAGCTTAAAATCTTGACTAGAAAAGACAGTTTCTTTTTTATTAATAAGTATTAGAATTGAATTTTAGGAATTAATTATTCCTTAGTTTTCAAGGTTTATTTTGTTGCTTTTAGATTTTATGATATTGCCCTCAGTCATGTACTAGAAAACTTGTTAATACTTAATCTTGTCTTTATCCTTTTAAATATTGAAGTTATCAATAACATAACAATTTCTTTTTCAGGCACGATTGGAATTAGAATTAAAAAAGACACCTAAGCTAAGAAAATTCTGGAACTTGATTAAAAAGAATGATGAAAAGATGGATCCAGAAGCAAGAGAACAGTATGTTAACAAAGCTTCATTCCATATTAGCTTATTATGCTGGATTACAATTCTTAGTGTTATTTGTGGCTTCATTTGATATAGTGCCGTGTTCAAATAAGTTATTAATAAGTGCTTTTACTTAGACTGTGTAGGAATATTTTTTACAAAGACCTTAAAAGGAAGCCACAACATCAGCAAAGCCTCAATTTACTTTTCTTCTTTTTCTTTTCTCTGAACCAATGTGCCACTTTTCTTCTCCATTCCTGTTGTCCCTGATCTGTCCCTCAAGGAGATTTCTGTTTTCTCCACAGTCTTCAAGATGTCAACCAGTTCAACTTTTTCTTACTCCTTGACTTTTTTTTTAATTAATTGTTTTTATTTATATATGACAGCAGAATGCATTACAATTCTTATTACACATATAGAGCACAATTTTTCATATCTCTGGTTGTATACAAAGTATATTCACACCAATTCGTATCTTCATACTTTGGATAATAATGTCCGTCACATTCCACTGTCATTTCTAACCCCATGCCCCCTCCCCTCCCTTTCCTTCCTATCCCTCTGCCCTATCTAGAGTTTGTCTATTCCTCCCATGCTCCCCCTCCCTATCCCAGTATGAATCAGCCTCCTTATATCAGAGAAAACATTTGGCATTTGTTTTTTTGAGATTAACTAACCTCACTTAATATTGTCTTCTCTAACTCCATCCATTTACCTGCAAATGCCATGATTTTATTCTCTTTTATTGCTGAGTAATATTCCATTGTGTATATATGCCACATTTTTTTTTATCCATTCATCTATTGTAGGGCATCTAGGTTGGTTCCACAGTTTAGCTATTGTGAATTGTGCTGCTATAAACATTGATGAGGCTGTGTCCTTGTAGTATGCTGTTTTTAAGTCCTTTGGGTATAGAACGAGGAGAGGGATAGCTGGGTCAAATAGTGATTCCATTCCCAATTTTCCAAGAAATCTCCATACTGCTTTCCATATTGGCTGCACCAATTTGCAGTCCTACCAGCAGTGTGTGAGTGTACCTTTTCCCCCACATCCTCACCAATATTTATTGTTGTTTGTCTTTATAATAGCTGCCATTCTCACTGGAGAGAGATGAAATCTTAGAGTAGTTTTGGCTTGCATTTCTCTAATTGCTAGCGATGGTGAACATTTTTTCATATATTTGTTGATTAATTATTTATCATCTTCTGAGAAGTGTCTGTTCAGGTCCTGGGCCTCTTTATTGATTGGGTAATTTGTTTTTGTGGTGCTTAACTTTTTGAGTTCTTTATATACTCTGGAGATTAGTCCTCTATCTGATGTGTGAGGGGTAAAGATTTTGTTCCCAAGATATAGGCACTCTATTCATCTCACTGATTGTTTCTTTTGCTGAGAAGAAACTTTTTAGTTTGAGACCATCCCATTTATTTGGTTCTTGATTTTAATTCTTGTGCCAAAGGAGTCTTATTAACAAAGTTGGGGCCTAATCCCACATGATGGAGATGAGGGCTTACTTTTTCTTGTATGAGATGCAGGGTCTCTGGTTTTATTCCTATGTCCTTGATCCATTTTGAGTTAAGTTTTGTACATGGTGAGAGATAGGGGTTTAGTTTCATTTTGTTGCATATGTATTTCCAGTTTTCTCAGAACCATTTATTGAAGATGCTATCTCGTCTCCAATGCATGTTTTTGGCACCTTTGTCTAATATAAGATAATTGTAATTTTGTGGGTTAGTCTCTGTGTCCTCTTTTCTGTACCATTGGTCTACCAGTCTGTTTTGGTGCTGTTTTTGTTACTATTGCTCTGTAGTATAGTTTATGGTCTGGTATAGTGATGCCACCTGCTTCACTCTTCCTGCTTTAGCTATTCTTGGTCTCTTATTTTTCCAGATGAATTTCATGATTGCTTTTTCTATTTCTATGAGGAATGCCATTGGGATTTTGATTGGAATTACATTAAGTCCATATAGTGCTTTTGGTAGTATGGTCATTTTGATAATATTAATTCTGCCTATCCAAGAGCAAGTGGGTTAGCCTTAGGCTCCCAGGTATGGGAGGGCTGAACTTGGACCTACCCTGCACCTGCGTCCTGCACAAGTTGGTGTGTGTGGATCTGGGCCAGGTCTGGGCTCCAATGGTAGTCTGCTGGTCGGAAGAGACGGTCCTGTGCAAGAGGCTGGGCTCCAGCGAGTGTATACCCTGCAGGTAAAGGGGTGGACCCCGGTCTACTATGAGCCTGGTTCCCACAAAGGTTGGAGTGGGCAGATCTCACTCCTTGACTCTTAACAATGACTTTTCTATACCCCAACCATCATTCATTCATTCAACAAATATTGAATGTATTGTTTTGCCAGGTATTATATGTAGCATTGGAGATACAGCAGAGAACAAAGTAAAAAATAATTCCTGTTTTTGTGGTGCTTATATTCTAGTTGAAAAAGACAGCAATGAAGAGATAAATTATGCAGTATGTTTGGTGGTAATACATGCTAAGGAAAAAATAAACCAAGTATAGGGATTAAAAGAGTAATTGACAGTGACTCTTACAGTATCCAAATCCAAAATTTTCTGATGTATATTTTATAACAAATTAATTTTTTCCTTCATCATTGATCAATGTATTTTTTATGTGCTATTTAGATGTTGACAACATATTTTTTTATTGTCAGTTATTTCTCCCAAGTTTCATGATTTTTATCAAATTTTACTGTGCACAGTTTCAGTCAAAATCTTTATGGGTTGTTTCTAACTGTGATGTTTATTAGCAATTGGATAAAAGTTTGTGGTGACTTGTATTTATTTCGTGGAATAAAAAGCTATGAGGATACAGGGAAGGACCTCTATGCTCTCAGGTTTGTTTCTGTCTTTGAAACTACCTGGTCTCTCTCTATTCTTGCCTTATTTGCCTCAGAACTGTTCTAGCTGTAGTATTTTTTCTTTCTTCATCTTCATTCACTTTTCTACTGGCTTTTTTTTCCTCTGCCTTTTATGCACATGTACACATATGTACATGCATACACACGCTCAGGGTTTACTTCCCTTGGGCCTATGATAGCTTCTTTTACCTCTACTCTATTGTTTCTTTCACTCTAAAGAGTGGCTTATATTTGCCTTTTCTTTAAATCTTGTAACTCTGACTTGAATTTTGGTTCCTGTTTTTCACTACAACCTAAATCTTTTTGTTGTTTGTTTGTTTTTTAGTACTGGGAATTGAACACAGAGGCAGTAAACCACTGAGCCACATCCCCAGCCCTGTTTTATATTTATATTTTATTTAGAGACAGGGTTAACGATCCTCCTGCCTCAGCCTTCCAGGCTGCTGGGATTACAAGCATACACCACTGTGCACAGCATAAAATCATTCTTTTTGACCTTATCTCTATCATTTGGCATTTTGGGCAGTTTTTATTTGTTTTGTTCTTCCCTTGATCCCTCATTCTATTCTGTTGATAGTGATGCATTTCTTATGTATCTCTCCTTCTTTAACTTCTGTAAGTTCTCTTTTTCTTCTTTGGATTTTTTTTTCCTGTCTTCTCTGGCTCTGTGAACAAGATATTGACACATCCCAAGGCTTTTCTTTTATTGTCTTTTAATTCAATGCTCCTAGGCCCGAGGGGTTTGTGAGAAAACTGAGGTTTGAGAAAAATAAGTAACCTGCCCCTAAAGATACAAATTAATATATCTGCTAGAATTCTAATTGGACGTATTTCCTTATGTCTAGAAAATTTTTCCCCTTGACCACTTTATAAGTAAGGAAGTATATTTTTGTGATAAAACTTTTACTTTTCCATCTCTATGTGATGGAGATTCCCCAAAGGGTTTTATTGATAGAGTGCTATAATTAAACTTGAATTCTGGAACATTCTCTCTGGAAGCAGTAGATTTTAGGTGAGCAAGATTTAACATGAAGATGGAAGGTACTTGTAATATTTGTGCAAGAGAGTCAGAACTTGGCTAATTGTGGAATTGGAGGCAAATGGAGGAAAGAAAGTTATTTAATGGGTGTTGGTAAGCTGTCAAGTGTGAAATTTTTTTCTGTATGTATGTTTTTATTTCATTTTTTAAAAATTTTATTTGTTCTTTTTAGTTATACATGACAGAATGTATTTGACATATATACATGGAATATAACTTCCCATTTTTGAGGTTGTACATGATGTGGAGTTACACTAGTCATTTATTCATATATGAATATAGGAAAGTTATGTCCAATTCATTCTAATGTCTTTCTCAGTCCCCTGTCCTCCCTTCCATTCTGTCCAATCCTGTGTGCCTCCCCTTCTCCCTTCCCCTCCTGCTTATTGTGAGTTGAGTATGAAATTGACAGTAAATAAGTAGTCTTCTGGTTAAATGACTGGGAGATCATGAGATAGTTGCCATGATGGGAATGTGAAAGGAAGAGTAGTAGGACTGCTACTGGAGAAGATGGTTCCAGTTTTCCCTTTGCAAGTGGAGATTTCTAGCAGGAGATCATTGTTATAAGAAATGTAATAAGTGCTACTTTTGTAGGTACATATGTAGATAGTTATTGAGGTCATGAGTATGAATGAGATTATTTAGTGAGGTGCATAAACCACGAGCAGAGGGTTGAAGATAAGAAAGTGCATCCTGGAGTCATGTTGGTGGTTACTGAAGAAACTGAAAAGCTGCAAGTCAGAGATAAGTTTGGGAGTAAGGGACTGAATATTACAGGAAAGGTCAGAGTACGAACATCCCTATTTTAATTTTTAGCTTCAATCTCATTTCTTTCACAGTAGATTTTTAGCTAGCATTTTATCATCTTGGTTGTGCTGAACAAGTGATTTTTTTTTTTTTTTTTTTGGCCAAATGTGACTCTTTTTGTTTGTCTTGAAAAGCCCATTTTCCATTACCTTGATGTGATTTAATCTTAAATCTCTCTGGTCCTGATTTCTTTTCTGTCCTTTAACTATACTTCTTTCATTATACTTATAAACGGATGATTGTCATGAACTCAAATTTGGCTTAACTAACTAGGAGTACTCATTGTTTTTTCCTCTTGAACTCACCTTTCTGCCCAAAACCTCTTAATTATGCTAGTCAGTTGGGCTTGGAAAACTCCAGACACCTGAATGGCTCTTTATAACCAGTCAGGCAGTACTATTAGATTTCCCGCTTTGTCTTTCCTTTCCTCTGTCTCTCTCTCTCTCTTTTTTTTGTACCAGGGATTGAACTGAGTTGGCCACTTGGCTACTGAGCCACATTCCTAGACCTCTTTTGCATTTTATCTAGAGATAGTCTCTCACTGAGTTGCTTAGTACCTAGCCATTGCTGAGGCTGGCTTTGAACTCAGTATTCTTCTGTCTCAGACTCCCAAGCCACTGGGATTACAGGCATGCGCCACTGCGCCCAGCTCCTTTTTTCTTGTATTCACACTGCCATCATAATTTAGGCCCTTATAGCCTCTTTAATGAACCACTACAATAAATCCCTATTTGGTCTTTCTTCCAGCTTTCCATTAACAGTATAGTTTAAGTATTCTTTTTCATAGAAAGCTATACTTATTTTGCCCTACTTCTATTCACAGTGTTCAGTGATTTTCTTGTTCCCATAGGATAAACATTAAACTCATTACGGTAGCTTTATAAAACTCTTATATTTCCTGTGGACCCCGCCCCCCACTGCCCCCATTAATGAACCAATCTGACCAGTCTATAGTCATTGTTTCTTCAACATTCCTCCCCTGAGTCCCTTTCTCTTCTATCCACGTGATTGAATATTAGCCATCTAAACACTCTTCGCTACCACCTGCTTCACACTACATGCTTTCTTCTTCTGTACTCCTATAATACTAGCAGTATGTGTGATGGTTGGAATATCTGTAGTTGAAAGTGTAGGTTCTAAAACCATATTTAAATAGATTCTGCACTCAGTTGTTATATGACTTTGGGCAAGTTCTTCCCGTCTTTGAACTTCAGTGTGAAAGACTATTGTCATTATTAAATGAGCTTTCTTTTTATTATTATTATTATTATTATTATTATTACTTATTATATTTTTGCATTACAATTCTTTTTTCAACATTTTTTTTTATTTTTTTGAAAGTAGTTGGAAACAATACCTTTATTTTTATTTATTTATTCTTACATGGTGCTGAGGATTGAACCCAGGGCCTCGCATGTGCTCGACAAGCTCTCTACCGCTGAGCCACAATCCCAGCCCCAAAATTACAATTCTTAATACACCTTTATATCACAATTTATCATATCTCTGATTGTATATAAGGTATATTGACACCAAATTCACATCTTCATACATGTATTTTGTATAATGATGAGGGTCTCCTTCCACCATCCATGCTATTCCCCTTCTCACTCCTTTTCCCTCCCACCCCTATTCCCTATCTAGAGGTTATCTTCCTCCCTTGCTCTCCTTCCTAACCCCATTAAATGAGCTTTCTTGCATGAATTATTTAACCCAACCCAGATCTTGGCAGAGTAAGTTCTCAGTTAATGTCAGGCAGTTTTTTAATAATTGCATTCTGACTTATGTTAGTCATTATCTTTATATATGATTTATCACTTCAAGTAGAATTTAATCATTCCCCTCCTTTGTGTTTCTAGTAGAACTGGCATAATCATTTGTTGCTATCCAATATCTGATAAATGTTGAGTAATTAGTTAAATTAATAATGAATGGAAAGTACTTTTTATTGGTACATAATAATCATATACAATAGTGGGATGTGTTGTGATATATTTGTATATGCAAATGAAAGAATTTGGTCAAGAAAATTGTACTTTAAACAAACATTTAATCTTTAGCTATTGAAGTTCTCTTGTATTTAGTATTTTAGACATATTAAAGTATAAAATTGTTTACCTTGATTTAACTACATTAAACACTATTTTTTCCCTTTCTTTTTTTGGAACTGCAGATTAAACCCAGGGATACTTCATCACTGAGCTACATCCCCAGTCCTTTTTTTTTTTTTTCTTTTGAGACACAGTCTTACTAAGTTTTTGAGGTTTCCTAAGCTGATGCTGGCGTCAAACTTGTGATCCTCCTGCTTCAGCTTCCCTAAGTTGTTGGAATTACAGGCATGTGCCACCATGCCCAGCTAAATGCTAGATTTTTAATTTTAATGGCAAAATACAAAGAAAAATTTGAAATCTCCTTTGCAGTCCTGATCCTTAAATTACAAGTAAAAACTTTGACTGTAAGAGGAGGTGTTTTCTTAGCTATTTTTTAGGCCAGGAATGAAGCTCTTCTTCTCTTCATGTAGCACTATATTTACAAAGATGACACTTTATTCAAATTATGGTCCTAATGTCAGAGTGAAATGGAACATTTGAACAATATTTGAATATATTTATTCATCATTCAAAATTTACTTTGAAATAACTTTTTCAAAAATAATTTGGTCATGTTTGATTTTAGAGCCTATCAAGAAAGAAGATTTCTTTCACAACTCATCCAGAAGTTTATCTCTGTTCTGAAATCAGTCCCGCTGTCTGGTAACTGGCTTTTCTATTCAGCTCATTTGTAAATTTATTCTATAGACTTTCCTATGGAATTTACCTGTCTGTAGTCTAAAAATTGCTCTTAGAATGATTTCAAATTGTAACAATAAAGTATATGTCCTTTCCTTTTCTAGTATATTGCAAATCGTAGCATTGACAGCCTTGAAGGTTATTTTAAAGGTACCAGCCTGGTTATTAAAATGTCATTTAGTTAGCAAACATTTTTATATTTGCTTACTAGGTTTATGTCTTGTCCTGTATAAGGTGCTGGAATACAATAGTGAACAAGACAGAGACTTGTTCACTTGTTGTTCATAATGGGATATTGAATAGTGTTTTTCAAGAGATATTAAATATTGTTTAAAGGGAAAGAGAAGAATTACTTTTTAGATATAATCTACAAATGAAATTGGTCAAGACCATTATGACCTATTCATTGATGAGAGTAATAAAATTACTCACTATATAGATTATACTGTATTATCTATATGTGTACTATGAGTATACTGTATATACATGAGTATACTATATACTATATACAGGTGTGTGTGTGTGCATGTGTTTTTTTGTTTTTTTTTTTGCGGGGGGGTGTACTGGAGATTGAACTCAGGGGCACTTGACCATTGAGCCATATCCCCAGCCCTATTTTGTATTTTGTTTAGAGACAGGGTCTCACTGAGTGGCTTAATACCTTACTGTTGCTGAGGCTGGCTTTGAACTTATGATCCTCCTGCCTCAGCCTCCTGAGCTGCTGGGATTACAGGCATGCCCCCACTGTACCCCACTTACATATGTGTTTATATACCTGTATGCCAAGGGGAGTCAATTCAATATATGAGGTTGTTAAGATCTTGATAAGCATTTAATGAGTACAAATAGATTTTTACTTAATAAAGGTATATATGCTGTATAAGATGTCATCATTTAATATTTTATTTCTTAAAGTGAAATATAATCTCTAAGAACAGCTTTATAGTTGTATCATGTTTATATTTTCGTATAGCTTTGTTTAAAATGCAATAGAATTACTTATTTAATGCTGATTTTCCAGGTAATATTTAACAACTGAATATTTTAACTAAAATTCAGTCAGGATTAGGTATCAATACTATAAACCACCTATACCCCATTTGGAGCATAATACTGCTAACAAACAATATAAATTGTCATATGCTTATATCTAAGTTGTTTAATATTAGTATATTTAAATCTTTTTGTTAAGTGCCTTAAACCTCAAATGAGGGTGAAGATTGGAGTTTCTTGGCACAAACAGTAGCAATATATGCTTTGAACTATTAATGTCTCCAATAATCAGGGTCATAAAATTTATTTCTCTAATTATGGAATGTTAATCCAGGGTCATCTAGGTTTAAAAATCAATTAACAAAATTTCTTAGGTGATTATTCTGTTTTTCTTTTTTTGGTACTGGGGTTTGAACCCAAAGTTGGTTTACCACTGAGCTATAGCCTCAGCTCTTTTTATTTTTTAGTTTGAGATAGGGTCTTACTGAGTTGCTAAGACTGGCCTCCAACTTGTGGTCCTCCTGCCTCAGCTTCCCAAGTTGCTGGGATTATAGGCATGCACCACCACACTTAGCCTTCTTAGATTTATCTTAAACTTTAATCAAAAATTGTTGCTGGGCACAGTGGTGCATGCCTGTAATTCCAGTGATTTAGCAGACTGAGGCAAGAGGATTGAGAGTTTGAACCCAGCTTCAGCAATTTAGTGAGGTCCTAATCGACTCAGCAAGACCCTGTCTCTAATAAAATATAAAAAAGGGCTGGGAGTGTGGCTTGGTGGTTAAGCGTCCCTGGGCGCATGCATATATATATGCATATATATATATATATATATATTTTTTTTTTTTTTTTTTGCTGGCAAAGGAATCGATAAGATGGTGAAAATAATGTGCCAGTTCAAAGAGGCATGTATGAAGATGAATGGAAGAGTTAGGAAACAAAAAGCTTATTTTTAAAAGAATGAGAAGGATTGTTGTTTCATTTTATAGGTTTATTTAAAAAAAAAAACACTCATACTAGTTGTAATAAGCAATCTGTGTAGGATTCTCTAACATGTCAAAACTGCTATCAGAGGAAGGAAAAGAAAGATTGCAGTATACTTGACACAAATGATAAGAATGTGTTTGTCTCAAATTGGAACAACAAAGTTTTTACTCTGTGTTCCTCTGACCATCAGAGCATAGAACTTAATGACACCAAGCTTTGTTATCTAATATTAACCAGGCCATTGCCAGCCATTTTTCCAAAGGTTCAGAATGCAGAATTTGCTAACTTTTTAAGTTTTAGAAGAAATATTTTTCCTTTGACAATTATAAGAATGAAAGCAATGGAGGCCTAGTTTGAATGAATTTAATTTAAAAATTGCTCCTTTTGGGGGTGGTATTAGGGATTAAACCCAGGGACGCTTAACCTCTTGAGCCACATCCTCAGCCTTTTTAAATTTTTATTTAGAGACAGGGTCACGCTAAGTTGCTTAGGGTCTCACTAAATTGCTGAGGCTGCCCTTGAACTCAAAATTCTCCTGCCTCAGCCTTCTGAGCCTCTGGAATTATGGGCCTCTGCCACCAAGCTTGGCTCCTTTTAATTCTTTGAACAGCTGTATGACTTGCACTAAGTTCTGAAAACTTGGCTTCCAGTTCTGCATCTTCATCAAGTCATTTCTTTTGGGGTCCTCAATTTAACAATTAGAAAATGAATATCTAGGATAGATATTTTCTGCCCCACCCCCCATTTTTAAAATTGGTGCATTATAGTTGTACATAATTGAATAGATGTTTTTTAAGGTCTTTTCCAGCTATTGAATTTTATTTTTCTGTTACTGCAGGGTCTGGATTATGGGCATATTTTAACTGAAAATTTATAGGGAAAATTCCAGTTAACATTCCTGTGTATAAGTCACAAAAGTATTTACATTTCTTCACATAAAGCCTTCCATTTTCCATTCCACTAGAAGTAAATAAAATGAATGTATTTTTAAAAATGTTTATAGGGTATCTTTTACAACTCTGCCACTTGAGTTGTCTCTGGACATCAGAGACCTGAAAGTTATTTGATTTCACAATGCAGCCAACTTAACAGGATGGTTTTAGCTAATAAATGATAGATCATTTCCTAGAATTAATAAAAATCTTATGCTCTGAAAGTATTTTATATTTTGTATCACAAAATATTTTAATTACTTTAAAACAAAAAAGAATGATTTTTAAATGGTGCATTATGTCATGAATAGCATAAAATAAAATTGTGATTTTAAAATATTTCATTGCTTTGTGTCATTGGTATTTTAATATCAAAAGTAATACAGTAGGAAAAGATAACATAAATTACTCTATACTGCTAATTTTCTATGTATTTTAAAGATGTGTACATATATACATGTGTATATACATATTCTGTGTATATCTACATAAACATGTATTTATATATATGAAAAAGCTTTTAGAAGTTTAGGATATGATCATACTAAGGAAAGTAGAGCAAATTCTGATATAAAACTACTTTTTGGTGGTTTTTCAAAATCTAGTCACTAAGTATGGGTTTTAAAAGTTAGCACTTTAAAAAATATCTTTTTGCACATGTGACACAAGGTCATGTTTGTAGAGCAAAATAGCAGCTAAATATCAGTCTGCCTTTTAAAAAATATACAGGATATTCTTACTCAAAATCATAGTTATTGTGAATAAGAGGTAAATGATTTTGCTTATATTATTAAATTTTAAGAAGTAGCACATATAGTCTAGTAAAATTCTAACATGTTTCTCTTATGTCTAGAACCTGTCACTATGGACAAAGTTCATTATTGTGAAAGATTTATTGAACTTGTGATAGATCTAGAGGTAAGAAATATAGAATGACTTGTTAGGCATTTATTAAGAGTCTAATAAGCTTAAGCATATGACTGCATGTGATATATTTCTTTATCACCTCTAACTGTATTATTTGAACCTTATGTCAAGGTGTCGCATACTCACAAGTTATTGTACTTTTAGGTTTTGAGATGACTGTCCCATTTGACATGGGCGACTATTTATTGTCAACTTTTTAAATAATTTTTTTTTTAATTTTTTAGACATTGATGGACTTTATTTTATTCATATGTTTGCATGTGGTCTGAGAATAGAACCCAGTGCCTCACACATAGTAGGCAAGTGCTCTACCACTAAGCCACAACCCTAGCCCCTAAATTAAAATTTTTAAAGGATAAGATTCCATAATACTATGTGCAGAATGTTGGTAGGAATTTCAGATAAAGATAAAAAGTGATATATTTCAAATAAAATCCATTTTCTTTCCCTTATAAAGTGGGAAGTTGAAAAAAGATCTTTTTGTGCCTTATTTTGAATGATTGTTAGAATATTGGACTAGCAGTCATTCTATAAATCTTCATTTATATTCTAGATGTGACAGTAACAAATTTATTTCCTTTTGGTATGTAGGAGCTCAACTTCATCTGTTAAATGCGTTATGATTAGATAATGGTTTTCAAACTGTAATGGTCCCATAGTTTCTCATCATCACCTTTCTGACTATCATGGGGTAATGTGGGGAGAGGAAAGGGAAACGGGGGTCTTCATTTAGGGAGACTTTTCCTTTTTCTTCAAAACAGCTCCATTTTTAAACATACACAATTTATACTGGGTTTTAAACTTAATTGCAACTTCACACTGAAATTGCATGTAGGATTTTGTTGGAAAACTATTTGTTGAGATGACTTGTGAAAATTCTTCCTGTGTTAGATATTATTTTTAATTTTCTCTTTAAAGTTCTGTTATCATCATTGTTATTAACTAAAAACACTGTCACTGAGTTTATTGACAGCATGACCCATGCCCCTTGCTATGTGCACAGTATGTCTTTGTGGAGGCTGGAGGGTACTTTGTGATGAGTAATTCTGAGTTAAATATAGTAGACTTTACCTTTATACTATCTGCAGAGAATACATGCAGAATTATTGCTGTGATGTTTATTTTTCCTAGGCCCTGCTCCCTACAAGGCGCTGGTTTAATACCATTCTAGATGACTCTCATCTTTTGGTTCACTGTTACCTTTCCAATCTTGTTCATAGGGAAGAGGATGGTCATCTTTTTTCTCAGGTGAGCACTGATATACCTAAACATACTTAACCATTTTAATTTCTAGGTTCATCTTTGCCAATTGGAAGTACGAGCATATGACAAAAAGTAAATTCTTGGAAGGATGATAAAATGAGATAGACATTATTGCCCTGTATACATGTATGATTACACTACTGAAGGGACTGTACACCATGTACAGCCAGAGGAATGAGAATTTGTGTGCCATTTGTGTATAATATGATAAAATGCATTCTGCTATTATGTATAACTAATTAGAACAAATTTAAAAATGTAAATTCTTCTAAATATCGAATGATGTAAAATTCTAATCATTTTAAAGTCAGGTCTTAATATATAAAATTAATGCATTCTTGCATAGGTGGCCTTTAATAAGTATATATTCTAACTATGTTATTTATGTATGACTTTATTATTGGACTAAATTGTGATTTTGGTGATGTAGTTCCACATGTTCACATATTTTGATTTTATGTGAATAACCATTGTGGAATATAGTCAGTGATGAGCGCTAGTTTCAAGTAAACTGTGCCCAATACCATGGCTCTGTCTTTCCACATGATGGTGGTGACAGGCAATTGATAGCATGGAAATGTATGTACACTTATCCTGCTACCTTGGGTTGGAAGGTAAATGTACTTTAAGGAAGGCAAAAATATTAATATTTCCTGTTTTTTGTAGCATCATATAGAAGAAAACATAACAAACTTGTAATTATTCTTTCTTTTCTTTCTTTTTTTTTTTTTTAGTACTGGGAATTGATCTCAGAGGCACTTAACCACTGAGCCACATCCCCAGCCCTATTTTGTATTTTAGAGACAGGGTCTCACTGAGTTGTTTAGTGCCTCACTGTTGCTGAGGCTGGCTTTGAACTTGTGAACCTCCTGCCTCAGCCTCCCAACCTGCTGCAATTACAGGCATGCACCACCATGCCTGGCAATTATTATCTTTGAATGATATCATAATGGGAGATACAGTTTTTGTGTGCATTACATATTATTTTATCTCATGTCTATAAGCATTTCTTTTTCTCATCCTCTTTATAAATTTTTGTCCAGTGAGTTGTTGTGTGTCTTAAAATCTTAATATCTAATCTGCTATGAATTTGAAGTAAAATAATTCAGGTTTGAGGTGAATATAATTAGTAAACTCTTTTGATGCTGCTGCTACATGGGGAAAGCAGACTCTTTTTTTAAACACTATTTTTTTTTTCTTTCTACTGGCTCTTTTTAGTTAAACATAATATTAGGATTCATTTTGACAAAGTTATTAAAATATAGAATATAATTTGTTCTAATTCAGTCCCTACTGTATACTCCCTTTCTCTTCCCTCTCCTTCTTCCCTTCCCTCTACTGATCTTTCTGCTATCTATCGATATATATATTTTTTAAATTTGTATCTTATAAATATACATGATGGTGAGATTCACTGTGGTATATTCATATATACACATAGGAATATTAGGTCCTATTTATTCTACTGTTCTTTCCTTATCCCATCCCACTTCCCTTCCCTCCAGTTCTCTTTGTCTACTCCACTGACATTTCTTCTATTTTTTTGAACCCCTCCCCCACTTTATCCCTGATCAGCTTCTGCACATCAGGGAAACATTCAACCTTTGACATTTTGGGACTGGCTTATTTTACTTAGCATGATAGTCTGCAGTTCCATCCATTTACCAGAAAATGCTATAATGTCATTTCTCTTTATTGTTGAGTAATACTTCATTGTAAATATATACCACTTTTTCTTTATCCATTTATTTGTTGAAAGGCACCTGGGTTGGTTCTATAACTTAGCTATTGTGAATTGTGCTACTATAAACATTGTGGCTGCATCAATGTAGTATGCTGATTTTAAATCTTTTGGATATATAACAAGGAGTGGATTACGTGGGTTATATGGTGGTTCTATTTCTAGTTTTTTTGCGGAATCTCCATACAAAAGCAGGGACTCTTTAGCAGCTGGCACCAAGCTAAAGGCTTAATGGCTGTGAAGACTGATAAGAGGAATGGACAACTTAACTTTTCCCACCTTACAGTTTCTCCCTAACAGAAGCAGCACAAAGAAGAATATCTCTACTTACAAATCCAAAACCCTCATTCACATTGGGGATTACAGTTTAAATTCTCTGTAGAAGTAGACCATGTATAAGTAATAGACTTAGCAATTTATTCATAAGACATATTTTGTTTTCATGTAAACTAAATGTGTTTGGGTACGTTCTGAAATATTTGTTATGATCTTTACATTCCAAAAATTTTCAGCAGCTCTGAGAAAATTGCATTATTGACTTGTTTATTTTATTAAATAGTGCTATATTTTTTTGGTCTTATTTCCATAGTTAATTAATTTAAATCTATCCTTTCAGCTTTTGGACATGCTTAAGTTCTATACTGGTTTTGAAATTAATGACCAGACTGGAAATGCTCTGACAGAGAATGAGATGACCACAATTCATTATGATAGAATTACTTCTCTACAGGTAATTGAAATGGACTTTAGCCTTTTCTTTAATCTAATTATTGTATAGATGCAAATAGAAAAAAAGAAGTACTAATATAATAGTGTTTTATCATCAACTTTTAAAGTTTTCTAATTCTGATGAATTAATGAAAAAAAATGACTTTCATAGTGCATCTGAGTCCTATGAGTCAATATGATGTTATTCTACTCCGAAATATTAGTTACTAGGCCAGTTTGGTACAAATATTGGTCTTGCTGCCACTTTTATTTCATGAACAAGTGCTGCATCATACGGTAAAGTGTATGAAAGCATTTTACACATTTTTAAGATCAACACATGTAATAGGACTGAAATTTACCAATGTAGTTCATATATGCCAAAAGAAGTACTTTTGTTTTCTGTTACTGACCTCACTTTGCTATTGAGCTTCATTTTTGTTTTTTTTGATGACAGAAGGATGCTTTTGTCAGTTTAAGTTTTTTGGAGGGTAAAGTCTTAAACAGAAGTTTAAACTCTTTTTGATAATCAATTCTACTCTCTGCTTGATTTTCTGACCTCCCTCCTCTTTCCACAAGTGACATCAGGGTGTACATGGAGGCTCTAAAGTTCATTGTTTTGGAAGAGGAATGAACTCAGATGTCTTTTCCTTCTTTTCTCAGAACATTAGTGTTTTTGTTCTTTTGCCCTTCAAGTAACCATAGTTGGTATGGATGTGGTTTTATCCTGTTGGTACAGGCAAGGCATGATGACTGGTCTCAAGGAACTCCATACTGCTTATGGAGTCTCCTGTTTTGTTCTTTATGTTGGTAGTGTTCTTCTGAGAACTGATTCTCACTCATTCTCAACTTAGTCATTTTGTAGTTGTCTTCAATAATCCCATGCAAACTCACTCATAACATTGGTGACCTGTGTGTGTCATCCACCATGGAGCACATAAAAACTTCTGAGTCTCTTCTGTAACACAGGGGCATCAAGGAAGACTAAGAATGTTGTCTTAGATATTTACCATCTTAGTGCTGCTATTTCTATTTTCTTATAGCTTATTCCATATTGGTTGGGAACGTTAGCCTACAGATCTTTTCTTCTTCGAGTTCCAAACAAAAACAGGGTGTAAGCATATTGTGTTTTGCCTCTCTCCTCAGGTTATTTTTTCAATGGGAACTTTCCCTTGGGATTTTATTTTAGTCTTGTAAGGTCAGTTCTTGATAATAAAATTTTTTTTTTTAATCCCCTTCTGTTAATAGCCCTCATGGCTATTTTTATATAGTCAAAATCAATTTTAGAAATAAAAATTTGAAAACACTGGCTCTTCATTTTTGCTTTCCTGCTTGAATAATTCTTGGTGGTTGTTGTTTTGCTTTTATTTTTTTTCTGTTGCATTACATATTTCTGGATGAATAAGGTGCAGGTCACATCCTAGATGCCTATAAGAAAGGGTAGTACATTATACTTTTAGAAAACATTTCCACCATACAGTCTGTAAATTTTAGATGGTTTTATTAAGATGTAGATATTAATTATTTATATTTTTTGTCATTCTGTTTCAGAGAGCTGCTTTTGCACATTTCCCTGAACTCTATGATTTTGCCCTCTCCAATGTGGCAGAAGTAGATACTCGGGAATCCTTGGTCAAGTTTTTTGGACCTCTTAGGTAAGGAAACACACAAAAGAAAAACTATTTATAAACTCTCTTAGTATCATGCTCCTTGAATTTTACTTTGTTGCTTTTATTAATTTTTGCATTATTTTAGATAATGCTGCTTGTTCCTTCACTCTTCATTGACATCTAAGCTTATGTTATTCTCTAACAGTTTGATATCTTTGAGTCACTTAAAAGCAGTTATCCATCCCCCTGCCCTCCTCCTCCTCCTCCTCCTCCTCCTCCTCCTCCTCCTCCTCCTTCTCTCTCTCTCTCTCTCTCTCTCTCTCGCCTTTTTTGGGGTAAAAGATATTTTTCATAATTTATGTCATTTTATAGATCTTAAATTTTTCCTATAGTAGGACATTAAATTGGTCAATCCCATTAGTCAAGTAAGAGACATCCATAATGGTTCATCATTTGTGATATTAGTTTTATGACTTAGGAACATTTTTGCATGGTTAAAATTTATAAAATTAGTAATATTGTCTGGCATTTAGTTATCTGCTAATATAGGTTTTTGAAAATAGCGGAAGTAATCACGTTTATTTAATATTAAGTGGTACTATGCTAAGTGTGTAAATAATCCTCAAAACTTCATATTAGTAATAAATACCATTTTTTTTTAAAAAGTAACTAAGGCATAGAATAAGTAATTTGCTTGGTTACACAGCAAATAAGTGATAGAGATAAGATTTGAACCAGTTTAATTCCTGAACCCTAAGTTTTAACACTGTTCATTATTTCCCTTTTGTTCTTAACTCTTGGGAGAAATTATGTAGTTATTTTGTATTTGAAATGAAACAAACTAAGGTTGATTTGTTTATTCATTTTCAAGTGAGGATCTGATTATAATTCTGATAATAGGTCTATTTTATTCTTTGAAGTAATTGCATTGAGTTCTATTAAATGGTACTATCACACTGTTTTTTAATTACTCACTTACTGATGGATCTTTAACTATAAAATTTTGGGCTATTACCAACAATTCTGTATGAGCATCTGTGTTAGTCAGATTTCCATTGCTGTAATAAATATGTGAGATAAATGAATTTTAAAAGAAGAAAGGTTTATTTTGATTTACAGTTTAGAGGTGCCAGTCCATGGTCTGTTGGCCCTAGAGTAGGAATGCATGGCAGAAGTAGATCACTTATAGCAGGTTAGCAGAGAAGGAGAGGGAGGAAGGACCAGGGTCCCAAAATCTTCTTCAAGAATATGCTCCCAATAACCTAACTTCCTTCCAGTAGTCCTCCCAGTAACGCCACAGGCTGGAGACTAATCCTTCAACACATGGGCTTGAGAGAGATTCAGTATTTAGACTAGCAGCATTCCTTGTTCCTTCTATATAAAGAAAAAAATTTAGTGTTGATTCCTAGAAGCAAATGGCTGACTCAAAGGTTGTATGTTTAAAATTTGTTCCTTCAGAAAAGACTAACAATTTACACTTACTACCAACACTAAGTAAATGAGTCCTTACTTTTTCCCCATCCAAGAGCAGAAAAATCCTTATTGTTTTACTTTGCATTTTTTTCATTATATTGGGAAAATTGAGTATCTTTAATTTTGTTAGCCATTTGCATTTCTTCTGTAACTTTCCAGTTATTCTTTACTATTTTTTATTTGATTGCTTATTTTCTTACTCATTTTATTTTTGAGAAACCTTTATATAGTCTAGATATTAATCCATTATCTAGTTTGTATTACATGATTATTTTTCTCAGTTTAACTTTGTAATTTCTTTTGTTATTACAGGTATTTTAATTTTTTTGTTTTAGTTTCTAAACTTTATTAGTTCTACCTCATGCTAAAATTCCTGCAGAGTTGGGATTTAATACAATGATCTCAAATGAAAGTGGCATTTTAAAATAAATTAAAATGCAAGCATATCTGTATCAGTCTATTTTTAAATGTGTCATTAAATTGGTTTAAAAGTCCAGTGTCAATTATATATCTGTAAGTGTTTAAATAATTTCATAATTTTTAAAATTTTTGCACCCACTCTGTTTTTTGTTTGTTTTGCAGATGTTTTAATTTTTTAGTTAATCACATCTGTCAATCTTCTTTTTAGTGATTATACTTTATGTAGAAGACCTTGTGGGCCCTAAGGTTACAAAATATTGTCTTATGTTTTTAGACCATTTTTACATATTACATTTATTTTATCTGCATAATACATTTGAGGAAAAATTTTTTTCCAGTAGCTCATTAAAAATATGAAATATAATCCATTATATGTTAACATGTTTATTATTAATGAAAAATGTATACTCTAAATGAAAAAAACACAATGGGAAGAGTGACATTGATTTACATGTTTGTGAATCTTTTAATGTCTGGTTTATTGAAGCTAATTGGGTTTGTACATGAGCTTTAATGTCTTACTCATAAAGACTCAGATAAGGTGTAAATCCTTCCCAAATTTATCTATAGATATAATTTAATTTCAGACAAAATTCTAGCATAGTATTTTGAAAAATTGACAAACTTATACTAAAAGTAATATGGAAAGGCAAGGGAACTAGAAGAAACACAATCATTTTGAAAATGAACAGTGTTGGATGAATTCTACTAGCTACTTCCACTATTTAGTATAAAGCTACAGTAAAGAAGATATTATAGTATCAAAAAGGGTTGATTTATGGATCAGTAGAGTAGAATAGAGATAGAATTCAGAAATAAGACACTCTCTCTCTCTCTCTCTCTCTATATATATATATATATATATATATATATATAGTTAGTTAGTTAGTTGATTTTTATAATGTACTTAGTTAGAATTAAATTAATTTACTAATATGAAGAAAGGATAATTTTTCAACAGTGATGTTAGAACAGTTAGATATCTTTATGCAAACTATGAATGAACCTTGAACCATAACTTTGCATCATATACACAAAAAACTCAAATTGAATTACAGACTTAGATATCAAAAATAAAACAGAAAAAAAAAACTTTGTCATTATGGTTTGTGCCAAGATTTCTACAGACACCAAAGCACAATGGAAAAATTAAGAATTGGCCTTTATTGATATTTAGAAAAAGTCAGCTCTTTGAAAGACATTGTTTTCAAAGAGAATCAAAAGACAAGCCACATACTAGCAGAAAATATTGACTAAAAAACACATACGTGATGAAGGATTGGTATTCAAAAGTCTTAGAATTCCATAAGAAGAAAATAACTAATTAAATGGTAAGAGATTTAAATAGATAAAGTATCAAAGCAAATAGATGTTAGTGCATGAAAAGATGCTGGGGAAATGCAAATTTGAATCATAATATACTTACTACATATGTATTAGAATTATTTAAAAGAAAGAAAAACAATGGACAATTTGCCAATGATGTGGAGCAACTGAACTTTTCAGACATTGCTGGTGGGAACTAAAAATGAGAGCCACTTTGGAAAAAGTCAACACTTTCTTTTAAAGTTAAACATGTGTTTACTATATGATCCAGCAATCCTTGCTTAAAGATATACCCAGGAAAAGTTAAAATTTTATCTTTATGCAAAAATGTATATAGTAGCTTTATTTGTAATTGTCAAAAACTAGAATACATATATATCCTTCAAGTGGTAAATGAATAAACACACCGTGATACATCATGTAATATAGAATAGTACTGAGCAATATGAAGCAATGGACTACAAATACACACCACATTGTGGGTGAATTTCATCCACCAGTATCAGAAGACATCCAGTGTCCAAGGCTACCAAATGTGTGGTTTGACCTTCTGGAAAAGGCAAAATCATAGAGATTGAAAATACATTAGAAATTTCTAGAGAATGTAGTGAAGGTTTGATACAAAGTAGCATGAGAGAAATTTGGGGGTTGATGAAACTATTTAAGTAGTGGAAAGCTGTCAAGTTCACCGAAAAATTTGGAATGGGTATTCAAGAATCCAAATTTAATAACAGTTTTAATTTTTCACTGTTGCATCAGGGACATTCTTCAATAAAACTGGCTTTGTAAAGAAATACTTTGTGCAATTGAGGAATTCTGTGACTACTTTTAGCACAGGTTGGTGCCACTGACTGAATCTTTGCCAGCAATTTTACCCGTCAGTGCCTTTTTTTGGGGGTGCTGGGGATTGAACCCAGGGCCTTGTGGATGTGAGGCAAACACTCTATCAACTATATACTATATCCCCAGCTAATCTGTATCTATCTACTCTATATCCCCAGCTACCCACTAATGCCTTTGTACTGTCGGTGTATATATAAATATAGTGGGGGAGGGATGTCTTGGTATTAAAAACGTGCTGTCCTTGCAGTTCCCTTGAAAGGACTTTAGGTACCATGAGGTTTGTAGAAAATACTTAAAAAAAAAAACCTGAATACTTAAAAAAAAAAACCTAAGTTTAATTTTCATTACTGTCTTTTGATATTGGCTGCCCATATCATAGGACTATATTTATTTTTTAAACTGTGAAAATGCATGTTTCAAAAGCAAATTGAATTGTTATGAATAAAATGTTCTTCATTCTGCAGTTCAAACACACTCCACCAGGTGGCATCATACCTCTGCTTGTTGCCAACCCTTCCTAAAAATGAAGACACAACTTTTGATAAAGAATTTCTTCTAGAATTGCTGGTAAATATTAATATTCTCTGAATTTTTCATGTAGTTTTCTTTGCCTTTTTGAACTATTCAAAAAGATGTTGGTATACATTTCTACTGTACTAAAAGATTATACATAAATCATATATACAAATGAACTCAAAATGAATCACAGATTTAAATATCAAAACTAAAACAGAAAAAAAAATCTTTTTTTCTTGTGGTTCAGGCCAGTATTTCTACAGACACCAAAGCATAGTGAAAAAATTTATGATTTGGCCTTTATCAAAATTTTTAAAAAAGTCTGCTCTTTGAAAGACATTGTTAAGAGAATGAAAAGGCAGGCCACATACTGGGGGAAAATATTGGAATATAGACTGGTATCCAGAAGTCTCAGAATTGTATAATAAGAAAATAACTAAATAAATGGCAAGAGATTTAAATAGACACAGTATCAAAGCAGATAGATATTAGTAAGTCCATGGACAGATGCTTAGTATCTTGTCATTAGGGAAATGCAAATTTGAATCATAACAACACACAGCATAACGACTGTTTTGGAATTATCACTTGCTTTTTGTCAGATTTGATTTTTCATTTCTTGGATTTCTTCTCTCAGGTCTTTCATCTCTTGAAACTGCTTTTTGACAAGAACTCATTACATCAGCAAGCATTTATGAGCAGCTTCTTTGTCAGGCACTGAATTCACACATTGGAGATACATAATTGAAACCATTCCTTTCTTTAAGGAGATCACAATTAAACATACACAATACGTGTATATGAATAAGCATTCATATGTTTATTTTAAGTGATCATTTAAATATAGTTTCTTGAATATTTGGTTTTACCATTATCTCTAGGAAATCTTGGGAATGTTAGAAATATAAGAACTTATCACTAAGTAATTGAAGAATTCTTAGGGATTTCGCATTCATTTTTGGAAATGAGAAGCTTTAACTTTCAAACTATTTTTGTGTGTGTATGTGTCTGTGAAGATTTTTGTTTTGTAGAAATCATAGTTTTCTGTTATAATTCATGGAGTACATTCTCTAATAAGATAGAATTATTATAAATCGAATAGCTTTTCATGTATTTTAGACATTTTTGTGCCTAAGCTAACATACTGTGTTGATGTGCGTATACTTTTCTTACACATATGGAACCATATTAAGCATACTGTTTTATGATTTATTTTCTCAGCTAATATTTTTACTACAAAATGTAAAACACAATCTCTCACTGTAGGAAACAAGATGATGTACTAGTTTCACAGAGACCACAAACTCTTTGTAGCAGGTGTTTAAAGCCCTAGTGACAGGTGTTTTAAGTGCTGACTGGAGAGAAGTCTTTGGGAAGCATTTTAAATTAATTTAAGTATAGAAAAACACTTTCTTACTGGTAGGTTTACTTGCACGAAGAATATGACTTAGGCCACTGTCTTTGTCTTTCTTCCTTCAAGATCACTTTTCATTGTCTTTGACCACATATGTGCTTTCTGAAAATTCTTCATGCTATTTTCTGACAATATAAAATCTCTCATGAGTCAGGTTTTGGTATTAATAATAATCATAAAAATGTGGATTTTCTTCTAGAAATCTTTCTAACAGTATGTTTGAGTATAAAGTTGACTCTATGCTTTTTTGGGTCTTGTAACTAAAATCTTACCCTTAACATTTAAATAGGTATTCCAAAAGAAAATAATTTTTAAATGTATAGTGATACAACATAGCTTTTGTTTCCTCCCTTTCCTAAAAGAGGTCTTCAAGCTTTGGTTTCTTCTAATATCCAAATAACCATTGAAAAGTTAAAATATACATATTGCTTAGCTATCACAATATCTTTTTTCCTAAAATAATTTTACCTTGTACTAAACAGAATATGACATTTTCAAATGTTATTATTTTAGCAGTGTTGATTGGGTAACAAATTTATGTTTGTATGTGAGATGGATTGTTTTAATATTGCTATAATAATAAGGGTACCTCAAGGTCATCATTGAAGGGGAAATAGAGATAGTCCATTTCTCTTTTTACAAGGGAGAACACAAAACAGATCGTATAGTTAATATAAGAATGACAAATAGAACTTAGGGCTTCTATTTTTCTCTTAATGATAAATATTCAAGTGTTTAAACTCTGGGTGTGTGCCAAGGACTTCCACTATTTTACAATATTCTATCTGTACATGAGAAATCAGAGAGGTAAGTAGCACTTTTTCTGTTTTACTAAAAAGTAAACTAAGATCAGGAAGGTAACTTTCCCAGGTTTTCCTTGTTCATACATAGAGAAGCTGGGACTTGAACTCCAGTCCATCTAATTCCAAAGCCCATTACTATTGCTCCTCTTTCATCTTTGTTTTAATGGAGAAAATGGAGGAAAGAAAAAACATCTTGTTAAAGTGCTTCAATAACCTAAAAGACATAAAATTTCCCATTTCATACTTTATAGTGAATTTGGTCATAAATTATTTTGAGTGAACAAAGATGATTCTCACTTTCTGCATGAACTGTTTCCTTTCTCTTAGGTATCTCGACATGAACGTCGGATTTCTCAGATTCAGCAGTTGAATCAGATGCCTTTGTATCCAACTGAAAAAATTATATGGGATGAAAATATTGTCCCAACTGAGTACTATTCTGGGGAAGGTATGGTAAAGAGATATAGGATTCAGGTGTAACATGAAACAATTCAGAATTCATCGTATATAATTAAAAATGTATTCCAGTTTATCTCATAAATTAGGATAATTTTCTGGTACCTGAAGCTCAACTTAAAAAAATATTTAATATTTTGAATGCTTAGTACTAGTATTTTTATTAAATTTAACCATACCTTATTGTATATATGACACTATATATAAAGTATGACCGTAAAACTGTAAGACATAATGCTGAAAATATAACTTTCATTTTGTCACTATGATACGCTGTTTCATCGAACTTTTTTTTAGAGGTTCTTTTGAATTCTTTGTAGAGCAAAGTGATGACCACCAAAAAGAAATTTTCAGTAGTTGATAATGAACCCTGAATTTTGATCCAAAGTGATATTACCTAGTTTATTCACCTACCTTTCACTACATTTGGTTCTGTGGGCCTTTTACTCTTCCCCTAAGAATGAGACTTTGCCACAACTGAGAATATACAGAAGTATCTTCTGTCATATTTTGAAGACATATTTCAAAGGAAATTTCAAGAAGTCTTGAACAATGGCATTGTTATTAGAAAAATTGTGACTTTTAGAAAATCACAGATGTTTTCTTTTTTTTAATACTTTTTAGTTGTAGATGGCACAATACCTTTATTTTATTTATTATATTTATGTGGTGCTTAGAATTGAACCCAGTGCTTCACACATGCTAGGCAAGTACTCTACCACTGAGCTACAACCCCAGCCCCTCACAGATATTTTCTTTTGGTATATTTATTTAAAAGACAAATTACTTCCGAGTTGTATTCTAAATGCATAATTGCAGCAAAACCAGTGTACTAAAATTGTGCTAGAGTTCAGAATAGTCAGTCTTCCTATCTTTTTATAGCTAGGAAGGTTGATATGTTGTTTTCTTATGTCTAAGGATGCATTCTTGGGTGATAAAGCTACAGAAATTCAAGCAAGTGATGGTTATAGAAGTTGGGAAATGGTTCCTTTCAAGTGAAAGGAAGAAAATGTAAGGTATATGAGAGAGTCCTGGATAGCTAACAAGGTGATTCCAAAGCTTCATTTTTTTAAATGTGCTTTACTTTTGGCATATCTCCCTATATCTTTTTTTCCCCCTTTCCGTTGAAGAATCTGGGTTGTTTGATCTGCAGTTTCCCACAGCCCAGACTTTTCAAAAGAATATCTTTTGTTGTTTTTTGTTTTTTAAATAAAATGTGCTATGAAAAGAGATGGTCTCCCTCATCTTCTGGCCTGAAATAAATTGAATTCAGTTGCTAGTCAAAGTTGACTAATATAAATGACATGAAAATTTTTATGCAGCATTGTTTCTTGTCTTTAAGTCCTTTTGTTATATCTTTGATATTCTGCATGACAATCATAAAACTGATTTGCTAATAAAATGTGCTTTGGATTCTTTTTTTTAAAAAAAAAAAACCTTTTTGATAATGTCACGAAGTGCTTGGTTACTTATAATCCAAGAGAAATAGTGTTAAGTGAGGATAATGGAAAGAATATTTATCATTAACATAGAGAAGAGCAAGTCTGGAATAACAAGGCAAATTTAGAGCATAATAGTGATCTTTAGAGACCTATTTTTGCAATGAAATGTATTAATCCAGTTTTCATGGTAAATTTTGTCATGTGCTAAGGTCATACTCACTTCAAGATTTGGCAAATGTCAATTAGATGATAAAATAAGGCTTTATAAAGTATTTTGAGACTACTAGTGTTAAGTATCTTTAAATATTTTTTAAGCATTGTCTGATATTTAGATTAATGTATTATATGTACTAACAAAATTCATCCTTCATTCCTAGGTTGGTTTGTTGGTTGGTTGTTTTTTGTTTGTTTGTTTTTTGGTACCAGGGATTGAACCTGGGAGCACTTAATCACTGGGCCACATCCCCAGCTCTCACCCCCAGTTCTTTTTTTTTTTTTTTAATTTTTTATTGTTGGTTGTTCGAAACATTACATAGTTCTTGATATATCATATTTCACACTTTGATTCAAGTGGGTTATGAACTCCCATTTTTACCCCGTATACAAATTGCAGAATCACATCAGTTACACATCCATTGATTTACATATTGCCATACTAGTGTCTGTTGTATTCTGCTGCCTTTCCTATCTTCTACTATCCCCCCTCCCCTCCCCTCCCCTCTTCTCTCTCTACCCCCTCTACTGTCATTCATTTCTCCCACTTGTATTATTTTCCCCTTTCCCCTCACTTCCTCTTGTATGAAATTTTGTATAACCCTGAGGGTCTCCTTCCATTTCCATGCAATTTCCCTTCTCTCTCCCTTTCCCTCCCACCTCTCATCCCAGTTTAATGTTAATCTTGTTCTCCTGCTCTTCGTCCCTACTCTGTTCTTAGTTACACTCCTTATATCAAAGAAGACATTTGGCATTTGTTTTTTAGGGATTGGCTAGCTTCACTTAGCATAATCTGCTCTAATGCCATCCATTTCCCTGCAAATTCTATGATTTTGTCATTTTTTAATGCAGAGTAATACTCCATTGTGTATAAATGTCACATTTTTTTATCCATTCATCTATTGAAGGGCATCTAGGTTGGTTCCACAGTCTTGCTATTGTGAATTGTGCTGCTATGAACATCGATGTAGCAGTGTCCCTGTAGCATGCTCTTTTTAGGTCTTTAGGGAATAGACCTAGAAGGGGAATAGCTGGGTCAAATGGTGGTTCCATTCCCAGCTTTCCAAGAAATCTCCATACTGCTTTCCAAATTGGCTGCACCAATTTGCAGTCCCACCAGCAATGTACAAGTGTACCCTTTTCCCCACATCCTCGCCAGCACTTGTTGTTTGACTTCATAATGGCTGCCAATCTTACTGGAGTGAGATGGTATCTTAGGGTGGTTTTGATTTGCATTTCTCTGACTGCTAGAGATGGTGAGCATTTTTTCATGTACTTGTTGATTGATTGTATGTCCCCCTCTGAGAGGTGTCTGTTCAGGTCCTTGGCCCATTTGTTGATTGGGTTATTTGTTATCTTATTGTCTAATTTTTTGAGTTCTTTGTATACTCTAGATATTAGGGCTCTATCAGAAGTGTGAGGAGTAAATATTTGTTCCCAGGATGTAGGCTCCCTATTTATCTCTCTTATTGTTTCTTTTGCTGAGAAAAAACTTTTTAGTTTGAGTAAGTCCCATTTGTTGATTCTAGTTATTAACTTTTGTGCTATGAACCCCCAGTTCTTAATTGTCAGCTTTTATTAACCTGGTTTCAATTTCTTTCTTTCTTTTTTTTTAATATTTATTTTTTAGTTTATTTCACAATTATGTGGTGCTGAGGATCGAACCCAGTGCCTCTTGTATGCTAGGCGAGCGCCCTACCTCTGAGCCACAACCCCAGCCCCTTGGTTTCAATTTCTATGTGAAAATAAAGATAAGATGTTTTCAATTAAACAGCATTTCAGTTATCTTTAGATTCTTATCAAATTTATGGTATTATTTTTTTAATACATAGAGCAGATGACTGATTAAAAGAATTATTCAGATATGGATATTCCTTTTCAGGTTGTCTTGCTCTTCCCAAGTTGAATTTACAGTTTTTGACTCTTCATGACTATCTCCTAAGGAATTTTAATCTGTTCCGCTTAGAATCAACGTATGAAATTAGACAGGACATTGAGGACAGTGTCAGCAGAATGAAGCCATGGTGAGTAAATTGGTTCTACTTAATAATATCAAGATGCATACAGTGACTGATACTTCTGTCAGAAACTTCATAAATGTGTTTAAAAAATAGTTATATTACATGAAGCCTTCCAAAATAGGAGATGTTTACTCTTTAGGAAATTCTATGCGAGTTAAAATCTATCAGAAGTGCTAATATATGAAATAGGTATTTAAGTACTTGGAGGCAGAGCTGGGAGACTGGGGATAAAGTAGGAGAAGTTGTCTTATTTTGAGAAAAAAGGGAAAGATGTAGAGGAGAGTAGGTTAGATCTTGGTAAAGGGGTAAAGAGATGGGTATGAGTTGTCTAGCAGTCTAAGTCCTGGATGAAACTTATGATAAAGGGTTACTCCTCTACCTCTGTTGCTCCTATGACTGTTGTTAGTGCCATCGTCTCTATGGGAACTGGCCAGGGATGGGGGATGTTGCTGAATGTTACACGGAGTGGTACACTGGTAAGTCTTCTCTGGCTCTTCATCCGTAGATGGACTTGAAGGGGCTAAATCATCAGGATTTACTTCTAGAACAAGTTGAGTAGGTCTAGTTATTTGAGGAACTCTTCTGTTTAAACTTGGCTCTCCACCTGCTGGCTTATGTCTGGAATTCTTTTACTAAAGTCCTTCACTGTAGTTATGCAGAAAGCTTTGCATTATGAGATTTGTGAAGGTTAATTTTGGTTTTTTAGACGTTGATTGACTTGGTATAAAAGCTCTCCATTGACTATGGCATTCTAAGTATGGAATAGATGTGACATAAGCTATGTGACAAAAGCATTTGCAAATTAGTAAATTTCTATGAAATGAATTTTCATTACCTTATGGTCATACTCCATACGTGCACACAATCGTTCTGCATTTTATATAAAAAGCTTAACATTTCTTGAAAGTGAACTAATTCAGGTATCTTCCAAGCTTCTCTCTTTACTAATTGCAGAGAACTACCATGGGCACTGTGATTATGATCTATTTTTTTCACTTCCATATTTTATTTTATACACAGTTCTATTTTTTAATTAATTATTATGTGAAAAGTTATTCTGGGTGAGACTGTAAAACACAAGACAGAGTATTTTTGACTTAATAATTAGTTGAGTCAGTAAGCAGGCTAGCACTGTGAAATTTGTATACCCACTGGCTGATCATCCCTGCCCACAGCTTAGCTGAAATTTTTGCCCATTGTTCGGACCCTGCGGGAGTGAGTGCTTGATCAGAAAACTTTACAATTTATCATTACCTTGAGTTTATATGTTTAGATTCAGGCCCTAGTTTGGGCCAAATAGGGACTTATTAACTAGCAGTTCAATAAATAGAATTCACTTATATTTTATTTAAATGCCAAATACAACAAAAGTAATACTTACGGCCTATTAATAGAGGAAATTTTTTAAAGTTATATCATTTTAAGATATGAGGGGGGGAGTCACTTTCTGGAGTTAATTCATTCATACTTATACTATTAAATTTTTCAAAATTTGTAATCTTAATTCCCATCGCTGAAAATAGTTAAAAATGATGGGATCGTAAAAGAGACCCGTGTTGTTTCTATATAGCATGTATCTTGAAGATGAAAAGGTAGCACAGGCATTTTCACTTATTACATGATGATCATATTTTCAGGCTGCTAAAATCACTGGGCAGTGATAAGAGGAGGGAGGAGAAATTTGTACTTTTTAGTGCTTTGTGTTTCAAACCTTTTGTAAGAAAAAGGAATAAAGGGAGCAGATTAGTGGTTCCCTGGGGTGGGAACAGGGATTGATTGCAGTTGGACAAGAGGGACCTTTTTTAAGGATGATAGAAATATTCTAAGATTGTGTTGATAGATATACATCTCTATTAATTTACTAAAAATCCTTGAATTGTACATTTACAGTGAATGGAGTCTATAATATGTAAACTATACTGAAATAAAACTAGAAGGAAGTGATAGATAGAACACTACTTTACAAGGGATTGTTCTATTGCTAACCAAGTCATTGGATTGCAGATCCTTTGTTATTAGTTTCTCTTTTTGATGTTATGAAGTTCTGTAACTTGTTGCTATGACACAAAGCCTTTACATTATATGTATTTTATTTTCATTAGCTTTTAATGTTTGGCAATACTTTCTAGTTTGGGAGTGCTAGAGTTTTTGTGTCACAGATTTCCCCAATACACTATTCAATGTAAAAACAAAAGTGCAGATTAGACTAACTAACATAAGAAAGAATGGGTATTTGGATGTTAATGGTTCTAATTATTGTAGTTAGCTTATTTTTTCCTCCAATCCATGACATCATCTTTTATTTAAATGTTATTCCCAGAGAAGATGTTTGCCTATATTATATTTGTGTGTGTGTGTGTGTGTGTATATAACCATTTGTTTGCTTGTTTAAAATTATGACTGTGTATTTGAAGTAGCTTATAGAAATGTTTGAAGTATAGAAAATAGAAATATTAGCAATTAAGGCTATTTGATGAAGAAGGCAAAAGAATAAGAGTATAAAGTCAAACTAAGTAAAGCTGTCCTTCAGAAATGAAGGAGAGATACTGAGGGTGTGCATCACCTGCCTTATGAGAAATGTTAAGGGGAATTCTTCAAGCTAAAACAAAAGGATGCAAATTAGTAACATGAAAAGACCCTTATAACTAAAGTGATTTTAATCAAGGAAAACACTTCTTAATTTCAAATTATATTACAAAACTGCTGTAATCAGAACAGTATGGTACATGCATAAAGACAAAGACCAATAGACAATCAGAAAGCCCAGGAATAAATCCATACATATACAATTAATCTTTCACACATGTGTCAAAATATACAAGAAAGGATAGTCTTTTCATAAATGGTATTCAAAAAACTAGATATTCATGTGCCAAAAACAAAACAAAAAGGAAATTGAATCCCTGTCTTCTGCCATACTCAAAAGTGAACTCAAAGTAGATTAAAGATTTAAACATGGGGCTGGGGATGTGGCTCAAGTGGTAATGTGCTCGCCTGGCATGCGCAGGGCCCTGGGTTCGATCCTCAGCATCACATAAAAAAATAAAATAAAGATGTTATGTCCACTGAAAAACTAAAAAATAAATAAATATTTTTAAAATTCTCTCTCTCTCTCTCTCTCTAAAAAAGAAAATGTAAACATAAGACCTGAATTCATAGAACTCCTAGAAGAAAACATAGAGGAAAAGTTTCGTGACATTGGTCTTAGCAGTGATTTTTTTTTATTTTTTATTTTTTATTTTTTTGGAACAGGGAGAGAGATACAGCAGCAAAAGTGCAGGCAACAAAATCAAAAATAAAAATAGTGAGATTACACTAAGCTAACAAGTTTCTGTCCAAAAAAGGAAACAAGAATATAAAAAGATAGCACCTGTAGAATGGGAGAAAATATTTGTAAACCATAAATTATAAAAATGGGTTAATATTCAGAATATATAAGGGACTCCCATACAGCTCAATACAAAACAAAACAAAACAATAATACCCAAACAATTGAAAAAAAGACAAAGCATTTGAATAGACATTTTTTCCAAAAAAGGTATGCAGATGACAGATGACCAAAAGGTATATGAAAATGTGTTCAGCATTATGAATTGCTAGGGGAATGCAAATCAAAACCACAATGAGATTTTCACCTCATAGCTGTTATGATGACTGTTATCAAAAAGTCAAAATATAAGAATTGGTGAAGATGTGGAAAAAAGGGAAACCCTATATACTATTTTTTTTTTTTTTGAGAATGAAATATTTATTGAGATTCTGATGTATGTCATACACACAATGGGCCCTTTTACACTTATCATCTCAATATTCTTCATGGTGTTGTAGGACTAAGGAAACAAAATTTCTCCCCAACCACCTTTGAATTTATTTCTATCTGTTCTTTGTATCACCATAGGTAAGACTCAGGAAATGGTACTACATAAACATTCCTTGGTTTGATCCAATGTTCAAATAGATTCGATTTTCTTGAATTACCTATTGTCTTAAGAATTTTACCTGCCTTTTGGGATCCTTGACATTCTTACTTTAACTCCTATACCTAACTGGTCAGCAATATTTTGATTCTTCCTTTAATATAATCTCAAAATCACCCTGAATCACTGCAATTGTTCTTATTTAGATCATAGTTATCATTTTTCTAGATAATTGAAATTTCACTGTACACCAGAAAGAATCCAAACTTTGGAGAGAGTTTATATTGGACATGCTTTATAACAGTGTGTTATTGTAACTTCTCTAGTTACAATTTATTACAGTATGGCATTGTAACTCCTTTAGGACTTCAGGATACTCCCATACAAAATGAACTTACTTTCTGATCTCTCTTGAAGTTTGTGATGGCCATGTTACATGATTTCAGCCAATAAGACATGAAAAGACATGTAAGAGTAAGAGGTTAGGCAGGCGCAACGGATGGGTCTGGCAATATTTTTTAAATATATATATATTTTTTTAACTAAAAGGTTTACTATATTTTTTTTTGTTTTTTATATCTTTATTGTTGGTTGTTCAAAACATTACAAATTTCTTGACATATCATATTCCACACTTTGATTCAAGTGGGTTATGAACTCCCCCCTTCACCCCATACACAGATTGCAGAATCACATCAGTTACACATCCATTGATTTACATATTGCCATACTAGTGTCTGTTGTGCTCCGCTGCCTTTCCCATCCTCCACCCTCCCCCCTCCCCACCTCTCCCCTCCCCTCCCCTCCTCTCTCTCTACGCCCTCCACCTATATACTATTGGTGGCAATGTCAATTAGTGTAGCCATTATGGGAAGCAGTATGGAAATTCCTCAAAAATTAAAAGTAGAACTATTGGTCCAGCAATCCCACTCTGTTTATATAGTCAAGGAAATATAATCACTGTACAAAGAAATACCGGCACTTCCATGTTCATTGCCGCATTGTACACAATAGCCAAGATATGGAAACAACCCGCGTGCATCAATGGATGAATAAAGAAAATGTGAATATATGGCATATATGCATGTACACATGGTAGAATGTTACTCAGCTTTAAAAAGGAAGAAAATCCTACCATTTTTTATAATATGGATGAACTTGGAATACATTATACTAAATGAAATAAGCCATATTCAGAAAGGCAAATATGGATGATTTTACTTATATGCGAAATCTGAAAAAGTAGAACTCAGAAATGGAGTAAAAGTTGACTGTTGGGGATTGAGGTGAGTGAAATGTAAAAATGGTAGTCAAGGGGTACAAACTTTTAGTTATAAGATCTTGAAATTCTAGCCAGACATGGTAGCACATGCCTGTAAATCCCAGTGGCTCGGGAGGCTGAGGCAGGAGGATCATAGGTTCAAAGCCAGCCTCAGCATCTTAGTGAGGCCCTAAACAACTCAGCAAGATCCTGTCTCAAAATAAAAAATAAAAATGGTTTGGGATGAGGTTCAGTGGTTAAGTGCCCTGGGTTCAATCCCCATTACAAAAAAACAAAAAACCAAAACCAGATTTGTAAGTTCTAGAGATTCAATATATAGCATAGCAACTATAGTTAATAATAATGTATTATATATTTGATTTGCTAGACAAAAGAGTGTAAGTATTCTCATAATACAAAAAAAAGGTAACTGTGGTGATAGATATGTTAATTTAGCTTGACTTCAGTTGTGATTTTACATGTATATATAAACATTCCTTAATATACGTTTTACTGTCAATTACACCTTAACAAAGTAGAGATTAAATTGTGTTGAAGTATTTTATTTTTCTTTTTAATAAAATGACTACACTCCAGAATGCTTTAATATGTATAATGATATTATTTTTTTCAGAGGCGAGGGAATATTCCTCTACTTTCCTTTCTTTCCTAGGCCATATTTGCCTGTTTTATACTCTCATATATACTTTCTGTATATTGGGACTTTTTAACATAAGTTTAAAAATAGGGATTGCTAATGTTAATACCTAAATACTAGTAAAACATGTATTCTTAATAGTTTTACTTGCCTGAAAGTTTGGGAAAATTTATTTTTGTTTGATTAATCATCTATTTCTTTGATTTTCAGGCAATCTGAGTACGGTGGTGTAGTGTTTGGTGGTTGGGCACGAATGGCCCAGCCCATTGTGGCTTTCACTGTAGTTGAGGTTGCCAAACCCAACATAGGTGAAAACTGGCCAACCCGAGTTCGTGCAGATGTCACCATCAATTTGAATGTCAGAGATCACATCAAAGATGAATGGGAAGGTAATTTTATATTTGAAATGCTGAAGTTGCCTTTGGCTATTTTAGTTTGTAGATTTTTCACTTAGAGTATTAGCAAAGTACTTTAATAAATTTACCCTTTTTTCTTTTTTTGAATATTTTTTATTTGTAGTTGAACACAATACCTTTATTTTATTTATTTATTTTTATGTGGCGCTGAGGATCGAACCCAGTGCCTCGCACGTGGTAGGCAAGAGCTCTACCGCTGAGCCACAATTCCAGCCCCCATGTACCCTTTTTTTATTATTATTATTCATTTATTTTATTCATTTATTTATATGTGGTGCTGAGAATCCAACCCAATGCCTCACACATGCTAGGCAAGTGCTCTACCACTGAGCCACAATCTCAGCCACTGTATTCTTTTTTAATTAAAGATTTTTCTGGGCTGGAGCTGTAGCTCAGTGGTAGAGCACCCACCTCGCACATGTGAGGTACTGGATTCTATCCTCAGAACCACATAAAAATAAACAAAGATATTGTGTTCAGCTACAACTTAAAAAAAAAAATCCATGATTTAAAAAAATAATAATGAAGATTTTTCTTAAACTTTTATTAAATCTTATACTTGAAATTTGATTTAAAGGAAGGCAGTTGTTCTTCTAATTATTAGTAGTAAAAATACCAAGGATCATTCAAGAATATTGAAGTATCCCAAATATTTTAATAAAAAGAATAAGATCATATATGTATCCCAATGTTTTGGAAATTGCAGTTTGCAGAGCTGAGAGGAGAACATTTTAAGTCATAAGTTACGATTATGAATTGATAGGTATAATTCAAAAAGAATAAATACAATAGTGTTCATTTTAGAAATGGAGAATACCCACATATTATTAGCATACATGTTCAGTATAAGAAAGGAAAATTGGTATTTTTCAGAAGATAAAAGCAGCCAAAATGAAAAGTATAGGGATGTGTATACTTTGTGAAGAATAAAGATTAAGAAAGGAGTTTGGGGAAAGGAAATACAGTGAAATAACTCAAAAAGAAATAATAGTTTATTTTCGCCAAAGTGAAGAAAGCAGATTTTCAAAAAAATCAGTGAAATCAAATTTATTCAAAGATACATACACAACAGTTATAGAGAAATGAAACCAGTGATTTTCCCTGTTTTTTACTAGGCAAGATTTTAGGGATCAGTTCTATGTCACAATTCTTTCCAGAGGCAGACATGTTCAAAGTTAGCAAGTCAGAATTAAAACATCACTAACACCTGTGCCAGAAATGGCTCATGAGCTGATTTTTAATTGGCACTTTTATATTTTCCCCCCAGCTGTCTGGGAGACTCTTACTTGCTGCCCTGTTGTGAGAAATAGTAGCCAGTAGGTTTAATCTCCTGCTACCTTCTTTGCATGCCAGAAGGAAAAGGATACTCCCTTAATGGATCAGTTTTCAGAAATTATTGCTCCCTACATAGCTGTCAACATATGGAACATATGATATATTTATCAAGGAATTCAGCAATGAAGCTGGCCAAATGTTTAACAAATGGCTAATCTAGTGAGTATAGTTTGTGACAGATTTTTTTTTGACTCCTATATCCTTTAAAAGAGTTCCAGTCTGTTGTAATACACATCTAGAATGACTTGCACCTTTATTATTGCTGAACCTTGAGAAAGACATTAAGTTGGTGGAGAAACTTAAGGAGATATTAAACACTTCTTCTACACAGAGTGTATCCCTGTGAATAGTAATGCTTGGGATTCCCCCACCCCCCACCACCAGGAATTGAATTCAGGGACACTCAACTGCTGAGCCACATCCCAGCTTTATTTTGTATTTTATTTAGAAACAGGGTCTCACTGAGTTGCTTAGCTCCTCACCATTGCTGAGGCTGGCTTTGAACTCGTGATCTTCCTGCCTCAGCTTCCTGAGCTGCTGGAATTACAGATGTGCACCACCGCACCTGGCCAATGGTTGGGAATTTTAAGTTTTTTCATAGGCATTTATAGATGACAGGTGATCCATATGCATTACAATGTTAAGGGGGAGGAAAGGGTGTTTTACTCAGAAACTCCTATTTCCCCCTTGGCAGTTGCTATCAGAAACCTGAAATAGATTTTTCTTTTTTATTTCCTCCTTCCCTCCCTCCCTTCTTTCCATCCTTGCTGTCTTTGTATTTCAGTCAGTATCTTTCTGTTTTTCTTTTTAAAATAGGCCTTTGGTAGAATGATAAATAGTGGGTATATGTTGATGAGTAAGCAATAGAGTATTTAGGGATTAGTGATTCATATTATGGAATATTGTGGTAAGAAAATGCATTTTTTTCATAGACCAGGGTTCAGACTTAGCTCCTATATTGATCACATAAGGGATAACCAGGTAGGAAATTGGAGCAAAAAATGAGAGGCCCTGCAAATATTAATGAATGTTGTCTTATAAAAATAGAGAATAGTTTGAAGTTTTCAAAATAGAAATCATGAAACATTCATATTGTCCCTTCAAGAAAATTTGAAACTCAGGTCCTTATCATTTTTATTACCTACATTTAAAATTAAGAAGGCAGAATTAATGAAACTGAAGGCTGGGTTTGCTCTAGAAAGCACAGCCAGGAGAGGGTGGATACAAATGATTAAAAAGAGACAGGTAGTTGAGCTCATTATAATGTAGGTTTTAAGAAAGGTACATCTACTATTTATCTTAGATCACAGGAGAATAATCTGCTTTTGAAAGGAACAGATAGTCATACCTTAGTAATGCTAAAAATTGACCTCTACATTAGGAGAGACTTGTCAAAGCCACTTCTTTATCTCTTAGACTTGTAAGTTTTGATGGGTTGTGCAGATTAGAAATCATGGCAGTATTATAACACAGATAGTAGAATGGTTTGCTTTGTTCTCGTTGCATATCCTGCTTCTTTGCATAGAATGTCAGAATTAAGTGTTTCTAGCTTTATCCACACTTGCACATGCTACAAAAGAAAATTGGTTCCAATACTATTAGCCACACATCATATTGGTGATTTAATTTAGTTGTATATCTTCTTACCAATGTTTTGAGCAAGCAGACTATTTAAATTTACATTTATGTGTATAGTGGCTAACAAAAATGGATCAGGGGACTGGGGTTGTGGCTCAGTGGTAAAATGCTTGCCTAGCATGTGTGAGGCACTGGGTTCAATTCTCAGCACCATATATAAATGAATAAATAAAATAACGGTCCATTGACAACTAAAAAAATATTTTTAAAAAATGGATCAGAAAAGCAATGACAATTAAATCGCTTAACATTACACGTTATGAGGTATAGTTCCTGTCATGTAGTATCTGTTTTTTAAAAAATTTTGTTTGTATATGTGTGTGTGTGTGTGTGTGTAGATAGATAGATAGATAGATAGAAAGAATGCCTTTATTTTTATGTGATGCTGAGGATCAAACCCAGTGCCTCACATGTGCAAGGCAAGCACTCTTACCACCGAGCTACAACCCCAGCCCATAGAGCTAGGAAGTCTTTTTTCTTTTCTTTCTTTTTTTTTTTTTTTTTTTTTGTATTGGGAATTGAACCCAGGAACACTTTACCACCACAGAGCTATATCTCCCACCCGAGTCCTTCTTTAGAAACAGGGTCTCATTAAGTTGCTTAGGTCCTTGCTGAGTTGCTGAAACTGGCTTCAAACTTTGGGTATTTCTGCCTCGGCCTCCTGAGTCACTGAGATTATGGGCATGCACCACCATGCCTGGCTGGAAAGTCGTTTGAGTCTATTATTTGATCTGATGGCTGAGAAACTTTGAACTTTGACACAAATCTCTCTCTCTTTTTTTTTTTTTTGGTGCGCGTGTGTGTGTCTCTGTGTGTGTGTGTGTGTCTCTGTGTGTTACCAGATATTAATCTCAGGGGCATTCTATCACTGAGCCACATCCCTAGCCCTATTTTTGTATTTTATTTAGAGACAGGGTCTCACTGAGTACTTAGCACCTCGCTTTTTGCTGAGGCTGGCTTTGAACTCGAGATCCTCCTACCTGAGCCACTGGGATTACAGGCATGCACTACCATGCCTGGCTCAAATCTTGTAGTTTTTGACATTCACTTACAAAAGTGTTCACTATTTGCATCTGAGTCTATATATATTTAACCATATTTCTCATAGTATTATCTGTAAACAATCTTTTTGTGCCTTGATGAATTATTCTTGATTGATCTGTTTTAATGCAATACAGTTAGGCTGTATTTGGAATGACACTGATAGGTGGCTTAAATTGATGTTAGAAACCTACTTTAAAAAAAAGAAACCTGCTAAATATGATGCATATGAGTTATATGGCAACCACATTTTTGGTTATTTACTAAGAATGTTAAAAATAAGAATGATGATGAGCATCCAATTTTGGAGTATGACTTAAAAGGCTTATTCAATAATGAATTCATGATATAAAAGTTTCTAATTTAATATAAAAGAAGTATCAATATAATTATTGCTGTGAGATATTAAGTATTAAAAGTTATAGGAAAACTCATAATTGTATACAATGCAAATATGATCATTGGTCACCCTTAATATTTAAAATTGTTTTTAAATATCTGTTCCTTATAAAAGGTTGAGAATTTGCCAACAAAAGACTAAACAATGAAGTTCTAAAAAATAAAAATGTCTTTTTATGTTTTACTAGGTCTTCGTAAACATGATGTATGTTTTCTAATTACTGTGCGTCCCACAAAACCTTATGGCACAAAGTTTGACCGGAGGAGACCATTCATCGAGCAGGTTGGCCTGGTTTATGTCAGAGGCTGTGAAATCCAGGGCATGCTGGATGATAAAGGGCGTGTCATTGAGGATGGTACGGGTCTGTCTCTTTGAAATCGTGTGTACAGAATAAGTTTCTTTGCCTTTTTTCTTTTTGCTTCTTAAATAAAATTCTTAGTTGTGTACATACTAATTCAACATAAAGAGTATATAAAGGATGTGTAAGGTACCTACTTCAAAGTTTTAGAAATAAGTACTATGGTTCAAATCTTCTGTGTTAGATGTAAAATATTACCCCATAAATATGCACAATTATGTGTCAAGTATTTTTGTAAAAGTTTCTGTGTTAGATACTGGAAAGGATAGGATCTTTTTGAAATCACATTTATTCAAAACTATCGTTTTATAATACTTTACACTATTGCTTTGAAAAATTCCTAAACAATTCATGTAATTGTTAAAGCTTTTTTTATATTCAGTGATATATTTATCTAATTGTTTTCTTAAGTTTTACTGTGTTGATTCATTACAGTAATGGTTCTCAACTGGAAACAATACTGCTCGGCAGTTGGAAATATGTAGTGATACAAAAATTGTCAAATGACTAGGGTAAGGGTGGTTAATGACAGGCTGTTGGCATTTTGTGGGTGTAGTCCAGGGATGTTAAACAGAATTATTGTATAGACAGAATGACCCTGCCTGAGATGACAGCATATTATCACTTAAAAACTGCTTTACAGGGTTAGTCACCTCTTATATGCTTATCACTAATTGTTCCTTTGAAATTCTTTCTTCTGTTGTCCTAACTTCCTTTATAAAAAATACCTCTTAAATTATGAGTACTCCCAAGACTAATGTTTATTTTACAACTTGGTTGATAAAGTTCCCTTAAAACTTAAATCAGCTTCTATCATCTGTGATTTTGAGATCACATCACTACTAAACTGCTGCTGTCTGGGCTATTCATCTCTAGAATATAAGGAAATGGAGACTGGGTAGAATAAACATAAGGCTACATAATGGAACCACAATTTGAGGTCTAAGACCCCAAAAGAGGAAAGAAGGCAAAGGGACAAAAAGAAGCATTTGGGCTTTCAGCCATTAATACCCCATTTTTCTGTATATATAAAATTTTCTTTTATTCTGGTAATAGTAGACAGAATGTAGAAGGTTGAGGAGAGTGATCAGCCTCTGTCAAATTAGGAATAGAGAAATTATCCCTTAAATCTCTTAAGTATAAAATTTAATTACTCTGAAAATATTTATGAGTACTTACTGTATGTAAAGCCCTACTAGGAGCTATTAGTGAGTGACAAGTTCTTTGATTTCTAAGAGCTCCAATATTAGTTGGGGATATATACAAATAGTTGCAGTTCACAGCATTGCATCGTAAATATTATGTGACTTGAAAGGAATCATAAGAATTTATAGAGAAAGGAGAAAATGCTTTCAGTTTCTTGGAATATGAAGTGGATAAGTAGAGGGCATTTCAGTGAGAAGAATGGTTAGAGTTAAGTCTGGATGGTTTATCCATTTTTTTTTTTCCTAGAAAAGAAATACTGTTAACTTACTTCAGTATTTGAAAAGTATTTAACAAACTTTTAAAAATGTTTAGGACCTGAACCCAGACCCAATCTTAGAGGAGAATCAAGAACGTTTAGAGTATTTTTGGATCCAAACCAGTATCAACAGGATATGACCAATACTATACAAAATGGAGCAGAAGATGTATATGAAACTTTCAATATAATAATGAGGAGAAAACCAAAGGAAAATAACTTTAAGGTATTGTTTTGGCTATATAACTAAAAGTACTTATGTCACAATTTAAATAATCTTAAGACATAAATACATTAATGTTGGGTATAAAAGATTTGTTAAGCAAATAATAATCACTTTAATTTTATTCTAAATAATATTCTTAAATTCTTAACATTGATTAAATATAAAAATTTAAGGAAATTCATTCGTTAAATCTGTTTTGTTTTTTGAGAAATAAAAAACTTAAAATATGAATGGAGTTTTTTTCAAAAGGTCACCTTGTTGTCTATCTTTTTTTAATATTAGGTACTCAGTTTATATCCCAGGATGAAGTGAAGAAAACTGTTTACTTATTTACTAGAATTTCTTTTTTAAATCAAAAGTAGATGTACATCCAAATGTGGAACCCCAAGGCTCTGAAGTACTCTGATATATAATATATCTGTACTTTATTCATTAGTGGCAAGGAGAGATTTAGGGACTTATGATTTTACTTTTATAATTTTGTGGGGAGAAGAGTTTAAGGAAGATTTTTTAAATTATTATTTGAAACTATATTATAAACCTTAAACATTGAGCATACCTAGCATTTGATAACATCTAGATTTTGTGGAAAGTGCTCTTCTTTCCTCTGTACCCCAAAATGCAGAGTTTCTTATACATTCCTATTACTTTATTACCTCTTCTTACCCATTGTTATGAAAACAAACCAGAAACCTGTCAAATAAAGAAACTTTCTCACTATAAAAATAAAAGAACCATCTCTCCCTATTGTTGAAGACAAGAACAGTGGAGATAGTCTTGATTTCTTTTTGTTTAAACTACACATGCAATCCATCAATAATTTGATTAGCTTACTACCTCCACTGATGCCATGTCTAGACACCTTCAATTCTCCCATCCTTGCACCATTCTTGTGAGATACTTCCATTCCACTATTCCACTATTCTCCACCTAGTAGCTGAATAATCCTTTTAAAATGTAAATTATACTTTGATTCCCCTGTTCAACATTCTTTAATGTTTCCTGTCATTTAGGAAATTCTTACCATAATCCAGAAGGCCTTGCCATATATGTCCTCTGGCTTCCTTTCTTATTTTCTTTTATCTGTTATTCACTAAATAAAAGCCACACCGTTTTTTTCTTTTCTTTTCTTTTCTTTTGCTGTTCCTTTAATAATCCAAGATTGCACATAGTGTTCCCTCTCCATAGACGGTCTTTCTTAGTATTTGCATGTTTTTTTCCTTCATTGCACATGAACAACTGAGTTTAAATGCCAACTGATAAGAGAAGCCTTCCTTGGCAACCTTACTTGAAGTAGGTAAGATTACCTACTTATCCCTTCTCAGTATTCTCTATCCTATTAGCTCTATTTTTTTCAAACTCCTTGACATACCTTATAATTATATATTTACTAATCTGACTTCACCATTAGATGGCAAGATTATGAGGGCAAGATCTTTGTTTTGTCTGTCAACATAATCTTAACACCTAGAGCTATGCCTGGTATATAGTATGTGCTTAACAAATATTTATTGAGTGAATGAAGGACAGTCTCACATTTAGTCAGTTTTTAGTAAATGAATCTCAATCACTTTACTTTAAACAAAAAATCCTTTCCTAAATGTATTTATTTAATGCTTATAAAGATGAATAAAACACAACTTATACCTTTAGAGAGCTTAACTACTAACAAGGGAAATTAGAAATATAAACAAATAACTACCATGAAAAATTAGAAGGTGCCAAAGCCATAAGAAGGGTACACATGAAGGTATCAGGGAGTTTAGAAGAGACATTGAGGTTCTGATCAAACAAAGGGGAACCTTTTCCAAAGCTTTCCTGTTTGGGGAAAGGAAGAATACTTTTTTTTGTATCTTGGGTGTTTTCTTGTTTACCTGAGCAGCATCCCACATTTCCTTCTTTCTTTTCCAGTTCCTACAGCGTATTCTGATCTGGATATTTCACTTCTTCCTAGACAGTTGTATGTGTCTCTTCCCTAGTTTCCTCACAATTACCTTTATTTCATACCTTTCCTCCTATTCTTAACACTGATCATTTTAGTCTTGCTTCTCAGAACATTTCTGTGACTTTCTATTAATGATGACATAAATCAGAGTGCTTCAGAAATTCTTTACTTGAGCTAAATTAAAGTGCCACTGTCCTTCATGAAACCTTTTCTAATGTTAAAAGTCTCCCCTGCATCCATCTCTCTCATCCACTATGAACTGTATTCTTCTTATATTTTGTAATATTCTTTACTGTCGGCCACATTCTGCTGCTTTGTTCTTGCCAAGTTTGGTCTTTTGTTTAAATCAGGGTATATGTATAGTGAAGGACATATTTTATCTCCCTGCTAAAATTACAATTTTCTTACAGGGCAGAGCTTTCATCTTATTCATCAGTGTTATATGAACATACTCATTAATCTGTCTATATATCCATGCATGCATCCCATATTCAAACTGTTCTAGGTCCCTCCTACTCTGAAAATTATGTTTTAGTTGGGAGTTAAACAAATGACCAACAAGTAATGAAGTATATGAACCAAGAGAATTTCAGATAGTGAAAAAGGCAAGTATATAAAACCAGGCACTAAGATTAACATAGTCTATCCTTTGATTTTTTTAAATTGGGTTTTGTAGCAATTACCATTTAAAACAACATTGATTTGGTTATTTTATTCTTTGAAATTAATAGCCTCATCTCCTAATTTCTATATGTAGGATAGATTACTTTGTTGAGGTGATTTTTATAAGAATCTGCCTTGGCTTTTGGTAATTCCTTTTGACAGTATATATGTATTAGCTACTATAATAACTTTTTGTTGTAGTCCTGATTCTTTATTCTGTAATCTTATTTGACATTTTCTTAATTTTTATAATTTTGTTTACTTTATTGTTATTTCTCGCCATGCTAATTTTAGTATTTCTGAGTTGTGATGTGTTTCATGATTTAGGCATACACTAATGTGCTCTAGTTTTATGTGACTTTAACATAAGAACTCTGGATTATAAGAGAGGAAGATTGCAGGAGTTTCTAAGGAAGCATTTTCTTTGGTTCTGTAATGTTTTCATGCTATTGGGTTGACATGAGTCTGATTTTTATCCTACTCAATAGGAGTTAAGTGGTAAATTCATTTATGTCATTATGCCTAAGTGAACTCAATGGATAAACTGTTCTTTCTAAGTTTGGTCTTTTGTTTAAATCAGGGTATGGTATCAGCTGAAAATATAGCTGTTGATTCAGTCTAGCCAAGCACCTGTCAGCAGAAAATAGCTTCTTGCCCTGAAACACTTGGGAATTCTGGATTAGTGCAGCCAGCTCTGCATTCCAGTGAAGTGCAAATGTTTGACATGTCTTATTGACACATCCTTTTCTGTCCTTTTACTGACAGGCTGTGCTGGAGACTATTCGAAACCTGATGAATACTGATTGTGTGGTACCTGACTGGCTGCATGATATCATTTTAGGTTATGGGGACCCAAGTAGTGCCCATTATTCAAAAATGCCCAATCAGATTGCTACCCTTGATTTCAATGATACATTTCTCTCCATTGAACATTTAAAAGCCAGCTTTCCTGGTCATAATGTTAAAGTAACTGTGGATGACCCAGCTCTACAGATACCCCCTTTCAGGTAAAGTCAGACCTAGATGTACTCCTTTCAAGCCTTCTGTAGTCTGTCTGTGATAGGCCATCAGCACCAATGGCTAAAGTGAATTTTAAGTTATTTTATCAGGTTTTTGTTTTGACAGCCCCTACATATAATCACTGAAATAAGTTATTATATTTTACTCTTAGGGCAGAAGCTATTTTAAAACCACAATTAAAGTAGCTTCATGTCTTATAAAAAAAAATCAGTAAAAGGACTGGAGATATAGCTCAGTTTGTATAGTGCTTGCTTCACATGCACAAGGCCCTGCATTTGGTCCCCAGCACCACAAAACAAAAGCAAAAACAAAAATCAGTATAATGTGTGTTGTCTGGAGAAAATGAAATATAGTATCTGATGAAATATTTCTTTGCATTTTACATATAATCTGATATATTTTCTTCTTTTGGGGGTGGGGGGCAGTGGTGGGGATTGAACTCAGGGCCTCACTTATGCTAAGCAAGCACTTCACCACTGAGCCATAGCCCTAGTCCCCTTAATCTGATATATTTTCTAATACACATAGCCATCTGATGTTGAACTTTATTTTGACTTTAGGAAATTCTTTTTTTCTTTTACCCTTGCTTGCTTTCACAGATTTTAAATACAGGTTGAGTATCATTTATGTAAATGCTTGGAACCAGAAGTGTTTTAGATTTCAGAGTTTTTCAGACTTCGGGATATTTTCATAGATTTACTGGTTGAGCATTCTTAATCTGAAAATCTAAAGTGTCAAATGTTTCAAAATCCAGAACTTTTTTTTCCATATGTTTTATTGGTGTATTATAGTTGTAGATAATGGAGGGGTTTTATGCATTCATATGTGCACACAGTATAACAATAGAATTTGGCTAGTATCATTCTCCACTATTTTTCCTTTTCCTCCTCTTTTCTCTCTTCCTGATCTCTTTCTTCTGCTCTATTGTTCCTCCCTTTGGTTTTCATGAGACCCTTGCCCCTAATTTTCTTTTCTTTTTCATCTCTAGCTTTCACATATGAGAAAAAAACATATGACCCTTGATCTCTGAGTTTGGCTTATTTCACTTAACCTAATGATCTCAAGTTCCGTCCATTTTTCTGCGAATGACATAATTTCTTTTTTCTTTATGACAATAAAACTCCATTGTGCATATATACTACATTTTCGTTATTCATCTATTGACAGATACCTAGGCTGGTTTCATAGTTTGATTATTGTGAACTGTTCTGCATGGGTATATATTATCACTATAGTATGATGACTTTGATTCTTTAGGATAAATACCAAGGAGTGACATAGTTGGTCATATGGTAGTTCCATTTCTAGTCTTTTGAGGAACCTTCATACTGATTTCCATAGAGATTGTACTTACTTACACTCCAACCAACTGTATAAAAGTGTTTCTTTTTCTCCACATCCTATTGAGCATATATTATTGTTTGTATTCTTGATGGCTGTCATTCTAATTGGAGTGAGATAAAATCTTAATGTATTTTTTATTTGCTTTTCCCAGTTGCTAAAGATGTTGAACATTTTTTCATGTATTTGTTGGCCATTTGATTTTTTTTTTGACCAGTGTCTGTTTAATTTGTTTGCCCATTTATTAATTAGATAATTTGTGTTTTTGATGTTAGGTTCTTCTGAGTTCTTCATCTATTTTGAATATCAGTCCTCAGTCAGAAGAGTAGGTAGCAAAGACAAAATTTGAAACTTTTTTGAGTGTCATCTCAGTGCTTAAAAAATTTCATATTTGGGAGCATTTCAGATTTTGCATTTCATATTAGAGATACTCAACCTGTATTCAAAATATAGTTGTATTAAATGTTAAATTAGCTTTGGTTTTAAAGTTTGAGTAGAAAAATAGAATGAAGTACCTAGAGCACTTGGTTGCTGATCCCTGAATTCTTCATATGGATTAGAGGCAAAGGACTCAGATAGTATGGGTGGTATACCTGGGTTTGCTTACTTTCTTGTTTTTTTTTTTTTTTTTTTTAAATAATTTTTTTAGTTGTTGATAGACCTTTATTTTATTTATTTTTTTATGTGGTGCTGAGTATCAAACCCAGTGCCTCACACATGATAGACAAGTGCTCTACTGAGCCACAACCCCAGCCCTGGGCTTACTTTCTTAGTTGGACATTATAATACACAGCTTTTAGTTGAATGTTAAATAAAATATAATAATTAAACATTTTAAAATATATCCTTTGTAACACCCAAACCTTGTCTATCGCCATACTTCCTAATTCTGTTAATGACAAAAGTTGTTGTTCCAGTCACCATCTTGAAATCTTAGCATTATTTTTTAAAATGTTTACTTTAATAATTCCTGACCCATAGAGTAGCTTCTGCTATAGGGATAGTTTTTTTTCAAATGTCATTCCTTACTACTACATCTCTAGGCCCTCGGTCCTTGTGATGGTGGTGGTGTCTTTCCTACCTCTCTCTCTCCACTTGAACTATTAAATGCCTCACTACTAGAGCCGCTCACTCCCTAACTAAGAAAAATGATTGCTCCTTTTGCTTAACAAATAAGGCTGACCCCCTTAGCTTCCTACTAATTCTTAGCAGTTTCTGGTACTATCTATTTTTTAAGGTTTTGAAGAAAGATTGAAAAAATTGCATGTAGATAATTCATTTTTTTAGTTTAATTTTAGGAAGTTCATTGGACTTTCCTCCCTATGGAGAGTCACCTTCACACCCAGGCTAAGAACCTCTGCCTAAAAAGCTAGATGTTCTAGAAGGGTCATAACTAGGCTAAAGATGCATATCTGTCCTTTACTTTTCTCTGTTTCACCCCACATTCCAGCAAAATTAGGCTGCTTGTACTTGACCTCTGCTATTACTTCTTTCTTCCAGTAGTATCTTCCCTTTCCATTTTCAGATATCTAAATTCTTTGAGACTCAACTGCTTCCTGTCCCTTATTGTCTTGTCTGATTCAGTGAAGGACACAAATAAAGCTCCCATAGTGCATATGGCATAAATATTTTCTGTTTCTTTGATCTCTCAAAATTGGATGACTTTTTCCTAATCTGAAGACTGATTTTTTAACATCACATTTTAATGCTTATGAATTTACTTTTGTTCAACTTATACAAATAATAAGATCCCTTAAACCAAAATGTTTTTTACTCATCTGATTATTCTCCATATAAGTCATGCACAAGATAGGTACTTAATAAATCCTTTTTAATTGTAAATCGAAAAAAGGTTTTGGTCTTGTAGGATAACTTTTCCAGTAAGAAGTGGAAAGGGGAAGAAAAGGAAAGATGCAGATGAAGATGAAGACACCGAAGAGGCAAAAACCTTAATTGTTGAACCTCATGTTATTCCTAATAGGGGACCTTATCCTTATAACCAACCCAAACGGTAATTTTACTACTTATTCTAAGTATTGTAAATTCGCTGTTTCAGTTGGGTTACTGTTTTTATTTTAACTTAATTCATTCATTCGTTCATTCATTCAGTTTTCGCATTACTGGGGATTAAGGCCAGAGATGTTCTACCACTGCACTAACTTCCAAGCCCTTTTTATTTTTTTTTACTTTGAGACAGGATCTCACTAAATTGCCAACATTGGCCCCAAACTTTCAATCCTCCTGCCTCAGCCTCCTGAGTTGCTGGGCTCACAGGCAGGCACCACTAGACTTGGCTTTCTTATACTTTCAAAACCTTAAGATACTTTAGTTTCTGGACCCTCTTTCCTTTTATTTTGTTAACCAACTGAATAGCTCAGACATTTTAGGCTACTGTATAATAATATTTCAGAAAGGAACATGTTCAGGTACTCTGAGAAACAAATGCTACTACACAGGGTTACCTTAATTTGAGTAGAATTCTTATTTCATGACCCTGTGTTACTTAGAGCAGTAGCCCTAGTACAAGTGTCCTGTAACTAAAAAAGGTGGCATAGTATTAGGGAATAGCAACTTTTACAGGATAAAACAGGTCTGAAATGGGCAAAATGTATCAAAAAGTAATCGCACGCCTGTAATCCCAGCAGCGAGGGAGACTGAGACAGGAGGATCAATAGTTCAGAGCCAGCCTCAGCAATGGCGAGGCGCTAAGCAGTCGGTGAGACCCTGACTCTAAATAAAATACAAAATAGGGCTGGGGGATATGGTTTAGTGGTCAAGTGAGTGCCCCCGAGTTCAATCCTAGGTACCCCCTCAAAAAATTTTATTCTTTTACTTGGAGGTGGACTATGTAAATGTAAAGAGATTGACAGAACAAAGGCAAATACAGAATAGACTTTTGGTCCTTGTTTTTCCAAATGTATACTAAATATCATCTATCTCTATTTCTAACCAACTTTTTATTGACCCTTTTATTTACAGTAATACTATTCAGTTCACTCATACACAGATAGAGGCTATCCGTGCTGGAATGCAGCCTGGGCTCACCATGGTAAGAGAATTACTATTACATATGTTGTTATCTGAATTTAGACCAGGTTTTTTTTTGTGAGCACAAATTTTTAATGTATTCTTCGTGTGGTTTCAAGTGTTTTTTTGTTTGTTTGTTTGTTTGTTTTTTGGTAATTGGATACAACACCTTTATTTCACTTATTTTTGTATGTGGTGCTGAGGATGGAACCCAGGGTCTCGAACGTGGGAGGCAAGCACTCTACCTCTGAGCCACAACCCCAACCCCAGCCCCAAGTGTTTTGTTTTTACTTTTTGAATTTATTAAGATTCGTCTCTGGCCTAGGGTATGATCTGTCTTGGTGACTATTCCTATGTACTTGAAATGAATGTATATTCTGTTATTTGGGAGGTAGTGTGAACTGTAAATGTCAGTTAGATCCCTTTGGGTTTTTTTTTTTTTTTTTTTAAGTTCTTTTCTATCCTTACTGATTTTTTGTCTATTGAAACAGTAATTTCTGTTGATTACTGGGAGAAGAATATTGACATCTTCAACTATAATTGTGAATCTGTTTCTCCTTTCATTTCTGTTAATTTTTGCCTAATGTATTTTGAAGCTTTGTAGATGGGAACATACCTCAAGGCTGTTATGTCATCTTGGTGAATTGACCCTTGTATTATTATGTAATGTCTCTATCACTGGCAATTATCTTTGCTCTAAAGTCCACTTTGTCTGGTAATAATATGATCATGCATCTTTCTTTTGATTAGTGTTCAAGTGATATTTCTTTTTTATCACTTATAAACCGCCTATTTTTTGTTTTCAGGTTTATTGACTCTTCAACTCTGCCCTATTATGATATTGAATCCATCCAATGAATTTTTAATTTGTTATTTAATCATTCAGTTCTAGTGTATGGTAATGTGATAATTTAGTATTTGATATATATTATCTATTCATCTTCTTCCCTTCCCCAAGGTTGTGGGCCCACCTGGTACAGGAAAAACAGATGTGGCAGTACAGATCATATCCAACATCTACCACAATTTCCCAGAGCAGAGAACTCTAATTGTTACTCATTCCAATCAGGTAAGTGTGTGCAAGTGTATGTGTGTGCGCATTTGTATGTATGCATGTGCACATTACTGCTTTTACTTCTTTGACTGAATTTATTTATCTCTTCAGTTTCTAACCCTTACCAGTAGCATTTTTCTTCATTTAGAAGAATGAGTATTTCTAAAAGATCAAGATCTACAATATATTTTTTCTTAATATTTTTTTTAATTGTAAGTGAACACAATACCTTTATTTTATTTATTTATTTTTATGTGGTGCTGAGGATCAAACCCAGTGACTCACACATGCCGGACAAGCACTCTATCCCTGAGCCACAACCCCAGCCCAAAGCCTGCAATATATTAATGCTAAATTGAATTTAAAATCTTTGTGAAGTGTACATGTTGATATCCTTATTACATTGAAGCCTTGTGTGCGCTCCTGGTCCTTCTGAAGCAGTCAGAAATGAGTAAGAACAAATTATACTTATTAACTCTGGAGCAAAATATAGATAGGTAATTCTGAGAATATTCTAAAATATACTGATTTTACATGGTCCTCTAATCCTTCAAAAATACTTAGTGGTGACTTCATTTGGCCCATCTTCAGAAGATTTGTTCTACAAAGAAGTTCAGAGTTTGGGGAATGTCAATCTGTTCATTTAATCTACAGTTTGATTTATTTATTTTTAGCAATGCTCTCCAGTTCATTCACCCATGTTTTTATATGTAGTGTTTTCAAAGTCTATGAGTACTGTTGGCTTGTTGTACAATATGGTGAATTTATGCAGAGGAATTGTCTTGGGGAATTGATTTGGACTACATCTTGATAAAGGAAACAGAAAAATTATGGAAAGTACTTTCTTCCACTTTTATTAATTTTAGTCTGTAATAATTATACTTATCTGAAGTCTTAGAATGAACAAATAATAAGTCATAAGTTTTTAGCATAGTATTTTTTACTGTTTTGCCCTACCTTGATATGACTTTCTACAATGTCCTTTATTTATGATTGACATATAGCACAATCATAGAGAAGGTTAATTTGCAAAAATACCCAAAGAATTCATTGTTTTCTAAGGGCCTCTATTGATTATTTTTCCTTGAATTAACTTTTTGGGGGGGGTTAGGTCTTCATTTGCATGTATAATTCAAGTAGTTTCTTCAATATCCTTCTGATTCACAATGGAATCATTTTTCGAGATCATAATTTTTTTTTGCACTCTAAATCTGTGTGATTCCTGACTAAGGGAAGCAAGTAATGCCATGTATTCTGATGTTTTCTGTGGTCCTCAGTTTTGAATAGTTGAGTATCAAAAGTTAGGGTAGTGGGAAATTTTTCTGAAAATTTGCTTATCTCTTCAGTTTCTGAACTCACTAGAATATTGATAGTAAAGGATATCTGTATTTAAAGTATGGAACTTGGATGTTTATGAGACTAGATGTTGACTTGATGGGGTAGTAGTTGGGGTTGGATTTGTGATAAAGGAGAGATGTTTGAATGGGGCCAATTTTTAAATGATGTCTTTATTAGTGTATTTTTCCAGTCTGAAACTTTTGCCTTTCTGCAAAACTTTATAACTACAAAGGTTTAGATAATGAATACTAGGATTTGAAGAACTTCTAAATATGAATATTTCACAGCTAGAAAGAAGTGACTTCTAAATGGCTTTCATCAGAATAGTTTATGATAAATGAGCACTCTGCTTATTGTATAGAGAAATGAAGACTTTCAGCTTAAGATTTGAATGATTCATTTTACTTTTCTCTATTGTAGTCTACCTATACACACTGCCTTCTCACTGTCCTTTTCCAACTGTGAAAACTTTTTTGATTCTCTGCAACCTTGTAAATGCTGTGAGTGAAATGAAACTCAGTATGGTGAATTATTTTAGGACTTATTACAACTTGGAGGAAATAGCACTACTGAACCAATGCCTTTCTCTTTTCAGAAATTAGAAGCTCAGTTTTCATGGGTGGATGGTTTTTATTGTTTCCGGTTATTCATTTGGCCAAGTGTACATATATGGCAATATCAGAAATCAATAAAAGTATTATATTGTTTTAATTATAAATGGCCTAGTATAAGACCTTTTTTCCTTCTGTTTAGATTGTGATTCTTATTGAGCAATACTCTGTCATTCTAAATGTTAGTTTCTGTTATTTTTAAAGATACCTACTGAGTCTTTGAAACTGACCATCATCTTTTTTTGCTTTATTCTCCAGGCCCTGAACCAGTTGTTTGAGAAAATCATGGCATTAGACATTGATGAGCGCCACCTGCTACGTCTTGGTCATGGAGAAGAAGAGCTGGAGACAGAGAAAGATTTCAGCAGGTAAGCACAAGGTGGTGAATTTTGAAACACTGTACCTTTTTCTCCTCCTTTATTAAAGACACACCAAGAGCAAAGAGCCACGAATGATCAAATGTAATTCTGAAATTTTTAGTATAACCCACTTAGACTACATATTGTTTATGCCATGTTTCCAGGTATACAGTGATTTCTGTGAAGAGGATTATCATGTTCATTGTAAAATTGTGAATTGCCATTTGTTTTCTATTTATTGAAGTAATTTTTAATGTTGCCAGTTTAAAATTGTTCAACTCTAGATGATTCTTTTTTCATATTTCATCTTGACATTTAATTTACATTTTTTTAGGTACCAATTAAGAGGTTGATTTTTTTAGAGAAATGTAAATTAATAGTTTAGTGATAGTGTAAGTTTGGGGGCTTATTGCCAGTTTAGCTGTACTTTATGATTAATATTATATACTTTAAGTTGACTAAAATTTTTCAGATTAAATTTCTATTTCCATGTTTTTCTTCATTTTCATGTTTTTCTTCAAAGTTGTAACTCATTTATATGTTATTATTTATGACTCATTTCATTTATAAAATTCATGTTTAAAGCACAATTTCAGATAATAATAGCTGAACATATTTAATATGTTGGCTATTGATCATACACATTAAAAGAGTACTAAATTAATGCTTCATGTCTATTCTGAGTTCTTAATATTACAGAGATCACCAAATATTTAGCTCATAAAAAGTCAAGTGTGTAACACAGTACAATATGCCATAAATCATCAGCTCTACTGCTGATATTTCCTGAAGTTTTCCATAGTATTTTCTCATGTTAAAGTTAACTTCAGAATGTGGATTAGACTTTAAGATCTAATAATTGAGTTCAGTGAACATGAAGAAGCACAAGCTAAGCTCTGTGCCTTATTAGCATGTGTGTGCTTATACATTTGAGCATATTTTATTTCTCTTTGTCATAATTAAAAATAAAAATGATCGTTCTACAAAAAAAAGTAATATCACTTTTTCTAAAGAAAAAAATATTTAAAACCTGGTAAAGTAGTATAGGGGCGGTTACCATTCATAATTACACTCTCTCAAAATAACTTTCTATTAATCTTTTCTTAATAATCAGGCTATTTGAAGTTTTATATTTTTCTTTTTTAAAAAACAATTTGTAGTCTCTTTTTTAAGTACAGTTTATACTTATAGAATAATTGTGCAGATAGTACAAAGAGTTTCACTGTATATTGGTTTTGGGTTTTGTTTTTTTGTTTTTTTTGGCACTGGTGATTAAACCCAGGGGCACTCAACTACTGAGCCACATCCCCAGCCCTGTTTTGTATTTTATTTAGAGACAAGGTCTCACTGAGTTGCTTATTGCCCTGCTTTTGCTGGGCTGGCTTTGAACTCTGATCCTCCTGTCTCAGCCTCCCGAGCAGCTGGGATTACAGGCATGTGCCACCTCGCCCGGCTGTGTATTGATTTTTTAAGTTTAATGTTATGTCACAAGAGTTAGGATTTTATTATTAGATCTAAATACTCCTAATTTTTTTCTCATTACCAAGGTGTTTATTGTAGAAAAAAATTTAAACTATAGATAAGCAAACAGAAAAAGTTGCCTCTCACAATGTTTCTATCCTTCTAAGTGGAAAAATTCTTCAAATCATAGACCGTGTCTTATATCTCTTTTCTACTCTTCATCATTTCTGGCTGCCTCAAAGATGAATTTCTGAATTATGGAGCATTTAGGAATATGACTTCTTCCTTTGCCTGTTCTTTAAATATGTGAATAACAATGATTAGACTGTTTCAGTCTTGTTTTAAGCATTGAAGAGTTAACGGAAGATTGTCATTATGGAAAGAGTATATATCAACTTTGAGGTCTAATTTTGGTTCCACTACTTTGTTTCTTAACTCTCTTTGGACAGAATACTCCCCAAACATCTATTTTCTTATTAATTCAGCAAATATTTAGGAAGATGATAGGTTTGGGTGCCAAGCTATATGTTAGGATATGTAGATGATCAAATATATTTTCTAATTACTTCTTAAAGCTTTTGGAAGTAATCTGATCTTCCAACATGATAATGCAAAACAGTGCCATTCAAAGCCATTAATCTGTAAACTGTTAGTGGTCTAGCACCAGAATGCTCTGTACTCCCTTCCTTGTTGAAATTTTATTTGGGGCAAGGGAGAGATAGCTGAACTAATTGATTTACCCTTCACACAAACCCAAATCACACTGGACCTAGGTGTACTTTAAGTAGCTTTTGGTATGAGGTAATCTACCACCTAAATAACTACCACCTAAATATGAATTGTTTTCTACTGTTTTTTCTCTTTGTCTGTTTATAGTTCTATTATTATTTTCTTTAATTTCTCTGATGGTTTCCTTCCAAGTCTCTTCATTACAGAGTTTTGCCTTTTTACCTAATTGAAATTTTTAGGTATGGAAGAGTTAATTATGTCTTGGCTCGAAGAATAGAACTTTTAGAAGAAGTCAAACGGCTACAGAAGAGTCTGGGTGTTCCAGGAGATGCCTCATATACTTGTGAAACCGCAGGTTATTTCTTCTTATATCAGGTAATATGTTAAATGTTTTTAAATTATAATTAATTATAATATGGTCCCCAGTTGAAAATTGGAATAGGTCCCTAATATTCTTCTTGAACGCTTATTTTGTTTTTCTTGAGTAGATTAAAATATGTGGTACTGCCAGAGCTATATTTATAAATGTTAAGTATTTGTATTTTTTTTATTATTTTCAGTTTTTCTTTGCTAAATAACTTTAGTTGATGACTCATTCAGTGGAAGGCCAGTGTTGGCAAGCTTTAAATTTTTTTCTTTCTTGCCTTTACAAAGTTTCACGCCTCTCTCTCTCCTCACTCCCTTTTCCCCCCTCTTATTACTATAGATATCTAGCTACATTTTCTAGCCTCCCAGTGGTAACAAAGTATAGTTCTACAATTTTATTATCTCATTAATCAACTAATGAAGGAAAATACATTTTTCTTTCAAATCTCCCAAAATAAATTATGTCTTAGAACTAATTACACAATGGGACTGTAAATTAAAATTTCTGTTGACTTCAGTTTAGTGGCATGCTATTACTTTTATCAAGGTTAATATTTTTTGAGTATGAAAACCAGTGAGAAATAGCCAAATAAGATAAATAAAAATAAATTTTATTAATTAGGTTGCTAATAATTCTAAATGCATTGATAATATAATAATGAATATTTTATATGTAATTTACTTATTCTCTTTATACTAATACATTTTAGATACAAATCATAACATTGAAATATGAAAGAATGGGCTCATGCTCATTCTGAGGAGATGGACAAGCTAGTTGATGCATTCAAAATGAGCAAATTTCATGGTTTCTTGAAAAGCAAGGAAAACATGCACTGTCTTGCAAAGAGGTCTACATTAGACTTAGACTGTTTAGAATTTTGAAGAATGGAAAAAAGATCATGCTTAAATGCCTATTTGACAGGAAAAAAATAACTGGTCTCTCAGTAAAAACTACTTTTAAAAATAGAAATAATGGGGGCTGGGGTTGTGGCTCAGTGGTAGAGCGCTCGCCTAGCATGCATGAGGCACTGGGTTCGATCCTCTGCACCAATAAAAATAAAAAATAAAGATATTGTGTCCACCTAAAACTAAAAAATAAGTATTTTTTAAAAAATAGAAATAATGTATAAATTTTGAATAGGTGAATTTGAAGTTTCATAGTATAGATCAATAGTTTGCAGCATAAAATAATTATATCAGGAAAGCTTTTCACAGGGTCAATTTCAAAGCCCTATCTTATTTTTTTTTTAAAATTTTTTATTGTTGGTTGTTCAAAACATTACATAGTTCTTGATATATCATATTTCACACTTTGATTCAAGTGGGTTATGAGCTCCCATTTTTACCCCATATACAGATTGCAGAATCACATCAGTTACACATCCATTGATTTACATATTGCCATACTAGTGTCTGTTGTGTTCTGCTGCCTTTCCTATCCTCTACTATCCCCCCTTCCCTCCCCTCCCCGCCCCTCTTCTCTCTCTGCCCCCTCTACTGACATTCATTTGTCCCCCTTGTATTATTTTTCCCTTTCCCCTCACTTCCTCTTGTATGTACTTTTGTATAACTCTGAGGGTCTCCTTCCATTTCCATGCAATTTCCCTTCTCTCTCCCTTTCCCTCCCACCTCTCATCCCTGTTTAATGTTAATCTTCTTCTCATGCTCTTCGACCCTACTCTGTTCTTAGTTACACTCCTTATATCAAAGAAGACATTTGGCATTTGTTTTTTAGGGATTGGCTAGCTTCACTTAGCATAATCTGCTCTAATGCCATCCATTTCCCTGTAAATTCTATGATTTTGTCATTTCTTAATGCAGAGTAATACTCCATTGTGTATAAATGCCACATTTTTTTTTATCCATTCATCTATTGAAGGGCATCTAGGTTGGTTCCACAGTCTTGCTATTGTGAATTGTGCTGCTATGAACATCAATGTAGCAGTGTCCCTGTAGCATGCTCTTTTTAGGTCTTTAGGGAATAGACCTAGAAGGGGAATAGCTGGGTCAAATGGTGGCTCCATTCCCAGCTTTCCAAGAAATCTCCATACTGCTTTCCAAATTGGCTGCACCAATTTGCAGTCCCACCAGCAATGTACAAGTGTACCCTTTTCCCCACATCCTCGCCAGCACTTGTTGTTGTTTGACTTCATAATGGCTGCCAATCTAACTGGAGTGAGATGGTATCTTAGGGTGGTTTTGATTTGCATTTCTCTGACTGCTAGAGATGGTGAGCATTTTTTCATGTACTTGTTGATTGATTGTATGTCCTCCTCTGAGAAGTGTCTGTTCAGGTCCTTGGCCCATTTGTTGATTGGGTTGTTTGTTCTCTTATTGTCTAATTTTTTGAGTTCTTTGTATACTCTGGATATTAGGGCTCTATCTGAAGTGTGAGGAGTAAAGATTTGTTCCCAGGATGTAGGCTCTCTATTTACCTCTCTTATTGTTTCTTTTGCTGAGAAAAAACTTTTTAGTTTGAGTAAGTCCCATTTGTTGATTCTAGTTATTAACTTTTGTGCTATGGGTGTCCTATTCAGGAATTTGGAGCCCGACCCCACAATATGTAGATCGTAGCCAACTTTTTCTTCTATCAGACGGCGTGTCTCTGATTTGATATCAAGCTCCTTGATCCATTTTGAATTAACTTTTGTGCATGGCGAGAGAAAGGGATTCAGTTTCATTTTGTTGCATATGGATTTCCAGTTTTCCCAGCACCATTTGTTGAAGATGCTATCCTTCCTCCATTGCATGCTTTTAGCCCCTTTATCAAATATAAGATAGTTGTAGTTTTGTGGATTGGTTTCTGTGTCCTCTATTCTGTACATTAGTCCACCCGCCTGTTTTGGTACCAGTACCATGCTGTTTTTGTTACTATTGCTCTGTAGTATAGTTTGAAGTCTGGTATCGCTATACCGCCTGACTCACACTTCCTGCTTAGCATTATTTTTGCTATTCTGGGTCGTTTATTTTTCCATATGAATTTCATGATTGCTTTCTCTATTTCTACAAGAAATGCCGTTGGGATTTTGATTGGCATTGCATTAAACCTATAGAGAACTTTTGGTAATATCGCCATTTTGATGATGTTAGTTCTGCCTATCCATGAACAGGGTATATTTTTCCATCTTCTAAGATCTTCTTCTATTTCTCTCTTTAGGGTTCTGTAGTTTTCATTGTATAAGTCTTTCACCTCTTTTGTTAGGTTGATTCCCAAGTATTTTATTTTTTTTGAAGATATTTTGAATGGAGTGGTTGTCCTCATTTCCATTTCAGAGGATTTGTGGCTGATATACAGGAATGCCTTTGATTTATGCGTGTTGATTTTATATCCTGCCACTTTGCTGAATTCATTTATTAGCTCTAATAGTTTCTTTGTAGACCCTTTTGGGTCTGCTAGGTATAGAATCATGTCATCTGCAAATAGTGATAATTTAAGTTCTTCTTTTCCTATTTTGATGCCTTTAATTTCTTTTGTCTGTCTAATTGCTCTGGCCAGTGTTTCGAGAACTATGTTGAACAGAAGTGGTGAGAGAGGGCATCCCTGTCTTGTTCCAGATTTTAGAGGGAATGCCTTCAATTTTTCTCCATTCAGAATGATGCTACCCTGAGGCTTAGCATAGATTGCTTTTACAATATTGAGGTATGTTCCTGTTATCCCTAGTTTTTCTAGAGTTTTGAAAATAAAGGGATGCTGTACTTTGTCGAATGCTTTTTCCGCATCTATCGAGATGATCATATGGTTCTTATTTTTAAGTCTATTGATGTGGTGAATCACATTTATTGATTTCCGTATATTGAACCAGCCTTGCATCCCAGGGATGAATCCTACTTGATCATGGTGCACAATTTTTTTGATATGTTTTTGTATCCGATTCGCCAGAATTTTATTGAGGATTTTTGCATCTAGGTTCACTAGAGATATTGGTCTGTAGTTTTCTTTCTTTGAAGTGTCTTTGTCTGGTTTAGGAATCAGGGTGATGTTGGCCTCGTAGAATGAATTTGGAAGTTCTCCCTCTTTTTCTATTTCCTGAAGTAGCTTGAAAAGTATTGGTATTAGTTCCTCTTTAAAGGTTTTGTAAAACTCTGCTGTATACCCATCCGGTCCTGGGCTTTTCTTAGTTGGTAGTCTTTTGATGGTTTCTTCTATTTCCTCAATTGATATTGGTCTGTTTAGGTTGTCTATATCCTCCTGACTCAATCTGGGCAGATCATATGACTTAAGAAATTTATCTATGCCTTCACTATCTTCTAATGTATTGGAGTATAAGGATTCAAAATAATTTTTGATTATCTTCTGTATTTCTGAAGTGTCTGTTGTGATATTGCCTTTTTCATCCCGTATGTTAGTAATTTGAGTTCTCTCTCTTCTTCTCTTTGCTAGCATGGCTAAGGTCTGTCGATTTTGTTTATTTTTTCAAAGAACCAACTTTTAGTTTTGTCAATTTTTTCAATTGTTTCTTTTGTTTCGATTTCATTAATTTCAGCTCTGATTTTAATTATTTCTTGCCTTCTACTTCTTTTGCTGTTGTTTTGCTCTTCTTTTTCTAGGATTTTGAGATGAAGTATGAGATCATTTATTTGTTGGTTTTTTCTTTTTTTAAGGAATGAACTCCACGCAATGAATTTTCCTCTTAGAACTGCTTTCAATGTGTCCCATAGATTCCGATATGTTGTGTCTGTGTTTTCATTTATCTCTAAGAATTTTTTAATTTCCTCCTTGATGTCTTCTATAACCCATTGATCATTCAGTAACCTATTGTTCATTCTCCAAGTGATGTATGCTTTTTCCTTCCTTCTTTTATCGTTGATTTTCAGTTTCATTCCATTATGATCAGATAAGATGCACGGTATTATCTCTATTACTTTATATTGTCTAAGAGTTGCCCTGTGACATAATATGTGATCTATTTTTGAGAAGGATCCATGTGCTGCTGAGAAAAAAGTGTAACTGCTTGATGTTGGGTGGTATATTCTATGTATGTCAATTAAGTCTAGGTTATTAATTGTGTTATTGAGTTCTATAGTTTCCTTATTCAACTTTTGTTTGGAAGATCTGTCCAGTGGCGAGAGAGGTGTGTTGAAGTCTCCCATGATTATTGTATGGTGGTCTATTAGACTCTTGAACTTGAGAAGAGTTTGTTTGATGAACATAGCTGCACCATTGTTAGGGGCATACATATTTATGATTGTTATGTCTTGTTGGTGTATGGTTCCCTTGAGCAGTATGTAGTGTCCCTCTTTATCCCTTTTGATTAACTTGGGCTTGAAATCTATTTTATTTGATATGAGTATGGACACACCTGCTTGTTTCTGAAGTCCATATGAGTGATATGATTTTTCCCAACCTTTCACCTTCAGCCTATGTATGTCTTTTCCTATCAAATGCGTCTCCTGTAGGCAGCATATTGTTGGGTCTTGTTTTGTGATCCATTCTACTAGCCTGTGTCTCTTAATTGGTGAGTTTAAGCCATTAACATTTAGGGTTATTATTGAGATATGGGTTGTTCTTCCAGCCATATTTGTTTATTTATGTTACTAAACATGGTTTGTTTTCCTCTTTGATTATTTTTCCCCCCTTTACTGTCCTACCTCTCACTGTTGGTTTTCATTGTTATTTTCCATTTCCTCTTCCTGTAATGTTTTGCCAAGGATGTTTTGAAGAGATGGTTTTCTAGCTGCAAATTCTTTAAACTTTTGTTTATCGTGGAAGGTTTTAATTTCATCTTCCATCCTGAAGCTTAATTTCGCTGGATACACAATTCTTGGTTGGAACCCATTTTCTTTCAGTGTTTGAAATATGTTATTCCAGGATCTTCTAGCTTTCGGAGTCTGTGTTGAAAGATCAGCTGTTATCCTGATTGGCTTACCCCTAAATGTAATCTGCTTCCTTTCTCTTGTAGCTTTTAAAATTCTCTCCTTATTCTGTATGTTGGGCATCTTCATTATAATGTGTCTAGGTGTGGGTCTCTTATGATTTTGCACATTCGGTGTCCTGTAGGCTTCTAGGATTTGGGATTCTGTCTCATTCTTCAAGTCTGGGAAGTTTTCTCGTATTATTTCATTGAATAGATTGCTCATTCCTTTGGTTTGAAACTGTGTCCCTTCCTGTATCCCAATGACTCTTAAATTTGGTCTCTTGATGTTATCCCATATTTCTTGGATGTTCTGCTCATGGTTTCTTAACAGTCTTGCTGAGCTGTCTATGTTCTTTTCAAGTTGAAATACTTTATCTTCATTGTCTGATGTTCTGTCTTCTAAGTGTTCTACTCTGCTGGTAGTATTCTCCATTGAGTTTTTAAGTTGGTTTATTGCTTCCTGCATTTCTAGGATTTCTGTTTGTTTGTTTTTTATAACCTCTATCTCCCTGTATAGTTGATCTTTTGCTTCTTGGATTTGTTTATGTAATTCATTGTTGAAGTGATCTTTCATTGTCTGATTTTGCTGTCTGATGTCTTCCTTGAGACTCCAGATCATCTGAAGCATGTATATCCTGAATTCTTTATCTGACATTCCATCTGCTGCAGCTATTACCTCTTCTAACGTTGAGTTGACCTGCATTGCTTGTGGTTCTTTCTTTCCTTGTCTCTTCATACTGTTCGCGTTCCTTTCTACTTGGTGAAACTGTTGTGCTATTGAATTTTCCCCCTATATATTTATATTGGTCTTGTATAGTTGCAAAGTCTCCCTCGCAGGCGCGGGCGGCAGCTCTGCCCCTCCTCCAATTGGGGCAATGTGCCTACCACGCCGGAGGCCACTGGGCCTGCTCTGCCGGTCGGTAGCAGGTCCGCCTACCTTGCAGGCGCGGGCGGCGGCTCTGTCCCTCTGCGGGCCGCTAGGCTTGTTCTGTCGGTGGTTGCAGTTCTGCCTACTTTGCAGGCGCAGGCAGCAGCACTGCCCCTCTGCAGGCCTCTGGGGCTGTTCTGCTGGTGGGTCGCAGGTCCGCCTACCTTGCAGGCGTGGGGGGGGGGGTGGCTCTACCCTTCCTCAGGCCACTGGGCCTGTTCTGTCTGTCGGTTGCAGGTCTGGCCTGTTCTGTTGGTGGTCACAGTTCCGTCTACCTTGCAGGCGCGGGGGCAGGGGGCGGCTCTGCCTCTCAGCAGGCCGCTGCGCCTGTTCTGCAGGTGGGTCGCATGCCCGCCTACCTTGCAGGAGTGGTTGGCAGCTCTGCCCCTCCGGGGGCCACTGGGCCTTTTCTGTAGGTGGTCACAGTTCCGCCTACCTGGCAGGCCCGGGGGGTGGGGATCGGCTCTGCCCCTCAGCAGGCCGCTGGGCCTGTTCTGTGGGTGGTCATAGTTCCATCTACCTTGCGGGCGCAGGGGGAGGGGGCGGCTGGGGGCGGCTCTGCCTCTCAGCAGGCCGCTGCTCCTCTTCTGCCGGTGGGTCGCAGGCCCGCCTACCTTGCAGGAGTGATTCTAAGCCCTATCTTAAAAGCATTCAGTAGGGGTGGGAATTGTGTTTTTGGGGTTTTTTGTTTGTTTGTTTGTTTTTTGCTCCTCAGATATTCTGCATAAGGACTATACTTTCAGAAACACTAAAATCATAACAGACCTAGGAGAATTATAAAAATTGAAGTTAAGTAGAAACTGGCTGGTAGGTGCATAGCTGACATTGTACAAGGATGTAACTGAACTGTATCACATAAGTCATAAGGTGTGCTTTCAAATATATACTCAATCAGAAGTTCTTTATAAATGTTCTAAAGAGATTTGGGGAAGAAATATAAAGGTTTAAGAAAAGAGTATACCTGTCCTCCCTTCTTCTCCTGTCCTCAAGTCCTGAAATGACTTTGAGTTTCTTTCCAGTTTCTACATTTTTTATTAAAGATCTTTTTTATCTTCTCAAATTCTAAGGTTACTTTTTTTGAAAGAAGAGTAATCTATCAGTGACTTGGATGAGAAATAGTTATATTGGGCCAAAGACTGCATTTATTCCCTTTACCCTAGCAGATCTTATTTTTACTAGATTTATTTTTAGTTTTATGATTTAAAACATATTCCTGGCAAAATAAACCTCAAGTCCTTTTCCTACAGGTAATGTCTCGTTGGGAAGAATATATCAGTAAAGTGAAAAATAAAGGTAGTACATTACCAGATGTTATGGAAATCTCCACTTTCTTCCCTTTCCATGAATATTTTGCAAATGCTCCTCAACCCATTTTTAAAGGCAGATCTTACGAAGAAGACATGGAAATTGCTGAAGGATGTTTCAGACATATTAAGAAAATCTTTACTCAGCTTGAGGTAAGAATTCCAATGTGCTTTTAATTTTCCTTTAAAGATTCTTAATTTTGTTTAGTGTTTTTGTTTAATGAAGTAAATGCGGAATATTCAAATGTTACAAGTTAGATTGTTACTTTTAACTAAAATTATTAAAAACACATTTATAGTTTTGTTCAGTAAATAAGCAAAAATTAAGATGAATTGTATCCTCATTATTCTGGTTTTTTTGGTATAAAGATATTAGTTCTTAAGAAAGAAATGCTTTCACCAATACCCCCACATCCCTCCACACACACACACACATCCCCACACTCCACCCCACCCCCATTTTGGTGTTGGAGATTGAACCCAGGGGCCTCACACTTTCAAAGCAAGCAGTTGAGCTACACCCCCAGCCCCAACAATAGTTCTTTGAGAATTTGAGACTGCCACATGGCCATTCTTAGTTTCTTATACCTCTTGATCAGTAGGCAAAAAAGTGAGATTTCAGTGTTAGCTGGGACAATTGATCATGGTATTAAAATGAAATAAGAATCATCAATACACAGAAGAAACAGAGAAGAGTACATCTAGAACCCAGGGTCCCCTGGGATGTTTTCCTATAGCAACATCATTGGAAAAAGACAGCAATTATATAAAATATGTTGGGCTGGGGATGTGGCTCAAGCGGTAGCACGTTCGCCTGGCATGCGCGGGGCACTGGGTTCGATCCTCAGCACCACATAAAAATAAAAATAAAGATGTTGCATCCACCGAAAACTAAAAAATAAATATTAAAAAATTCTCTCTCTCTCTCTCTCTCTCTCTCTCTCTTAAAAAAAAATGTTAATAAATAAAATTTTTAAACCCGCAAAGTGATGTTTTATTTATGATTCAGTAAACACAAAGTCAAAGGGAAGAACATACTCAATTCATAACAGTAGCTGCCTTAAGAAGGAGTGGGGAGACTGGTAACTTACCTGTATCAGTAATGTTTAAATTATTAAAGAAACAAGGTAAAAATATTAAAACATTTTGGTAAAGTATGGGTAACTTGATATTGGGTACTCTGCCTGGGCCTGTTTGCTCCTTGCACCCTCTATTGTCTGTCTTCAACCTCACCATGGTTGAGGGTCAGGCTGATCTTTGTAGGTTTCATGTCCCAGCTGCCTATGTCTACTGACTTAAGACTGTTTAGCCACCTCCTGAGAGATGGGGCAGGAGTTTAGAAAAGGGAGAAGCCAAGGTATTTTTTTCTTCAGATACCTCTACCTAGTGTTTCGTCTCCTCCATGACTGCTGGATTGGCCCATTGTGGTTCCCACTTATTTTGTGACCCTAGTCACTAAGCTCTGCTCACACCACTTTTTTACCTTTTATCCTCCCTAATCTAGGAGTGGCAGGGACTTCTTGCTCTTCTCAGTCTCTGGGTTATTTTATTCCCTTGTTGGCTTTTCATCTCATTTGTCATCTGTATAATGAGTTTATTGCTTCAGTTCCTTTCATTGTAAATACTTGAAGTAGTTTGTTTATAAGAGGAACCTTAAATAATGCAGGTACAATGATAATTGTTATTTTATTCAGTTTTCTTGTTTATATTGTAAATATTTTACCTTACACACACACACACACACACACACACACACACACATAAATCAGTCCAGTTGAAGCTTGATTGTCAGCTATTATTTGAACTCAATTGGTACATAAATAATAAGAAACAGACTTATGATTTATTAGTCTTATTTTATGAGATATTCATATTAATTTCTTAAGAATCGTCTGATTGACTGGATTCTTTAGTTTTATGCATAGACTATTTGTTACCCTAAAGTAATCTTTCACTCATCCTCACTCTTGTAGGAATTCAGAGCCTCTGAACTGCTCCGCAGTGGACTGGACCGATCTAAATACCTGTTAGTAAAGGAAGCCAAAATCATTGCTATGACCTGTACTCATGCTGCCTTAAAACGACATGACTTGGTAAAGTTAGGTTTCAAGGTAAAGATTTACATTTAGTTTCTTACTTCATCATCTACTCAATTGTTAGTTTTTTTGGTTTTTTACTTTTTTCCCTTGGATATTGGCTCACTTCTATGAAAGTTCTCATTTATAGTTTCTTTAAAATGTCTCTCTTAATGTGAATGATACTATCCCATGTTTATATGATTAGTGAACTTAAATCTAATTTTTCTAAGTCTGGTTATTAGTATTTTGTGTACTAATTAGCGTAATCATGTGGTTGCTTAACCAAATTCTCATACTTATTAAAAGTTTGTTTTGTTTTTGTTTTTGTTTTTTTGTACTGGGGATTGAACACCCAGGGGCACTTAATCACTGGTGTATCCTCAGCCCTTTTTATGTTTTATTTAGAGCTAGGGCCTCACTAAGTTGCTTAGATTGGCTTTGAACTTGTAATCTTCCTAACTCAGCCTCCTAAGCTGCTGGATTTACAGGCCTGCGCCACATTGCCTGGCAAGATTTTTTTATTTTTTATTTTTTTGAAATATTTATGTTTTATTATATTTATGTTTTTATTATTATTATATCCTATCTGATTCAAATTATGATATGTCAAAGTCATTGTACTGTCATGTGTAACTAATAAGTAAAAAAAAAAGAAAGAAATGTTTATGTTTTAGTTGTAGTTGGACACAATACCTTTATTTTATTTATTTTTATGTGGTGCTGAGGATTGAACCCAGGGCCTCACACTTGCTAGGCAAGTGCTCTACCGTTGAGCCACAGCCACAACCCCAACCCCAAGACCTTATTGTTGAAAAATCTCCAAACAGAACTAAAAGCTATAAGTAACATGTTATAGTGTTTGTTAGTTGCAACACATTTATATACTTACATTATTCAAATACTGAATATATATCTAATCCAGTTATTTGTTCATTCCATAAATAAAAAGCTTTCCATAAGAGGATAGGGAATACTCTTATAATAGACTGTAAAATAAAATATTAAAAATAATTATGTGACAAAGACAAAAGGACAGCATGATAGGTTGTTAACCTATGACTGAATTGAAGTACAGTGTAATGATGGAGCCAAAAATTTGAATTTGTAGACTCTTTATGACTTTGATAGTGTTATTTACCTAAACGCCAATTTAATACAAATCATTTAACTTTCCTGTAATTTGTTTATCTGTTGAAAATAGGTTTGTGTACTGGTTTGAACCAAAGTTAGTCGTTCATTTGTTTATGAAAGGGACGATTTTAAGATATATGATCTCATTGAAAGATAGTGCTAAATAAATTCAAGGTGATAGAATTGTTGTTATCTGGAGGAGAGGTTCTTCAGTGCAAGGTAGGACAAATATGACAATTTATTAAAAAGTAGTGTGAACTTACCCCAGGGGTGTGAAGTTACCCTTTTGCAAATTATTAGTGAGAAGTTTTCACCTGAATATTTTGTTCTTGAGACTGACATATAAAACATAATTTGAATTTGACATTAAATTATATTAGTTAAATAACAAGGGGAAATTATGCAACCATAACTAGCGTTTTATTCTTTGATGCAGTTTTTCACAAATTTCCAAAAATATTGTTACTTATCAAATTTTCATTAATTCTATTGTATACTTATATATCTAAAGATGTTTAGCATGAGTGATGATAGATTTTTAAAAATATTTTTAATACTGGATATATTTTTTCAAACTTCAGAGTTTAAAAACCTTTGTAGATCTGTTTAACATAAAACAGGCAGCCCTTGCGTTGGCCATGAGGCTTTTTTTTTTCCCCTGACACAATGTGAAAGATTTGAAACCAGAAGGGGATATAATCCTATGACTGTTTGTTAGTGGCTTAAGGGAAGCAAGACAGGAAGGGAAAGGACAAATGTGGTGGCCTGGACTATAGTGGTAGTTTTGGTAGAAATAGAGGAAAGTAAAATAGATTTTAGAGGGAGTTTTGAAAGTAAAATTGACACACTTTGGTGGCGGATGGAATGCCTAGGTTTGAAACAGAAATGGATTGTTATGATCAGTGTAGGATTCATAAGGGGGAAAAAATTACCCCAAAATACTATCTAGGGTAAGAATACCAATAGGAATGACATCATACATACTATAAATCAATTCTTGCTTATGTAGAATGTGAAGAACTAAACTGAACTAAATAGATACTGCAATCCAGGAAGTGATGTACAAGATCTCCTCAATGTAAATATATTTGGGAGGAGGGGGTCTTTCCTGAGGTTAGAGATGTGATCTGAAATTCTTATGTTTTTGGTGATTGCTGTGGTTATGGTGGTAGTTGTTTGGCTTTTGAGCTATTTTTTCAACAAATTTTTCTTTTCCTTTTTTAGTATGACAACATTTTAATGGAAGAGGCTGCTCAAATTCTGGAGATAGAAACTTTTATACCTCTTCTCCTACAGGTAAGAAATTAAGAATTCTTGGGGACAACATCTAAAAGCTGTATAGTTTAGAGGTACTTGTTTTCACAATTTTCTATTCTCTTTAATTTCATTTTGTTTGCCATTCTATTTTAAGTTTGCAAGTTTCCTTTAATCTATTTATAGGCCATTTAGTAATTTGTTTTGCTTTTGGGAATACTATTCTAAAAATTCGTGGTTTATATCTATATAGTAGCTTTGAAAAGACAGTAATTTTAATTAAGGAATTGTTGTTATGCATTTTGAGGGGAAGATGAGTTATATTTTTCATGTCTTTTGTTGGAATTGTTCTGTCTGGAATTGTTTCTGATGTTCACTGAGTACATTGGTTTATTTTATGGCTGTGTTTTTGAGGTAAATGGTGGTATATCAAGAATTTTCTTACTGTACAATATTATTTACTATTGAAACATTAAAAACAATATGGAATTCTCTGGGTAGTTTAGAGTAGTTATATTTTTAATTGAGTTACAAAAATTTTTATAAACCAAGCTATCTGGAGCTTGGAATGTGTTTTATTCAACAGTGTATGTTTCAAGGAATAAGGAGGCATATAAGGTAGGAAATTATAGTAGTAGTGGAAGAAATTAGACAAGGTACAGTTTTTATCATGTTGAGTTCAAAGCAGTGTTTTGCACAATTGTAAAACAAGGTATTTACTTTGACATTTCTCCATTTCTCCTCGGGGCTTCTCTTTTTTTTCTGTAACTCTTCCAAAAGTTGACCTAAGCCTTGAAGACTTTAGATTACCCTAACTGTTAAGGTAGGGTAATTCCATTGCTTCCTCAATTCTTCCAGCTCCCTTTGCCCACTGTCAGCCAAGAGCAATGGCACCCATACCTGATTCGTATGTTATTCTACAAATTTGCCAGACTCTTCTCTGTGTGGATCTATCTAGTACAGGTCAATAATTTAAGTTAATAATGCCATTTAATGAAGAAAAGTCTTTTGCATGATAATTTCGAGCCCAGCTAATGCACTAAGTGTAGTATTTTACTATTTTTCTACCTTTAATTTCTAGAATCCTCAGGATGGGTTTAGCCGACTGAAACGATGGATCATGATTGGTGATCATCACCAGTTACCTCCAGTAATTAAGAACATGGCCTTTCAGAAGTATTCAAACATGGAGCAGTCTCTGTTTACTCGCTTTGTCCGTGTTGGTGTTCCTACTGTGGACCTCGATGCTCAAGGGAGAGCCAGAGCAAGGTAAAGGTGACAGGGAGAAAAAACATTTCTCTGCAAGACATCAGCTCCATTATCCAAGTATTTGTAAACATCTCTTATAAAAGATTTTAGCTTTCCTGTTATCCAGGAACTTGCCAGTTGCAAATGTGAAAGCGCCTTTGTTGCCTTTTGCACAAAAGCTGTGAATTGACCAAATAAGTTATTGTCTTCATTATATTGAGATTAACTTAAGTGTCTTATAATCTAAAGACTTCACTTGTTCCTTTTCCCTTCTTCGAGTCCCCCAGAGATAGAGTTAATATAATTTTGAAACCTAAAGCAAAAGTATACAAGAGTAGAATACAATTCTCACTTCATAGAGTACCAGCCCCATCTTATAGTTATTTACTTCCAATGTCCTCAGTTTACAGGTTCTTCCCTGATTTTTTAATTGATGGCATAATGATAGCAATTACCTCAGAGAGTGCAGTAGAGCTACCATTTTTGTAATGTTTTCAGTCTCTTGACTGTTAGTTATTTGAAGAGACTAAGAATGAAAAGCAATTATTGCTAAAAAGGTGAGAAAAAATGAGTAACATGAAAATTAAAGCACAGCTCCTTATAAACCTCCTATGTGTATTAGAAGGGATTTCATGTTGCTAATCTTTCCTGTTTGGGGGGGCGGGGATTTCTCTTTGAAAAGCTTGTGCAACCTCTACAACTGGCGATACAAGAATCTAGGAAACTTACCCCATGTGCAGCTCTTGCCAGAGTTCAGCACAGCAAATGCTGGCTTACTGTATGACTTCCAGCTCATTAATGTTGAAGATTTTCAGGGAGTAGGAGAATCAGAACCTAATCCTTACTTTTATCAGGTAAGAAAAGATGTGACACTTTAAAATATAAATATAAATAAATATATATAAATATAAATATATATATATATATATATATATATATATATATATGTTGTAGTTGGACACAATACCTCTATTTTATTTACTTATTTTTATGTGGTGCTGAGTATCGAACCCAGGGCCTCGGGTGTGCTAGGCAAGCGCTCTACCACTGAGCCATAACCCCAGCCCAAGATGTGACACTTTTAAGTTTATTTTGCATTTGCCTGGTTGAAATACTACCTAATTGAGTGATGCTGAACCATTTGGCTAGCCATTGAAAAAAGGAAATTTGAGAGCCCCACTTTATAACACAAAAGCCATTCATTTTCAGATGAATTAAAGGTACATCCAACATACTAGAAACTACTAAAAGTTAATATTAATATATAATGTAAGAAAGAGCTTTCTAAGCTTCTTAACCAAAGCAAAAATTACAAAAGAAAAATATTGATTGATTTAAGAGAAAATTTAACATTTGCAAATAATAGGTTGAATTCTGCATATGTATAACTTAGTCAATTTTTTAAAAATTAATCCCCTAACAGAAAAATACAATAATAAGAATATCCATATCACAAAAAGTTAATAGGTTTATAGCAATTATCAGTCACTGGATCAGGCAGTACTCAGTGTTGAAGTTGTTTTGGGGGAATTCTCAAACAATGCTAGTAGAAAAACAATTTGTAAACAGATGTTAGATTCTCACTTATAGAAATTTATCCTAAGCAAATATTTGAACAGCTTTGCAAAGATTTACATACTAAAATATTCATCACTGCTAAGTATTTTGGAAGTGAGAAACAGTTCAAATATCTACTAGTACGGATTAAATTATTGCATATCCATTAGAAATACTGAATAGCCACTAAAATAATAACATTATAAATTTGTTTATTGACAGGAAAAATATTTATGCTGTTTCAAATTAAAAATGTAAATTGCTAAGCATATCTGTAGTGTCTCACTTGATTTTTAAAATGAAACAGCAACATATATATAGAAATATGTACAGATAATCTATACAAAAAAAATCTGACAGCATATGCACCAAAAAATAACAATCTCTGAGGGATTATTTTAAATTTTTCTTTTTTCTTTTTCCTTACACCAATGTATTTGTTATGTATTACTATATAAATTAGATACCTTGAGTTATATATGAAAAACATCATGTATTATTGACTTAAATGTGTATATATCTGTATCTGTACATATATATACATATATAGATAGATACATACATACATAAAATATACGGATGTAACTCATGAAAATTCTTTTATCCCACCAAATATTTGCTTGTATTAAATTAGGTTACTCTATATGTATACTTATAGCCTGGGAACACATGTGACCTTTAAGTGATAACTTTAAAAAATATTAGGACCTAAGTAAAATTGGTAATGTTTCATAATTAGCCACCTTTGAAGATGATTAAGGATTCTGTCAGTATTCTAATTGATGTTTTCATTATGTAATGGTTTTTGGAATTTCCCATTTGAGTCAGTTTTGTTACTTAAGCTACACTGTAGTATTGACCTGGAACATTATCATCCTGTTTGGTTCTCTGTTTGGTTCTCTTATTGATTAGTTCTAATTCTAAATGAGTTTTCAGTATTTCAAGAAATAAATGTATTTTAAAATGATGATTTATATTTTACTTTTAAATATATTTCTGAATAATTGAAAACATTATCCCCTCAAATAAGAACACTTTGCATTTAAGCAATATATTGAAATAGTTGTATCTAAAAGGGAAAGGATGGACAAATGAATAAAAGTTACTAATTTGAAGGGGTCTTAATTTATTTTGCCCAAGTCCTACAGTGTTTGTTAAAATATAATTCAAATTGTTTTATTGTTAATACTTTATGTCTGATCTTTGGGCAGGGTACCAAGTTGAACAGTGCTTATTTTTTGCATGAATAAAGAAATTGACTCTTTTTATTGAGAACTCTCCACATGTATCTTGCCAAAGATACTCAAATCCTGTAAACTGAATTTTAGCCCAAACTTTTACTATGGTCATTTCCATGATTACCAATTTGTTCCTGTATCTATATTAGAACTGATACTTAGATAAATGTATTTTGCTACCAGTATGGAAAATGGAAAGATTTTATACTGTCATGCGGCTGCTTTTCTCTCCCATCTTCCAAAGGACTAGAAAATTTAAATGAAAGAGATAACTCAGGCTGTGTGTCACCAAGAATCAGAATATAAATGATATTCTGAAGGTCTTCCAGTAATTTTCCCATTGCCTTTGCCTAAAATCCATCTTCTTTGTTTATTATTGTGCATGTTGTGTTCTCATTTTGCTTTCTTCTCTCTTCTAGCACTTTGAATTTAGTCTATTAAACTGGACTAAATAGCTTTGCGTATGATTCTTCACCTTGAAGTTAGACTGGATTTGTACTAGATTCCTGGATAAGTTACTTTGTTACTTTATATTAAAATTTTGTTTTTATAGCTACAATTTCAGTATATTGTATAACAGTGTGATTGTTGTGGTCCCAAGAATATCAGGCCTTCAAGTTGGTGACTTTTGTGTTATGACTATGCCATGTATTATACATATGTTCTAAATATCAAAATTTTTATCAGTATTAACCTAGAATAAAATTATCCCTCAATTTTACCAAAGTGTTCACTTGTCTAGGTTATTTGCTTCACTTTTCTTGAGGCTACTAGATAAGCCGTTTTCTCTATAAAATCGAAACAAAAAGAAATAAATGGACAATCTGATTGTGTTTGCATTACAGAATCTTGGAGAGGCAGAATATGTAGTAGCACTTTTTATGTATATGTGCTTACTTGGTTACCCTGCGGACAGGATCAGTATTCTAACAACTTATAATGGCCAAAAGCATCTTATTCGTGACATCATCAATAGACGATGTGGGAATAATCCATTGATTGGAAGGCCAAATAAGGTAATTTTATGACTATAGTATGTTCTGTTATTCATCATTTTGGCAAGATGGAGTAGCTTATATTTATTATGAATTACTTATACTGCTCCACCTTGCCTCTTTTCTGTCTTCTATTAAGATATGTGAGAAAATGAAATAATAGGAATTATAAATAATTTTGTGGTAATTCTGACAGTTTTACTGCTTTGCTGTGAACTTATATCTCAACTACTAGATTGAGATTTTTGTTGATATTAATCAGAGATGTTTCTAAAACATTTAATTGGTAAAATTATAGATAACAAAATTTCATTGTAATTTAAGTACTATTACAGAAATATGAACTGAAGCATTTTTTTTGTCTTGCAATGAGATAATTTCAGCAGCTTTTTAGTGTGTACATAGGGGGCTAAGGGTTGTCTTGGAGGATAAAGGAAGTTTGTAAAGTACATTCAAACCTAAGGATTTTTTACAAATTTTTAATGTAATGAAAAATGATAAACAATATCAAAAGTAAATATGATTGATTTTATTAATGAAGGGTTGAATAAATTAGAATAATAAAATATAAATGTAACATTACTGATTATTATGACTGTGGTAAGAAACATGGCTATGTAAAAGCTATTTAACCTTTTCTTGGAAATCACCCAAAATAACAGGAAAATGGGAGGAAGAGGGGAGAAATTTCATTTTTAGTGAGATTACACAGATCAGGTGGCTTGGCTAAGATCAGGAAGAAAATATAGGAGGAAAATAATTCTGTGGACTATTATTCAAGTGCCAGCAAAAACATTCTGAAGATGAGAAGCATACTTTTAAGGATTAAGTCACACTCTTGCTTTTCAAATGCAGATGTGGGATTGGTTCAAAGAAACCTGCAGGTGAGCTATATTTACAGAATGTAGACTCTCTGCTGTAGCCAGGAAAAGAAGGCCTTTTTTTGTGTGTGTGTGAAAATTATCCATCCTTTAGAAAACAGCCTCTTGCTCACCCTTAGCTAATTTAAGAAACCCACTTATTCAGTGATGAATTGTGAGAGGAAGTAGCACAAGCTCAATTTATATAGGGAAAAAATGAGTAAAGGAATATTAAAACCTATACAAGATAGGCTGGGAGCAGTAGTGCACACCTGTATCCCAGCTACTTGGGAAGCTGAGCCAGTAGGCTCATTTGAGGCCAGGCATTTGAGGCCAGCCTGGGTAACAGTGAGAACCTATCTGGAAAAAAAGGCATGAATTTTAAAAGTACTTATTGAAGTAACCATCCCATAAAGAAAGGCTACAAAATAAAGAAATCGAATAATTCAGGAAGAAATTATATGTAAGGTATAAGAAAATAAAACCAGAGGAATTAAAAACAAAATCAATAGCAATACAAAAGAATATACTACAGAGTACTGTAAAAGGAATATAGAGAGTGAAAAAGAAAAATTGATAACTTTGAAGTATAGCGAGTTTAGAAATACAAAGACCTGAGAAAATGGAAAGATCTCCCATGTTCTTGGATAGACAGAATTAATATTGTCAAAATTGTCAAAATGGCCTTACTACCAAAAGCGTTATACAGATTTAATGCAATTCCTATTAAAATCCCAATGACAGTCTTCAGGCAACTAGAAAAAGCAATTGTGAAGTTCATTTGGAAAAATAAGAGACCCAGAATAAACAAAACAATCCTTAGCAAGAAGAGGGAAGCGGGAGGCATCACAATATCAGACCTTGAACTACTACAGAGCTAAATGGCATGGTATTGGCACCAAAATAAACATGTAAACCAGTGGTACAGAATAGAGGACACAGAAACAAACCCACATAAATACAGTTATGTCATACTAGACAAGGGTACAAAAAACAAACGTTGGAGAAAAGATAGGCTATTCAACAAATGATGCTGGGAAAACTGGAGATCCATATGTAGCAAAATGAAATTAAACCCATTTCATCCTGCACAAAACTCAAAGTGAATCAAAGACTTAGGCACTAGAACAGAGACCCTGTGCCTAGTAGATGAAAAAGTAAGCCCAAATCTTTATCATGTTGGCCTAGGATCTGACTTCCTTAACAAGGCACCTAAAGTGCAGAAGTAAAATCAATAATCAATAAATGGGATGGATTGAAACTGAAGAGCTTCTTCTCAGCAAAGAAAACAATCAACAACGTGAAGAGAGAGCCTATAGAATGGGAGAAAATCCTTACCATACACACCTCAGATACAGCATTAATCTCCAGGATATATAAATAACTCAAAAAACTTACCGCCAAAAAACCAGATAACCCATTCAATAAATGGCTAAGGAACTGACACACACTTCACAGAAGAAGAAATATAACCAATCAACAAATATATGAAAAAAATGTTCAATATCTCTAGCAATTAGAGAAATGCAAATCAAAACTACTCTAAGATTTCATCTTACTCCAGTCAGAATGACAATCATCAAGAATATAGGCAACAATAAGTGTTGGTGATGATGTAGGGAAAAAGGAACACTCATACAAGTGGGACTGCAAATTGGTACAGCCACCCTGGAAAGCAGTATGAAGTTTCCTCAGAAAACTTAGAGAGGAACCACCATTTTTGACCCAGTTATTACCACTCCTTGTCATAATACCCAAAGGACTTAAAATTAGCATATTAAAGTAGCACAGGCCCATCAATGTCTATAGCAGCTCAGTTCACATTAGCTAAACTGTGGAACCAACTTAGATGCCCTTCAACAGATCAATAGATAAAGAAAATGTGGTATATATATATACACAGTGGAATACTAAGCCTTAAAGAAGAATGAAATTGTGTCATTTGCTGGTAAATTGATGGAGCTGGAGAATATTGTGCTAAGCAAAATAAGAATCAAGAAGATGGAAGTAGGGTGGTTCTGGGGTTGGGCTGCAGGGTGGGTTCAGTGATGTTAATAAGGACCAAGGTTCATTTCATCCTTTTTGCCCAACCAGTCTTAGTGTATGAACACAGCTCAGACAAGCTATTCACCTGGTCAGGAAAGCAACAGAATTTCCAAGTGTGAAACCACACATTATAACAGAGAACTTGTATCTAGAATATATATAAACTTCTATAAAAATCCTTACACAACATAATACAAAAATGGGAAAATTATTTGAACCGATACTAGAAGGCCTACAAGTAGCCAGTGAGACCCCCAAAATTCTTTACCATCATTAATTGTCAGAAATGTAAGTTAAAACACAATAATATACTACTATGTATCCAATAGAGTAGGTAAAATTAAAAAGAATGACAGTATAATAAGTGTTGACAAGGATGTGGAACAATCTGGAACTCATGAACTGGAACATTGCTGTGAATATATATGTACAGTTGGTGATATAGCAATTTTGAAAAACAGTTTGACAGTTTCTTGTCAAGCTTAAGTATATACTTAACTATATTGCCCAGCAAGTTCACTCATAGGTATTTATCCAAGAACAAGGAAACTATGTGTCTACAAAAATATTTGCACTTGAATATTCAATGCAGCTCTATTCAAAATAGCATCAAAATTAATCAAATTATATACTTAAAATGAGCACATTTTCTTATATATAAGCTGTGAAGTTAAATTAAAAAGAAGTATTTCAGTAATTTCCTAAATGTAGAGGGATTATAAATTACAGTTTTAGAGGGTAAACAGAACTTTTTTTTTTTTTAAATTTGGAAAAAAAGGAATAAGGGCCTAAATGTTAAACCTTTCCGAACTTCCCTATTTCTAGGTATATTCTCAAACTAAACAAAAAGTATGATGAAGATTATTATTGTTATTCTTGTTTTCTTTCATGGAGGAATGCTGTGGACAAATACTAGGAATATATAGATTAATAAATAAGCATACTGTTACATTTCTGAGCATTAAACTTGAACACTACCAGTTAATAAGGCAAACATAGTGCCTGCTTTCATGAAGCTTGGCAGTCTAATAGGAGGAGACTCTTGAATTCTAAAAATAATTACTAGCAAAGATAAAGACAGGTGTCTAAGTGTGAATAACTTAAGGATATAGGGTATTGTGGTTTCTGCAATCTGTTTAACAGTGTTCATTAACTTGCTTTTACAATTTCAATCCCCAAAGAAACACAGTCATGATTGGAATTTTGTTTCTTTGGGGATTGATTAAGAGTAACGTGTTTGTTTCTAGCACATTATTTAAATAATGTCTAGAGCCTTTTTATTGTGGTTTTGAAAATAAACCATGTTTCTCATTATGTCTTCCTAGGTGACAACTGTTGATAGATTTCAAGGTCAACAGAATGATTACATTCTTCTTTCTCTTGTACGAACCAGGGCAGTGGGTCATCTGAGGTACGTAGGAAAAATTTTTAACGGCTTATTTAACTTTACTATTTCAATTTTGAATCTCAGTGGCAAAGTAGTTTCTAATTTTTATGTTTAAATTATATATAGTTATAATTAATTGTTATAGCAACTTCTGGTGTTTTTTGTTGTAATGTAACATTATCAAATTCCTTGTGTAGTTCACCATTGCTTTTGCTTACTGGATTTTTTACTCTTAAATGTTTTAGTAATTTTAGCTTTTTTATTCTTTAATTACTTTCAAAAATAGAAATTTTATCAAAAAATCTTATGTCTGATAGAAATAGTATTAGAAATTATATCAGGTAAAGTCTCCTCAGAGGAAATTTTTCATCGTGTAGGATTCTGGTTTTCCTCCACATATATACTCTTTCAGCTTCAGTGTTAAGGGAAAAAAGAGCCACTTGTTCTCCTAGGATTGAGAATTGTCAAAACAAACAATAATCTATTTTTATCATTTATTGTAGCATATTTATGTGTTACAGATTTATGGGAATAATATCTTTTTATTACAAAGCAGTCATTTAGTTTTATATAAACCTTCATCTTATGTGACTTTATATAGCAAAATTATATGGAGAGTTTGTTATTTTTATTTGGTAGATATAAAAACAAGTCTCCTCCCTCCCCCCCCCCCACACCAACTCTTGTATGTTGTCATTAGGTCAAGATCTATTTGGAGCTTAACCTAGTTATGAAATTCCATTAGCCCAATAACTTTTATGTAAGAGTAAGCAAAAAATATAACATTTTAAGAAATTGTTTAGAGACAACATTTTAAATAGTTTATTTTTGCTTATTTATTGAAGTGTCAAGCATGTATTTAAAGTCTTTGCTTTTCCAAAAAGCCATTCCTTTCCTCACTGACATTTATAATTAATTAGCCATCATTATGGTTTACGTAATTAAGATCTCTCAAAACTTTATGGTATGAATTTATGAATGCTGCTTCCTCTTCTCCCTCTTTTTGCTTACACTGTAGTACCATGCCTCTTTCAGATTCCAATGACTTTAGTTCTCTCCGTTCTTTGCTTTATTTTTCTGAAAACTTTTTAAAAGGGTTTTTTTGATGATGAAACCTTTATTGTGCAAGTCAGCTTTCTGTCATTATGACAGAATACCTGAGAAAAACAACTTAAGGGAGGAAAGATTTTGGCTCACAGTTTCACAAGTTTTAGTCTATAGTCACTTAGTTCTCTTGTCTGTGGGCCTGTGGTGAGACAGAGCTTTATGGGTAGAAAGGGCATGACAGAACAAAGCTGTTTTAACTTCATGTGGCCAAGAAGCAGGGAGTGAAAGAGAAAGGGGCTGGTGTCTCAGTATACTCTTCTTCTAAAGTTTTCATCACCTTCCAATGGTAGGTACCAAGCCTTCAACACATGAGCTTTTATATGGACATTCCAGATCTAAATTATAACATTATGAAATGAAGAGTTAAAACAGAACCTGATTTCAGTATTTTCTTGCATATCAATTTTCTAAGTAAAAATACCTTTATCCGAATAAATTAGTCTTTGTATTTGCCAAACTTTTCTTTTGAAAGTCCAACTTCTTCGTCAGGGTATCATCATGGTGATGGTGGTGTTAGAGTATAGATGTTTTATTTATGATTCCCATTACCCAGGTACCTTAGTCTAAATATCTTAACTAGACTTATCAAAACTCTATGTAGAACTTTTTGGTTTCTAGGGCTGATCCTTCATAGCCTTTCTTTTATAAGTAGGAAAATATTTATGTTTCAGGAGACCAAGGAAACCTACTTACTCTTTGCCATATTTTATCTTTTAATAATAGCTTCATTGAGATAGAATTCATGTACCATAAAGTTCACCTATTTTATTTTAGTTCTTTTCAATTTTTGAGACAGGGTCTTACCAAGTCACTGAGAGTTTCAGTAAGTTGCCCATGTGGCCTCTAACTAGTGATCTTCATGTCTCAGGCTCCTGAGTCACTGGGATTATAGTGAAGCACCATGCCCAACCAGTTCACCTAGTTTAAGTGTGTAATTCAATGGGTTTTTAGCTGCAGAATTATTCAGCTATCTCCACGATCAATTTTAGAATGTTCTCATTGCCTAATCAAGAAGCCCTATAATTACTAGCATTTGCTCCCCTCGTGTTCCCTCAAAACCCTTGATAACCACTATTCCACATTCTGTGGATTTGCCTGTTCTGAGTACTTAATACAAATGAAATCATACAATATGTGGGGGGTTTTTTTTGTTTTTTTGTTTTTTTTTTTGGTGACTGGCTTCTTTCACTTAACATAATGTATTCAAGGTTTATTGATGTTGTAGGATACATTAGTACTTCATTTCTTTTTATTGACCCATTTATCAGTTGATAGATATTGGGTTGTGTCCACTTAGTGACTATTATCAATAATGCTGCTGTGAACATCCTTATACAAGTTTTTATATAAGATTTGTTTTCTCTTGGGTGTAAACATAGGAGTGGAATTATTGGGCCATTTGTAATCTCTGTAACCTTTTAGGTAACTGGCCATTTCTAAAGCCAGATTTGGACTTTTATCTTTGCCAGAGTATCCATTTTCAAACTTGTTTTGAACTAAAGTACTGCCATATTCTTTTATCCACACCTTTTTTCATCAGCATGGATGTGTGAGTAGGAACCAGATTGTTAGCTTCAGTTCCAGAGTCCTTTTTGAGGACATTGTGGAACTATTTAGAAGCCAGTATCATGGAACACTTCTGGTCCCTTTTCTATCATTCATTGTTCTCTTGCCCAGCTGATTTGTACAGTTTAGGTACCAGTGGACATGCTTGTGACCTGTTAGGAACAAAATAGTAATGCTAGAACTTCCTGTTATTTCTTGGAAGGGGTTCTTACAGAGTGCTGACTTTGTTGCTGAACAGTGTTGTTTTGCAGCCCTCTTCTGGGGACCAGGAAAGAAGGTGGTAATCCCCATTGCCCTGCTTTCAAGACAGAGCTCCAAGGAACCCTGCCCACTCATGCTTTTTGTCTTTGTTTTTTTGCCTGGTAGTTTTTTATGTTCATAGTGTTTGATCATTCATTTATCAATTACTTTCAGAACCATCTGGTTTTTTTTGCCAATGTGCTAGCTTCTCAAAATATAATAATATAGCATTCATGATCTCTGCCCTTATGGAGTTTAGAATCCATTAAAAATATCATGGGAAGATCCTACCCTTGAATCTGCAGATTTCAGTTCACCTGTTCATATATACAACGGGTGTGACACAAAAACCTCTTCACTGCAATAGGACACCGAGGATTGGAGGGAAGAGTTCTCTCAGAGCAACTGGTGCAGTGGCCACTGTAATTGCACTGGTTCTTTGTGTTTACAGATAGAGCTTTCTGGATGTGAAGGGGAGAACTGAATATAATATAGTGATTGCCTTGGAAACAACAGTTTAAGTCACCTACTTCCACCACTACTCCTTTTTTCCTATGACAATGCTGTTGAAACCATAATTTCCTTTATAATATTTTTTATGAGAGCTCATGCTAAATAGTTCTAGTGTTATACATCCAGTTAGGGGTGTGGAAGTACCCACCTATAGCTTGATTCCTTGGGGCTCTCAGGAAATATGGAGAAAATAAAAAATTATTTTTATTTTTAATATAATAAATTATTATTATAAAACATTGTGGGAAGAGTTACTGAGGAAGTAAAATCTGACTTTGATGGAGCCTAAGAATTTGGTAGGCAAAAGAAGTAGAAGGAGAGCTGGTTCAGATTGACTTAACAGCAATAATACAGTAAATTGGTCACTGATAACTGAACTAGGTCATAATATTAATAGAGTTACTTGGAGCTTCTAAATCAATACATTGGATTTTTTTTTTGGTGTGTGTGTGTGTGTGTGTGTGTGTGTGTGCGCGCGCGCGCGTGATCTTCTTCCCTTTCCCTAAAAAATGCAACAAGAGATTAATAATAAAGCAGTAACTTTTTACTTAGTCTACTGGTCATATAACATTGATTGCCTGTATGAGTTACCCAATGTATTAAGTTTTAAGAAGCTTTATGTTTTTGATTGCCATAGCTTAATAGAACTATTTAGTGGAGTCTGGGCGGGGAGAGAAGAAAAAATAAGCTGCATAAACATGTTATTAATCTTGAAGTGTGTTAATTATTTTGTTTGTTTCACAAGGGATGTCCGTCGCTTAGTAGTAGCCATGTCGAGAGCCAGACTCGGACTTTATATCTTCGCCAGAGTGTCTCTCTTCCAAAACTGTTTTGAACTAACTCCAGCTTTCAGCCAACTCACAGCCAGACCACTTCATCTGCATATAATTCCAACAGAACCTTTCCCAACCACTAGAAAGGTATGACTTCTCTTTGTTGAATAGAGAAACATTTTTCATAATGGGAAACTGGGATCGTCTTACATATAACTACATTAGCCAGGAACATACAGTCGCTGATTTAGAATACTCCTTATACCAAGGGACTTAATTAGATTTTCTACATAAAAATAATATCAGCTAACATTCATTGATTTTTACCATGTGTCTGGCCATTTGCTGTTAAGTAAGAGAAGTTAAGTAGTTGTAGCCATGTATCTAGTAGATGCAAGATACAAGATTTGAAACCCCAGGCAGTCTGATTCCAGAGTCCATATGAGTAATCATTTTACTATGTATCCTCTCTTCTGTTTTGTGAGGAGAACTAAGCTATATACTCGATAACAGAATAATGAGTAGTTTAGTTCTTAAGAGCGTATGTTCAAAAGAAATGGGGGACAGGAGAACACATACTTTTAACAAAAAGATAAACTCAGAAATGCCACTCCCTTTTCCTATCAGCCTCCCTCTGTAGGTAAGCAGTCTTTTTAGATCATATTTTATTCTCTTTGCATAAAGGAACAGAAACTTGTTTATTTTCTTATGTCATTTTCTTTCTTTCTTTCTTTCTTTCTTTCTTTAGTTTTAGGTTGACACAATATCTTTATTTTTGTACATTTATGTGGTGCTGAGGATCAAATTCAGTGCCTCATGCATATTAGGTGAGAACTCTACCACTGAGCCCCTCATTTTCTTTCTTATGTGGAGGTTAGTTAGTATACTACAGACTTTCAGGTTTTGCTTTTTTCATTTCATTTCATTAGCATTTTTGGCGGTGGAGGGGGTTCTAGGGATTGAACCCAGGACCTTGTGCTGCAAGGCAAGCACTCTGCCAACTCAGCTATATCCCCAGCCTCCATTAGATTTTAAGTAAAATTGTTTTAAATGTTCATGGTATACTTCTTACCCTCTTCTCTCTTCCAAAAAAAAAAAAAAAGAAGAAGAGGAAGGAGAAAAAGAAATTGTGTATTTTTATAATAATATCAAGTATTTTTCTTTAACTAAAATGCTGCTATGTATATATAGGAAGAAAGAGTAGTGGAGAGGTTTGATGGGGTGGTATCATATAAAACCCTAAGTGCTAGCCTTTGTGTTGTGGACACAATCCCTTATCTCTGTTCTTGGTTGTTTATAAACCAATTATTAGACAATTGTTCATTTTAAGATAGAATCCTTTTTCTTTATTAATTTTTTAAATTTAAATTTGTTATATATGACAGATGAATTACAATTCATCTTATAGAGCACAATTTTTCATATCTCTGGTTGTACACGAAGTAGAATCAGACCTCCTTTTTCTTCATATATATTTTTTGCCTTTATTATTTTCTGAATTGGTCCCTATCACAAGAAAGGGTAAAACTTTATAAGCATTTTATTAATAGGAAAGTTTTTAATCTTTATTCTAGGGCCATTTAGAAAGAAATATAAATTTTGTATTGTCTTCATTTGCTTTACTGTTTTACACTGCTACAGTTATATTTCTCAGATTGTTATGAGACACTACTCTATAAGAATCACCTAATTCTAACCCATATCTATTGAATCTAAATCCCAGGGAGCTTGAGCCCAGACATCTGCAATTTAACAGACTCCCTAAGAGGACTCTGATAGATGTTACAAAGTGTGCAAAAGTACATTTGAATATTTACCACCATGACTAATAATAATGTGTTAACTTCTTCTATTTTAGAAAAACATAAATAGGAAGAATAATTTTAATATTTTCTTTCTGAATTATTTTATGAACACCTTTGGAGCATACACACCACCAAGAAGTGCTACATTAGGGACTGGGGTTTTGGCTCAGCAGTAGAGCGCTTGGCTAGCACATGTGAGACCCTGGGTTTGATCCTCAGCACCGCAAAAATAAATAAATAAATAAAATAAAGGCATTGTTTCCAACTACAACTAAAAAATAAAATATGAAAAAAAATAAGTGCTACTTTAGACCATGTTGATTTATTTCCCTATTCAAACTATTTTCTCTTGTTAATTCTTCTAAAACCCATATTACATTTACCAGCTCAAAATTGTATTTAAAAACTAGTGACTCTTAACTTTCCTAGTTTGTAGCTTTTTTAGATTTAAATGGAATCATTACTTATTGGACTCTACACTTGTATTTTACTTATTTTTTTTTTAAACTATGCTTAAATCCTCCAAACCCAACATTGCTTACTAATAAGATACAGAAACAGCCTTCTATTGATATCTTAGTCTCTAGGGTTTTTCACTAGAAACTTAACTTTCTTTTTGCCTTCTTCTAGAACGGAGAAAGACCATCTCATGAAGTACAGATAATAAAAAATATGCCCCAGATGGCAAACTTTGTTTACAATATGTATATGCATTTGATACAAACCACACATCATTATCATCAGGTGAGTTCTCTTAAAATTGATTCTTATTTTCCTTGTTATAGAAAGAATTCGTCTCTTTTGTTAAATGAATCTTTAAATTCCTGTGAGGAACCAACTAAAGTAGATTGTTGTTATTCATGTAGCATTCATGTTTTAAAAACATGTTTAAGTACATAACATTTGGCATACAATAAGGTACATGTGTTTAAAATGTACAATTCTAAGTATTGTGACATACACACACACACACACACACACACACCTGTCAAGCCATCATCACAGTCAAGATAATGAACATCCATTATCCTCCCAAAGTCTTCTTGTGCCACTTTAATCCCTCCTTGTTATCCTTCATCAGTGCCCTTTACACCTTCTGTAGGCCACCAAGGATCTGCTTTCTGCCATTAGTCTCCATTTTCAGGCATTTATATAAATGCGATCATACAGTATATATTTTTCTTCTTTGTTTTTTTGACTACTTGTTACTCATCATAATTGTTTTATATTTCATTTGCGTTCATGTTATATATATCAATAGTCCATTCCATTGTGTGTGTTTAGTGCAGTTTGCCCATTCACTTATTACAGGCATTTGGGTGGTTTAGTTTGGACTTTAACAAATGAAGCTGCTACAAACATTCTTGTACAAGTCCTTGCACTTTGTCTTGGTAAATATCTAGAAGTGGAGTTGCTGGATAATATGTTAAATATGTCTAACTTTCTCAGAAACCACAGCTCTGTTTTTCAGAATGAAAAACAGTACCACTTTATACTCTCTCCAGCTTTATGAGAGTCTAGGAACTCAATATCTTCACCTATACTTGATGGAGTAGGTCTTTTTTATTTTAGCAATTCTGATGTGTAGGTATGTAGTGATTTCAGTGTATTTTTAAATTTTTATTATCCTAATTTGAGTGTCTTTTTATGTAGTGATTTTCCATCTGTATGTCTTTAGGGATATGTCTGTTCAGGTCTCTGGCTCATTTTTTTTAGTAGGTTGTATGTTTTAGTGTATTTATTGGACAGGCGTTTATGTATTTGGTGGCAAGTCCTTTATTAGATATGTGTTTTACAAATATTTTTCTCCTAGCCAGCTGCTGTGGCATATGCCTCTAATATCAGACTCAGGAAGCTGACGCAGGAGGATGGCAAGGTGGAGGCCACACTAGGCAACTTAGTGAGATCTTATCTCAAAATAAAATAGTAAAAGGGCTGGGAATGTACAGCTATCCCACTCCTTGGTCTATACCCAAAGGGCTTAAAAATAGCATAATACAGGGATACAGACACATCAATGTTTATAGCAGCATAATTCACAATAGCTAAACTGTGGAACCAACCTAGATGCCCTTCAGTTTATGAATAGATAAAGAAAATGTGTGTATACACACACACACACACATAATGGAATACTATTCAGCATTAAAAAAGAATAAAATTATGGCATTTGTAGGTAAATGGATGGAATTGGAGAATATAATGCTAAGTGAAGTTAGCCAACCCCAAAAAACCCAAATGGCAAATGTTTTTTCTGATATAAGGAGGCTGATTCATAATGGGGTTGGGGTGGAGAGCATGGAAGGATTAGACAAACTCTAGATAGAGCAAAGGGGAGGGAGGAGCAGGGAGGAGCATGGGAGTGGGAAAGATGGTGAAATGAGTTGGACATTATTACCCTAAGTACATGTATGAAGACACGAATGGCATGAATATACTTGTGTACAACCAGAGATATGAAAAATTGTGATCTATATGTAAAATATGAATTGTAATTCATTCTGCTGTCATATATAACAAATTAGAATAAAAAAAATTTTAAAAAGGGGGGCGGCTGGGAATGTAGCTCACTGGTAGAGTGTTCCTGGGTTCAATCCCCAGAATTACACACACACACACACACACACACACACAAATTTCCTCTTACTCTGTAATTTGTTCTTTCTTTTTTTAAGTAAAAACTCACTTCTAAATTTTGATGTTCAATATATAGAATTATTCTCCTATAATTCATGCATGTCCTAAAAATTTTGTAACCAAAGTTACAAAGATTTTCTTCTAGCAGTTGTATAGTTTTAGGTTTGACACTTACAAGTATGATATATTTTGAGACTTTTTTGTTATGATTCCAGGTAATGATGAATGTTATTCATTTGCATGATGTTTCAGCATTATTTCCTAAATAGACTATTTTTTTCCTCTGTTGAATTGCATATCAGATTAGTAGTCATAAAAAGCAGTTGACCATATTGTGACTCTTATTTTTGGACTCTCCGTTCTACTGTATTGTTTCGTATGTCTGTCCTCTTGGGCATTATATTACCTTTATTATGGTAACTTTATAGTAAATCTTGAAATTAATCAACATGAATACTTTAGTTTTGTTCTTTTTCAAAACTATTTTAAATATTCTAGCTTCTTTGCTTTTCAAATTTAAAGTCATCTGGTTGATTTTGCCAAAAAAGCAGGCTGCAATATTTTTTATTTATTTTTTATTAAATCCAGGGCACTTAATCATTGAGCCACATCCCCAGCTTTTTTTTTTTTTTATCATTTTTTAATTTTGAGATAGGGTTTCCCTAAGTTACTTAGGGCCTTGCTAAGTTGCTGAGGCTGACCTTGAACTTGTGATCCTCCTGCCTCAGCTTCTAGAGTCCCTGGAATTACAGGCATGCACTGTCACACCCGCATGCTGCAATTTTTAAATAGTATGTTTTGAAGAGTAAAATTGTTTAGGATCAATGTGGGGAGATTAACATCTTAAAATATTAGTCTTCCTTTCCATAATATGATGTATATCTCTCCATTTACTTAAATCTTCTTTGGATGCTCTCATAGTGTTTATAATTTTCAGCATATAAACCTTACAGGTATTTTTTTAGCTTTTTTGCTATTTCATAATTTCCAACAAGGTAAACAGAGGAAGAGAGGCTATGTTTTAGCTACAGACTGCTGTGATGTGCAGAAGGCTGAGCATTTATAGCTGCTCCAGTTTTCTAGTTGAATGAGACCAATGTCTTGTGCCCTCCATGCCCCTCCCCCATCCCCCTGGCCTTGTTTCTTGGCTAGGATCCTCTCTACCTCTCTCAAGAGTTCTTCACTGAAGTTGGTCCTTTCTTGAGTTGGTGTGGCAGTCAGTCCTAATCAGCTATTTTTCTAAGAAGCTTTACAGCATATTTCTTTGCTTAAAAATCAAATAGCTGTTCATGTTGTTTTCCTCTCTTGAGAATTTAGTATATACTTTGATCCTTAGTATATGACATCATCTGCCTTTATTAGCAGACCTCAGGCATTGTTATCACAGGAGTTACATTCATAATATAAAATGGCCAGCAGTATTTTGGAGAATTCTAGCATAAACAGTATCTACTGGGAAGATGATATTAATATGAGAATGTGGCTTTGTACCACAGTGAGGTTTTGTTGTTGTTTTGTTTTTTCCTTTCAACTCATTGGGGTTGTCATTTTTTTTTTTTTTATTAGACTTTCTTACAGCTACCACCTGCGATGGTGGAAGAAGGCGAAGAAGGTCAAAGTCAAGAAACAGAATTGGAAGCAGAAGAAGAGGCCATGCTCATTCAAGCTGATGACATACCAAGTCCACCTGATGTCAGCTGTAGTCAAGAGACCCTGGCCTCTCGGCCTGATTCCACCCCCAATCAGACTGAGACCACTGCCAGTCAGACAGGAGCCAATTCCAGGCCAGAAACGGTTACTGCTTCTGTGCCAGGAGCTGTAACTACACCAGTAAAGGCAACCACCCCTCAGGATGCCACATCTGCCCCAACAAAGACCAACTAGCCAAATTGTAGTCCTTTTTAGGGAGGACATTCAGTCATAAAGTCTAAGTAAAGTTACTTTTGGTATTTTACATTTGCTTCTGCTATTTGAATGGCACTAACTAATGTGCAGTCCTTATTTTTGTTAACTGGTTTTCCTATATGTATTTTTAAATTATATGTATATAAACAGGTCAGTTTAATTTACTTAAACAGAAAGGCAAATAACTATTCCTTTGATATTTGATCACTGAGTGTATCTATAATGTATCTATCCTAATATGATTTCCTCTAGAATACATAAGACATACTTCACATTTTTAACAAACTCTAGAGAAAAGGACAAAATACACTAGAATTAACTATAAGTTCCCTTGAACAAATGTTCCAATTAGAGAGGAAATGGTTTCTTCTGTCATGCATACTGTGGGATATTTAAGTTCCATCATCTTTGATTACCTTTTGTTTTTTCTGTAAAGACATTCCACTAAGAGCCATAGAAAAAAGATTTCTGTAGTTTATCAAAGAGGTTTCCTTCCCAAGAATCTCAGAATGTATCAGAATCACCTAGGTTTGTTGTTTATTCTTAGAGTCCACCTCAGACTTGGTGAATCAGAAACTCAAAGGTCACAACAGGTCCTGTAGTCTGGTAGTGTTTGGGTTACTGGCAGAGTAGCATCAGGTAAGGCTGGTGAGGTTAAAGCAGGATTTGTCACTCAGCTAAACAGGAAAACTCTGGGCAGAAAGCAGGACCCAGACTCTGGGCAACAATTCAGCTAACTTCACTCTTTGTGCAGGGTAGAAGACTCCCAGTGTGGAGTTCTGTTTTGTGTCATTTAGTTTTCTTTGTGGATAACAATCCACAAGGAGACCTTCAGGTGTGAAGTGCATCATATTTGGGAGGGTAGAGATATTAGGACCTTCCTATTATAGTGTGATTAGCAAACCACTAGCCTTGGTTATCTTTGAAGTTTATTAGAAATGTAGAGATATGACCTCTGCTCCAGACCCATTAAATCTAAACCAGTATTTCAGCAAAGTTCTCAGCTGATTTATTTGCATTTTCTGGTTTGAGAAGCACTATAATGAGATTATTGTGTTTTTTGACTACTGACCTCTGCCTATAAGGACTGTAAATGGGGTGGCCAGAGCACAAGAGATGGATATATCTATATAGGGTAGGGGAAATTGCACTTATTCTCTTTACCCCATTTTGATCGTCTGCTAGGCTGGCTGAAGGAGCACTTCCCCAAAGCATATCTACTTAGAGAATTTGAGGAAAGAATAAGAATTGTACCTCTCATCCTGGCAGTTTAAAGGGATGGTTAATTCATAAAGAAATTAAACCCAGAAAATTCTATCAGTTGTTTTTTTGAGTGACCATGTTTGCTCAATTCTACCCGGCCGTGGTGGATATGATTCACACTCTCACCTTACAGTGTGTCTAACTTCATTAGAACACTGTAAATGTTAGGAGAGGAGGGGGAAGTGAAGGGAAATGAAAAGGAGTGAAATGTGAAGGAAACTGCACTAGGAATCCCTGGTCTATTTGTTATCAGAGTAAGGATCAAGCCAGTCGGTTACATAATTTCTCTGATATAAGAATTTGAAAGCAGGTGTTGTGGGCATCTGTATGAGGAATAGCACTCACGGAATTATTTTCATTTGTGAATATATGGTATCAGGCTAAGCAAGACAGAAAGAAGCTTTACTGTATTACAGTCTTTCCTGGAAAAGATTGATTTTTTTCTCTCTACCCTTTAGAGGATATGAATTATGATACCTGCAACCAAAATAAACAAACTGCTAGGCAGATTTCTCAAACTGTTTTCCAAGTGTCACTTAGAAAATCTCTTTGTCTAACTGGATGACCATACTTTTTTTCTTTGCTGCTTGATTTTTCTATCACACTTTAAAAAACAAATGCAGGCAGAAGATGGGTAAGCCTTTTGTCAAAGGAATTAAAAACTGGATGCGGATAGGAGGATTAAATTGTTCACTCACTGGGAAGGCCAGAGAGTTACAGAAAATCATGGAACTTTTAAAGGAATTTAAGAGATTCTTTTTTAAAAACAATGAGGAAACAGAATGGAGAGGCTTAACCTGGCTGGCAAATGGGGCTGAGGACAAAATTAAGTCCATATTCCTAAGGCAGTGTTTTATTTATATTTCAAATCTATAAGAGTGATGGCTTTTACCAATTCAAGAGTTTTCTATATAATATGAGATTCTACAGACAGGTACTAGAGTCGTTGACTATTGCAGATTAGTGTTCCCATTGCTCTCCATCCTGTTTTTCATATTTGAATATGTCATGATTTGGAATTCTATTTTTAAAAAGAGACCAAAAAGATGCATGCTAAGAGATTGAGCATGAAATAAGCAATTCAAGTACTGAGACTTTTTTTTTCCCCCACAAACTGCTGAGTTAAGAAAGTTCATTACCAGCAGCTGAGAAATAATAATTCCATTGATTTGGGCAAATGAATGAGTAGATCTAAATAAACATTATCAGAGCTCTTGAAGTTGGTGTGATGGTAAAAGTTGAGATGTTTTTCTAAATACTAAAAGAAACTGCATAAGTGGATCATTTGTGACTCTATTAAAAATGAAGTTTTTATGATCAAGAAATAGCACAATATTAAAAGCAAACTTTGGACTCACCCTGACCTTGCTTAAATTTCACTTAATTTGCTTATCGGCCTTTGATTTGAACTTGTGCAGATTTTACAACTTTATAACCTCTGTAAGCCCCAGTTTTCTTAATAAAAACAGGGAAGAAATCTGCTTGGGGTTGTTAGTTTGTTTTATAGAATAATGTTTATGAAAAGATCCAGCTCCTAGGCACTCAGCAAATACGTCTCTCTCCTCATTTTTCTCCAAAACTTTGTGACAATGTAGTTAGTAAGTTGTCAACTAATCCTTTAACTTGACCACCTACCTATGTCCTTATCCAGAGAGCACAAAGGATGATGAAGGGGACATGTGATGCAATTGACATTTAAGGATCCATCAAAGATCAGGTCTTCTGGTTAGAGACTTCTCAGTCAGTCCGTTAGAGCATTGAGGGTAGTCTCTGCTGAAACTAACATTCTCACAGAACAGTGTGACCAGAAGGATAGTCACTAGGTTCCATCATGCTTCTGATACGTGGAACTAATCAGGTCTAACAGTTGTGAATCCTGTACTGCCCCATCCTTAAGTCATTTGTTATTGGATTTTCTTGGCTTTGTGCCTTAAGTGTGCTATTTTCTTATTTTTCAGTCATTCAAATGGTGTTTTCAGAGCTGTTTCTTCAATTAAGTCAAGATACAAAAGATTAAAAAAAAAATCCTTTTGTAGGAGCCAGAAGAGCTATAAAAGATAAGCAGTGCTTTCTGTAGAAAACTCTTGGCCATTAGCTTTTGTAATTATTAGGCAATCATTGATGTTAATAGATGTTTAAGAATGGTGGAACTGGAACTGTACTTAAAGCCAGGCTTGTAAGTGAAGAGATGGGAGGCTGTATTTCCTTTACCCACTGGTACTCTTTAGTGCCCAGAAAAAGCTTTAATTAAATGGGATCTAGAAGCTTTTGATGCTCTGGTTTTTCTTCCTAGGAACAAACCCTAGCCCAGTCCCCTGGAGCGAGACTCAGAATACAGCCTGGTTACCGCTGACAGTGTGCCAACTTTATTCTCTTAGCCCTCTCCCTTTGGCTTACACAAATTGCTGTGGTTGGTTAAGCTCTTTCACTTACATACAAAGTTTCTGGTCCTATTACTGTTCAGCGTATTTCAGAAAATACTACTCTTGAAAAATACTCTGAAAAACCAATTTCCTTGGTCAAGTATGTTTGGGAAACAAAATGAATTATTATTCCCCATTTGCAGAATCTCACTTGGCCAAATAAAGGTTCTAAGAAGTTCTGCTGGAAAGAATCATGTTTATAATGTACCATTTCTCAAACTTTAGACCATAGAACATTTTTGTTTTTCTTTTTTGGTACTAGGAATTGAACTCAGGGGCACTCTATCACTGAGCCACATCCCCAGCCCTATTTTGCATTTTATTTAGAGGCAGGGTCTCACTGAGTTGCTTATCACCTGGCCATTGCTGAGGCTAACCAGCCTCAGCAATCCTCCTACTTCAGCCTCCTGATCCACTGGGATTACAAGCATGTACCACTACGCCAGGCTATTTTTTTTTTAATTAAAACAACTAATGTAACCATTTCCTCACACAGCTTAGTAACCAATATCTTTACATCAGTGAGAACTTGGACTCATCCTTAAAAAATAAAGCTCAAATATTTTTTTTCTCTTAAGTAACCAGAGACTGAAGTGACATCTGAAGAAAAAACTAGAGGTGAGTGATTTGTATAAAATGTCATACCATAGTGTAATTTGTTTAGTGTCATGTGGCATTAATACCAACATCCTGAAATGGCAAGTTAATAAGTTTGATCAATGAAACATGACATTCCTTCATGTGAGCCTCCTAAGAAAAGGTCACTGAGCTTTCTCTGTTTATGTTTTAATTTGAGACTCCAGAATTTCACACCAAGCTTTTCTTCTTATTTCCTATCATACAGTGAGAGTTCATATTTCTGATGTGTCTTGTGTTCTCCATTATTTGGGGTTTTTTTAAGTTTAAATTTAAAAAAAAAATACTTATTTTGTTCATTTTAGTTATTGATGGATCTTTTTTTTTTTTTTTAATTTATATGTGGTGCTGAGAATCGAACCCAGTGCCTCACACATTCCAGGCAAGCACTCTACCCCTGAGCCACAAACCAGCTCCTTAAGAGTTGGTTTTTTTTTTTTTTTTTTTTTTGTACCAGGGATTGAACTCGGGGGCATTCGACCACTGAGCCACGTCTCCAGCCCTATTTTTGTATTTTATTTAGAGACAGTATCTCACTGAGTTACTTAGCACCTCACCCATTGCTGAGGCTGGCTTTGAACTTTTGATCCTCCTGTTTCAGCCTCCTAAGCTGCTGGGATCACAGGTATGCACCACCATGCCTGGCTAAAAGTTTAAATTTCTGAAAAGAAATTACTTATTTGACATAGCCAGTAGAAGTGAGCCAGAAATAATGGAAGAAAAATTAAGACAAATACAAAAATGAATACAATTTCATTACATTAGATTGAAATACAATTTCAAATACATTTGAATGTTAAACACTGAGGATCCACAGATTTACCTTGCATCAGACAAGTTGAATTCTCTCTTGCTTGATCTCCAGAAATGACTGTCCCCACAATCTCCTTCCCCTCCATCTATGACTTCACACTGCACATTCACTTCATAATTTTGTTGCAATTTAAGTTGAAGACCTTGAAAATAACCCTTTGAGAGATGCCTGATTTAATATTAAAAAGATCTTTTGAGAAGCTGAGGTAACTTTTTTCCAAAAGTTCATAGTTCTGAATGGGAAGTTGTGAGTAAAAAAACAGTATCTGCTTTAGTTCATTAGTTCACTTTGGCCATGTTTATTTGGTTGGCTTTTTCTTCTGGTTTCACAAACTGGACTGAAAGTGCACTGTTACTGTATTCTCATTACCCTTGGCTTTAAGTAGCACCTTCCAGTATGCTGGTTTCTTTTATTCTCGACTGCCTCAAGAATAGCAGTGGAAGAGGAGTAGACTTATTTAAATTACATTTCATTTTGGACAACATTTCACTGTAGTGTTTTGAATTCAATATAACAAAATGTTGCAAGATGTCTTCGCAACTCTAATTCTTGTGTGTTTGCAGACTATTGAGTACCTTCTGTGTGCCAGGCAACTAGGCTAGAAGCATGGATAACACTAAGGGTGAATTGTCTAGGCCACCACAGTTGATTGAACTGGGACTAGAACCAGGCAAATTCCATACCATGCTGTTCTTTAAACTTCCTTGAGACACACTGAAATAGAAGCAGCAACACTTAGGTTTTCCACATAAGTAAAATGAGCCTACTAAGAATTCCTGTGAGACTTAGCATACCAGAGAAGAGGCTAGTTTGCCAAAATAAGGATAGGAAATAAGAGATCTGTAGAAAGAATGCTCCAGTGTTTGCAATATTTGTACTTTTAGAAGAAAGCCAAATTAATATTTTAGTTTGAAAAATGTATGATAACTCAATGGGAAAGAACTCTAATGTGGTACTCTATTCCTCCAAAACACTAATTATCCTAAAGCCATTTTGTATTTTAAACAATGGAAGAACAGGTTAAATAGCAATATTCTTAAAAAGAGTGTGGTGTCTAGTAAAGGGACAGATAGGTTTGACTAAAATCAGCACTTCAAATTACCATTAATACACCAACTGGTTTGGCTTTCCAATTAACTCCTATCACAAACCCAAGCACTTGTGCGTTTGAGAGTTGAAAAGAATATCCACATGAGTTAAAGTTCCCAAGGGTATAAGTTTATTTGTAAAACGGTTTGAAGTAATATGCTCTTACAGAATTACAGAAATAAGTTTTTAAAGGCTGCCATTGCACATCTTGATCTAGTTGAACTCATTAAAAGAATAGGCTCATGTGGGCAAGCAGAGAATATGTCCTCTGCTGAAACACAACCCTATCTTAGGGGAAAAGTCATGAATGTCAATTGTCATTGACACTTCAATAATTTAATTGTTCTTAACTTGCCATACTACTATTAATAGTAGTATACTCACAACTACTGTTATAATAGTAGTCGTGGGTAGCTGGATGCAGTGGCACATGCCTGTAATCCCAGAAGCTCGGGAGGCTGAGAGGGGAGGACCAGCCTCACCAAAAGCTAGGCACTAAGGAACTCAGTGAGACCCTCTCTAATAAAATACAAAATAGGGCTGGGGATGTGGCCCAGTGGTAGAGTGCCCCTGAGTTTAATTTCTTGCCAAAAGAAAGCATTTATTTTGTCTCTGTCAGTATTGGTTTTGACTATTTTTTTTTATCTATATAAGTGGAATCATAAAGAAATTGCTTTTCATGTTTCCCTTTTCAGATACACTGATATTTTCAACATCAAGTAGGAAAGAAGGAGTCAGTAGGTTAATTAAGCACATTTTCTCAAAAGGCCTTCCCCTCCCCCATTGTACCAGAGTGTCATCTTTGTCACAAATATGTTCATTAGCTATATTCTTCAAGATTATTGGATTTGTTAGTCCTTGTGGGCTCTTAGGAGCATCTTGTCAATTACATATCCTGCTGGGATATTTATTGGACTACACTGAATCTATAGTAATTGGCATCTTTACTATTTAGGAATAAAGTGCCTCTTTCTATTAGGCCTCCTTTAATTTTTGACTATTGTTTGTTAAATTTATTCCTAAATGGCTAATTTTTTTGCTATTGTAAATGATTCATTTTATTACATTTGTAATTGGTTGTTAATCAGCATATAGAAATATGACATTTTTGTATGTTTAGTTGGTATACTTTGTTGAATTTATTATTTCATATAGTTTGTAGATTAATTACCATTATAAAAGTTTTATTATCCTCTTTGATCTTTATACTTTTTCTGTCTGTATACCTTTCATTTACTTTTTCCATCTTATTGATCTGTTGAAAACTCTAGTGTTGAATGGAGGTGATCAGAATAAGTACATTTGTTTCTTCCCAGTCTTGGAGGCAAAGATTTCAGTGTTTTATCATTGAGTACAGCATTTGTTATAGGTTTTGTTGAATATTTTTAGGCATATTTTTATTAATTTCTATAAAAATAATATATTTTATCAGATTTTAAGTTTCTATACCTAGTTTACTGTTTTTAAGTCAGTACCCATAATAATTTAATGCTTTTCTCTCTTTTGCTGTTAGTAATGA